AACTACTGGCCAAAACACCTATGTATTTCCTAGTAATAGTATACACATATGTACATAAATAATACATTATAGATAGATTGTATTAAGTTAATTAACTATCCGCTAGGCCAGTTGCAACAAACTGATTCTAGAAATAAGCGTATTTATACCCTTGACTTTTTTCCTGCTTGTCTGACCTCTAGTAGTGCGGTAGTAAGCGGCGTTGCTATGAGCAAATAAAGCCTCACGTTCGATTCTCAGCGGAGGAATTTACAATATGGATTTTTAAGTAAATTTATATATAATATATATATATATATATATATATATATATATATATATATATATATATATATATATATATATATATATATATATATATATATATATATATATTATACAACACAGGGGGCAAACGAGCATGCGGCTCACCTGATGGTAAGTGACTACCGCCGCCCATGGTCACCCACAACACCTACGGCATTGCAGGTGTGCTGCCAGCCTTTTAAAAAGGAATATGCTCTTTTCTTGAAGGTTGTGTTGTCGTATCGGTTCGGAAATACTGCTGCTATTAAACTGTTGTTATTAAACTTGTAAAATAAAAGATACAGTGATTATTTTAACAACTTGTTAGCAAGTGTGGGCTTATCTCTAAGAGAGATCTCTTCCAACCAATACAGTGCGGGGGAAAGGGATTGTTAGTAATGGAGACTGAGAATCCCATTGCTAGCAATATACCCAACCAGGTCGACCTCGCGGCTCCCCCTGGAAACTATCATGGTCAATTCTTGATGAATTCATCATGATGGGCCAACTGGCCTGTTTTCATTCTCACCTATCACCCTTCACTGGTGCTCCGCCGTATCCCGTTAGCGCAGGCGGGGTTACCATACCATTTTCACCCATCAAAAAAAAACAATACAGTGCAGTGAGAGGGAAAACTATTAGCGATTGATTATAAGAGATTGCTTTAAGCGATAATTCAGCCTTTTGTATATGCACATTCTGTATAAATACTCCTTGTATACATATCCATTCTTTATAGGTGATAATGAAATAGTAACCCCACCCGCGCTATCGGTATACACCGGCGGGGCACCAGTGAAGGATGATAGGTGAGGATGAAACAGGTCAGTTAGCCCATCGTGACGAATTCAACGAGAATTGTTCACGATGGTTTCCAGGGGGAACCACGTGGAGGTTGACCTAATAGATATTGCTAGCAATGGGGCTGTCAAACTCCATTGCTAACAATCCCTTCCCCCCTATACATATCTATTGTAAGCAATAAAGAGTTTATTATTATTATTATTGATAATAAAAAATATTAATTTATTTAAGATTAAGAAAGAAATAATACAAAAAAGGAGAGGGGAATTTTGTACAAAAGTCGTTTGCTTGGCCACCTCTGTACCATTCGTGTTTCAACCGTGAACCAGTTGTGTTTACATGGCTGTGTTTCGGTTTGAAGGGTGGGATATGGCAGTGAATTTACAGAGTACAGCGAAATAATACCTGAGTCCTCAGGAATGGCAACGCATGGGGGGTATCATGGGCGAAACAGTACACTCTGTTATGTCCATGGTTACTGCTCATGTCTACAGGCGACGGTTACCACTTTCCATCAGGTGGGCCGCCAGCTTGTTTGCCGCCTCAGTGGTATAAAAAAAAAAGATTTTGATAAAAAAATTATGGGATCAATCTGTAACTATATCCCTTTAGATAAAAAAAAAACAATTTTTCAATGCGGTTTACGAGGTTTGTCCGGAAAGTACGTATAAAAGTTTTTTAAAAATTTTATTATACAATTATTCAGGTAAATCAATTTTATCCCCTTCAAAGTACTCCCCCTGTGACATAATGCACTTGTGCCAACGTCGTTTCCACTGTGAGAAGGCTCCTTGAAAGTCCTCTGGTTGTAGGTTTCTCAGCTGCCCCGTCGTAGCTTTTTTTATCTCATTTATGTCCCCCAAATGCCGCCCCCGAAGTACCAATTTGGTTTTTGGGAACAAGAAGAAGTCACACGGGGCCAAATCCGGCGAATAGGGGGGTGTTCGGTCACCGTAATGGAATTTTTACTCAAAAACTCACGGACAACAAGAGAGGTGTGGGCAGGGGCATTGTCGTGGTGAAGAATCCAACGCCCCTCTCGCGCCAATTCTGGACGAACTCGTGCCACACGAGCTTTGAGGCGTCTGAGCACATCGACGTAGAATTTTCCATCAACTGTCTGGCCTGGAGGGACGAATTCTTGATGGACAATCCCCCGAACATCGAAAAAAACAATCAACATTGTCTTGACATTTGAGCGGGATTTTCTTGATTTTTTTGTTCGTGGTTCCCCGGATGTCTTCCACTCTTTGCTTTGGGATTTTAATTCGACATCAAATTCACGGCCATTCTTGCCGAGTTTCGAGAGAAACTTGATTACGACGCGCTGCTCTTCAACGGAAGCGGGCTCCATGCCGACGGGGTTTCGTTAAGAGGTAACTTCACAGATGGCGTGACAAGCCAGTTCGCACCGCACGGCGGTCAGACCAGAACTGAAGCATTGTTAGGGACATAAGGAAGGGGTCCTGCGCTTACCTGGCCTCCCCACTCCTCTTTCTCGCATTCCAGAACACTTTTATACGAACTTTCCGGACAGACCTCGTATAACTTGCTATTCAATCGGTTAGTCAATCGAGTCGATTATAATTTTTTTTATATTATCATTAAGAAAAAAAAAACAAGCAAACTCACTTTCACATTTTTTTTTTAATATTTTAAATAATATTAAGGATTCAGCGATCACGGGCGAAGCCGCGGGATAAAGCTAGCATCTAATAATAATGCAACAAATTATTTACCTGTATTTAATAACAATATAATGACTGACTAATATATATATTTATATATAGTTATTTGTTTTGAAATATTTATTAGCTTTTACAAGGTTTTCCTCTAAATGTATATTATAATTACACGTGTATTAAATTTTGGACTTTATTGCGATAGACTGATATATCAATTTCCAATGTAAAATACACGAATTACTTCCTTGCGCAATAACGATGTACCTAGATGACGCACCGGTTACTTATTACTTAGAAATATTTCGTTAATTATGAAATCTGTTAGCGTTTGTCTTTGCATTAACTGTTAATTAAAAAAAATATATATATTTATAAAATAAAACTTGTAAATTTCACTGTTCTTATTTTAAAATAATGACGACGGTATTACAGACAGGCCACTGCTATTTTGTTGCAAACATGATGTCATTAGATTTTAAAATATTTGAATTTAGAACATGGAATTATGCGTGTTGAATTTTTAAAATATTTGAATTCAGAACTTGGGATCGTGCGTGTAGAATTTAGAATATGAAACATCTTGTTGTTTATCTTCGTGTAAGTCGCTTTTTAAACCGACTTAAAAAAAGGTGGAAGATTTCAATATGGTTGTTTTTTTTTAATATTTATTTATATACAGTCAGAAATATTGACTCTACAATTGTTTATGAATATTGACAGATAATTACGCCGTTGCCACATTTCATCAAGCTAAAGTTATGGACGCTCATAATTATGGAGCAATATATACTTAGTACCTACTTATATACAGTTTTAATATACAGATATGTATGTATAGATAACAGAAGAGATACACAAAAGAAATCCTTCACGATGCAATTTCATTATTATATTATTAATTAGCCTTACAAATAAATTAACAATTGCACAAAACGTATATGTACCTTGAAATATAAAAATAAAAATGGCGTCTTAATCTTCATTACGAAGCATTGTTCGCGTCTGACAGGTTGCGTGGAAAAATAAGAAGCACCTACGCATAGCTTACAAACCATGGTTTTGACGTGGTTTTGACCTTATTTCTTTTAAGACTACCATTCTATGTTACATAGAAAAAAATATACCAATGAGATGGCAAACAAGCATACGGCCCACCTAATGGAAAGCGGTTACCGTAGCCTATGAACGCCTGCAATACCAGAGGTATTACGCGCGCGTTGCCGACCCTAAAGAAACCTCTTTACCCCTCTTTTAATGAACCCCATGCTGTAGTCTCTTGGGAAAACCTCGGCAGGGGGCTCATTCCATAACCTGAGTGTTCGTGGGAGGAAACATCTCTGAAACCGCGTTGTACGCGACCATTGAGGCTGTAGGACATGAGGATGAATTCCCTGTCGATGGCGAGCCGTACGATGGTAGAAAGTGGCCGTGGGTATCATATTGAACAATTCCTCTGAGCATAATCCGTTGTACAAGCGGTAGAGTTATTCGCCTGTACCCTGTCAATGCACTGTCATATCTCACCCTTTATACCTAAACACAATAATGCGGAGGGAAAGGGATTGTTAGTAATGGAGACTGAGAAGCCTATTCTTAGCAATATACCCAACCAGGTCGACCTATCATGGTTAATTCCTGATGAATTCATCATGATGGGCTAACTGGCCTGTTTTCATTCTCATCTATCACCCTTCACTGGTGCTCCGCCAGCGTATACCGTTACCGGATACGGCGGCGGGTTAGGCGGGGTTACCATACCATTTTCACCCATAAAAAAAAAACTATGAAAACACAACTGCTTCACGGTAGAAACACGAATGGGACAGAGGTGCCCAAGCAAACGACTTTTGTACAATGTCTCCCTCTGATAATCTATCTATATAATCTAAACATATAGAGTACTTTATATACTTACTCTCACGCGAAACCGCGGGTAACAGGTAGTTTACGATATTTTTTTTTATTGGATGAAAATGAAATGTTAACTCCGCCCGCGCTAACGGGATACGCTGGCAAGGCACCAGTGAAGGGTGATAGATGAGAATGAAAACAGGCCAGTTAGCACATCATGATGAATTCATCAGGAATTAACCATGATAGTTTCCAGGGAGAACCGCGAGGAGGTCGACCTGGTTGGGTATATTGTTAGCAATGGGATTCTTAGTCTCCATTACTAACAATCCCTTTCCCCCCAGCTTACGATATTAGTAATTTTTTTTTTTACAGTACGACTATGCATAGTGGAGGGGCGCGGCACATACAAGCGCGCCGCGCGGCACTGCCCCATACTTGATCAGGAGGACTCCAAGGTCGAGTGTGTCCTTGGTACTGATAGGTAAAGTACCATAAGGTTTCTTCTATCATCGTTATCTCCATTTACGTTGGGGAAATGGAATTGTTAGTAATGGGGCTAGCGTCCCCATTGGTTGATAGGTAGATATAGAATTTATTTGCATCACTTACAGCACACAAATAACATTAGCTATTAGTAAATATTAGTACTGCAGTGTCCCCCCCCCACCCCTTTGCCTTACCACATAAGTCCCTTATTCCTCTCGTTTACCAATTGCCCCGCCTGTGTATACCAATAGCGCGGGCGGGGTTGCCATTCCATTATCACCCATTAAAAAAAGTATATTCCTAGCAAGGGAGCAGTTAGACCCCATTACTAACAATCCCTTTCTCCCTTTCTTCTCAGGTTGGACTGCTTGCGACGTATCAGCAAAGGCACAGTGGACTTCGGCGTCTTCAGTCCGGAAGACCTGGTTGCTGCGCAATGGGCAGGAGTAGACGTACTGGTCACCAACGAGCTGAGGAGTAAACCGAGTGTGTTTTCGATTGTTTTTAACTTTTTTTTTAATTTTTTTTTATGCAACTTAGAATGGCAAACAGGCTGACGGCCCGCTTGATGGAAAGTGGCAATCGTTGCTTATACACATGAGCAGTACCATGGACATATAGTAGGGCATTGCCCGTCAATTTCCCCCCCTCCCTTCCTTCTTTAGCTACGGCTGTGGTGCATCTAGAGACATGAATAAAGCCATAGACATTATGACACATAATTTCTACACATAACTTTTATCAGAGGGAGACTGTACAAGAATCGATTGCTTGGGTACCTCTGTCCCATTCGTGATTTTACTGTGAAGCAGTTGTGTTAGCATGGGTGTTTTGAAGGGTGGGATATGGCGTGAATTTACAGGGTACAGAGGAATAACACCCTCCTCAGGAATGGCAACGCATGGAAGGTATCATGGGCGAAACAGTATACTCTGTTATGTCCATGATACTGCTCATGTTTATAGGCGACGGTTACCACTTTACATCAGGTGGGCCGCCAGCTTGTTTGCCATTCTAAGTTGTATAAAAAAAAATCTGTGATGATCTTTGGTACCTCTCATGTGGTGTCGTTCCTCTGTCTGTGATCTTATATAATTATACAATAAGGATAGGTATCTTGTAGTTACAATCTATACATATATTGGCCCAAAAACAGATTTATTAGATATCGGTTATCCAAAATATAATACCGAAAAGATGAACGCGTTTATATTGAATATAGATATCCGACTGGTATGGGCGATATCGTAATGGGTGGTCATCAATGTACAGAAGTACACAATATATAGATTTCGGATTTTACCTATCTCAGCCACGCAATGCATTTCACTGCTATAACCCTCATTACACCGAAAGACAGCCATGCGAGTACAACTGCTACACGATAGAAACTCGAGCAAGTCAGAAGTGGCCATGAAATGTGTGTTTGTACAAATTCTCCCTTTGATCAAATTTTTTTTAAAGGATGATAATGGAATGGTAACCCACTTACGCTATCGGTATACACTGGCGGGGCACCAGTGAGGGATGATAGGTGAGGATCAAAGCAAAGCAAAAATCAGCGAGCCCATCGTGATGAATTCCATAAGAAATAATCATGATGGTTTCCAGAGGGCATATTGACAGAGTATATTGCTAACAATGGGGCTGTTAAGACCCCGTTACTAACAATCCCTTCTTCCCGATAGCACATTTGATGCTTCAATTACATCTTCATCAATTCTTAGCTAAGAAACATGCAAAGTTTTTAATGTCAGCTAGATTTGAAGTCGGGTTTTGTAAATTTCCAGAACCATTCGAAAGATCGGTAGTGGCGGTCGCGAATCGTCGCATTTTATTGGACGGGATGACGTCTCTGCATGCTGTCATGCAAAACGCCACCCTTTGCCACCCAGGAGTGGGTGTGGACGATATACGACCGATGAGCGACACACTGTCTGGGGTAAGTTCATTTCAAATGTCGACTTTCAAAACTTTACTAGTGACATAACGGACTATTTTCATTTTAATGCTTAAACTTCTGAACCGATATTGATCAAATCTTTATGTGGCCACATAAAGTATTTATCGATGCTAAAACAATATTTTTTAAAAATTTTATCGATCTGTTTGCTTGTTTGTTTGATTATTGATGAATAAATGAACTTTATTTGCTCAAACACAGGGTAACACATAAGACATTTTTAATGTTAAAGTAAAGACTCTGTATTCAACCGTATGGCATGCAAATATTTGGAATTTGTTTCTAAAATTTTGCATTAAAATAATCTTCAAGTGAATAAAACTATTCCTCAATAAAGGCTGTCAGGCTTTAAAAATGTTTTTACCCTGTAAATTCACTGCCATATCCCACCCATCAAACCGAACAGCTATGCAAACACAACTACTTTACGGTAGAAACACGAATGGGACAGAGGTACCTAAGCAAACGACTTTTATACAAAATTTACCTCTGGTAAACAAAATCTCTTGGTGGTCTGGCTGGTTCTTTGTAATAATAGAATCTTTGCGGAGCAAAAACTGCTTAATGCTGAGGAAAATCTGTTTATTTTGTAAGAATACTTTACTAGTTAGACCTAGTATCGAGACCTTCTTGTAATAAATCTCTCTTCGCTTCCAGATTGACACAAATTACCTGACTATTAATTATTATGCAACCTTTATTAATGCAAATTGCCATAACAACTGTAGATAGTGTTATCCGTTTTATAATCTGTGTTATTTAATGACATAATTATTTTTTTTTATTAGCAAACCTACCAAGAGGAAACTCCTTTGTTTTTCCAACGTACAATTCAATATATTTTTCATGGCTATGTTACAATTTATGAATATATTTTCAAAGTAATTGAATATTAAACGCTAGTGACGTATTCGGGACCTTCATTTTGAATCACTTTATATATGGATGAAAACCGTAATAATATTCGTTGCGTAGTTTAAAAAATATAAACATATAATTTTGACAATTTTTGAGGGTAACAATATAGAGTTTTCATTCATTCATTATGGTACTGTTTTTTTTTTATTTAAAGATTATTAAAAAAACATTACGACATTGTAATTATAATAATGTGCCGTGTGGTCCCGGCATAGAACAGGTCACTCCTTCCTTTCTTGTAGGTGTCGTATGAGACAACTAAGGAAGGATGGACAACAGCGTCCCCCTTAAAACATCTCCAAAGCCTAACTGCGGTTTCAAATCCACCTGCCTAGCTTGGCAACTAGTGGCAAAACCCCCGAAGGCTTATTGTTCAACAATGTACAGTTAAAGGCTGACATGAGAACTATAATAAATGTGAAAGTGAATTTATTTTCTCTTAATACCTTAACAATTAAACCAATTATCATGAAATTAGGAGTTTAGGGTACAGGAGGATTAAGTTTACTCTTTATCCGGGTCGATTAATATATCCCGTTTAAACAGAGTAAGCCAACGGCAGGCATGAGCGTATTTAACAATGAAGTCGTGTCTATCCTAGAATTGTCTAGTGCCCAAGTCAGGATGCGAACAGAGCTTTTAATTATACGCAAAAGACACACAGTTGAGAGTATATATGTACCTTTTATAGGCCTTTTATGCCAGGCCAACAAGGGGAAATAATATTAAGACCCTGCTTGTATCTGGCGCTTCGGTGCAAAAATTTTCTTGACGTGGACGTCACGAAAATTTTCTCCAGAAAATAAGTACAGTCGATTTAAATCGTCCACCGAATGTGGCGCATCCCATAAGAATACGTGCAATGCATTGTTGCCGATCTTCCTCCGACCGAAGATCCGCGCCCCGATGACCAATCAGACGTCGAGTGCGAGCGTTTAGCGATGTAACTTAGACTTAATGACCACAATCAAAGTCCAGGTGAAAACCAATCTTGTGTAGTGTGTTCAGAGTAGAAAATTGTAAGCAATATGATATATTGACGTTCCGTCGCGGTTGATCGACGACCGAAGATGGCCTAATGTTACGCTAGCTTAAAACTACAAATAGCTTAAAACTAATAATTTTATTAATTTCTTTACAGTATTTGGAGTCCTTGGTGTTGGAGAGAGCGTGTGATCCGAAATTATCGCTCACTGAAAACCGTATCAAGTCGCTGGCCCAGTTCTTCGGGAAGGCGTGTAAGGCTGGTCCTTGGGTGCCGGACCAATGGCGAGATGCTGAACTCAGTAAGATTTTTTTTCATAATACAAAGCATGCTGCATAAACTGAGGGAGACTGTACAAAAGTAGTTTACTTGGGCACCTCTGTCTCATTCATGTTTCCACTGTAAAGCTGTTGTGTTTGCATGGCTGTGTTTCAGTTTGAAGGGTGGGATATGACAATGAATTTACAGGGTACAGAGGAATAACACCTGAGTCCTCAGGAATGGTAACGCATGGGGTGTATCATGGGCGAAACAGTATACTCTGTTATGTTCACGGTACTGCTCATGTCTATAGGCGACGGTTACCACGTTCCATCAGGTGGGCCGTCAGCTTATTTGCCATTCTAAGTTATATAAAAAAAACTGACCTTCATCATTTCAAACTGAAAACATTTCGTGGGAAATGTATGCATAAGATAAATAAAAAAAAATATGTCATGAAAATTTTTATAAAATATCTTGTCACGAAAAATTAATTAATTCTTAGAGCGCCGTTATCGGTCGCTGTGCGCGGCTTGCGGCGGCCGCTGCGACACCAACGACCCCTACTGGGGCAATCAGGGCGCCCTCACGTGTCTGGCGGAGGTTGGAGATGTCACGTGGGCTGAGTTGGAAGATGTCCAGACTTATTTTGGGGTGAGTACTCAGCGTGCAGGTCCCGGATTTTTTGATATATGATAATGGAATGGTACCCCACCTGCGCTATTGGTATACACTGGCGGGGCACCAGTGAGGGACAATAGGTGAGAATGAAAAGGCAGGTCAGTTAGCTCATCATGACGAATTCAACGATAAATTAGTCACGAAGGTTTCCAGGAGGATCCGCGTGGAAGTCGACCTGATAAGGTATATTGATAGAGATGGACCTCCCCATTACTAACAATCCCTTTCCCCTTCTAGATCCCGGAATAGATCTCCTCTTCCTTTGCCATGGATATCGTGAGAGGTGATCAAGGGAGCTGAAAGTCGAGGAATGCGCAACAGCGTTCCTTTTAAAATATCACTAAAAGCCTAACTACGGTTGCCAACCTGCCTGCCAAGCGTGGCAACTACTGGCAATCCTCCAGCCTATGGCTATGTTCAGCAGTGGACAGTTAATGATTGCAACAATTTTCAACCGACTTCAAAAAAGAAATGAGATTCTCAATGCGTTTGCATTTTTTGTCACCTCAGAACTTAGTCATAAATAAAATGGGATTTTTTTATCTTAAAGGATATGCCTTAAATTAGGTCCCATAGAAATTTTATCAAAATTCGTTTCTGAAATTTAGTTTTTAAATCAAAACTGGTTTTGGCACAATTGAAGTTGTTTTTTTTTTTTTTCCCAAATCGATTTACAACTGACGAAGTTACAGTAAACAAACATTAAAAAAACATGCAACCAAATTGAGAACTTCCTTCTTTTTGAAGTCGATGCAGAAATATTTTTTTAATTTTTTTATTTTAAAATTGTTAAGGGTTTTTACCTTCTTCGGGTAATGTATATGAGTCCTATTGGTATTTTATGCTTATAACACGTTAACATTTCAGCTGACCCAAAGAGAGGGGCACGCGTCAGCGGACCGCTTCGCGTACCTCTGTCGCGACGGTTCCTTCATGGACCTCGACGGCTCAGAGCCCTGCGTCTGGTTGCACAGACCCTGGCCCGTCATCGTTGCTAAACGGTAAATTCAATTTTTGTCAAACAAAATAGAGGTAGCAATACTTTTTTATGGGGAAAAGCCTTTTGCGGATTAAAATTCTTATGGCGTTTTTAAATGGGAATTTGCTATGTGGTTCCGGCATGGAATAGGTCATCCCTTTCTTTCCCAGTAAGTATCGTCTGAAGCGAATAAGGGAATGCTCGAAGGATAGGCAGCAGCGTCTCTCTTAAAACATCACCAAAGCCTAACTGCGTTTACCAAACCGCCTGCCAAGCGTAGCAACTACTGGCAAAACCTTCCAAAGATGAGGCCTATGTTCAGAAGGGGACAGTTAACGGTTGATTTGACGATATTGTCTCACTGCTGCGCAAAGATCTTCCGCATCGCCTTTCAAAAGTTCTGCCCCACCTCAAACCAACCAGACCAGAGGGAGACTTTATACAAAAGTCGATTGCTCAAGCACCTCTGTCTCGTTCATGTTTCCACTGTAAAGCTGTTGTTTGCATGGCTGTGTTTCAGTTTGAAGGGTGGGATATGGCAGTGAATTTACAGGGTACAGAGGAGTAACACCTGAGTCCTCAGGAATGGCAACGCATGGGGGGTATCATGGGCGAAACGGTATACTCTGTGATGTCTACGGTACTGCTCATGTCTATAGGTGACGGTTAGCACTTTCCATTAGGTGGGCCGTCAGCTTGTTTGCCATTCTAAGTTGTATAAAAAAAATCTCAGTCATCGAGTCATCGCTTCTTGAACCAGCCTCGGCGACGTTGGCCAGCTGTAGGTACCCAAGGACAGTACAGGTGCAATCCTTTACCCACTTATTGGGACTCATGTGGTTAATGCGATCCGCCCAATCCCACTTAGGTTTGGTCGACTTTTGACAAATTACGAGTATTTACGAAATTTTAATTTTTTTAAATAAATTTCGGAAATAATAAAGTTATTCATTTGCGAAAATATTTTTTTTCAGGAAATCAGCTGAATCCGTGGCAGCTCTAGCTAGCTCCCTGAGAGCGAGTTCAGTTCTGGTGGATCATCATTGGCGTGGTGCTTTGGCAGCGCTTCTCGAGATACACCTCGGTCTGCCGGATCCACTGCAGCCGCCAGTAACGCCTATGGACTACCTGGCCAGAGCTAAGGGCTTCAGGGAGGCTTACAGTCAGAGCGGATGTGATCCACCCAGGTAATTTTAATAAGAAAATGTTAAGGTAATAATGCAAGTGTATGGCAACACTAATTTTATTTATTTATTGTCTGTGGTTCATAGACTATATCATAAAAAAAGAAAAAGTGTATAGTCTTGTTGAGTCCTTTTTCTGATTGTAGTGTAGTTGAGAACAGATGATGAATGCTTGGATAGCTAGTTCAACAGAGGGAGACTTTGTACAAAAGTCGATTGATTGGGTACCTCTGTCCCATTCGTGTTTCAACCGTGAAGCAGTTGTGTTTGCATGGCTGTGTTTATGTTTAAAGGGTGGGATATGGCGTGAATTTACTGGGTACAGAGGAATAACACCTGAGTCCTCAGGAATGGCAACGCATGGGGGGGGGGTATCATGGGCGAAACAGTATACTCTGTTATATACATGGTACTGCTCATGTCTATAGGCAACGGTTACCACTTTCCACCAGGTGGGCCGTCAGCTTGTTTGCCATTCTAAGTTGTATAAAAAAAAAACACTATATATAAGATTCATGGTGCTGTTACCACGGTTGCCACATACCATCAGGCAGGCCATTAGCTTGTTTGCCATTCTAAGTATGATAAAAAATTAGCTTTATTTAGTTTGGAACTAGGTGACGCTAAATATATCTCCAGTGGTATTTATTTATTGGTGCCATTTGTCCTTACAGGCACATCACCCTGTGCACAACGACGATATTGGAGAAGAACAAATGCGAGTGGCTGAGCGAGGCAGGCGCGGTGTACGGCATCGCGCCGCCCCTCCAGTGCTCCCTAGGGGGCAGCACTCGGGACTGTCTACACGCTGTCGCCAGGGGCGCGAGCGATGTGGTGATCACCAGCAGCGAGTGGCTTGTGGCGGCGATGAGGTCAGTACTGTCCAAATTTGAGATTTAAATATTGACGTATTCAATGGGGCCAGGGAGCTAGGAGTGAACAAAAATACATAGATATTGCTATATATAACCCATAATATATATGTTTATATACTTACCTACCTTTGTCATATCTATATACTGCCAACCCGACTGCCAAGCGTGACAACTAATGGCAAAACTCCCCTTATGGAGAAGGCTTATATCCAGCAATGGACAGTGAACGGTTGAAATGATGATGATGATGATCCATTGACGAATATGTTAAAAGTTTATTATCCAAAAAAATATACATACATATATATATATATATATATATATATATATATATATATATATATATATATATATATATATATATATATATGTGTAATATTCACCTCTATGGCAAATTTACGAATCTGCAGTTTTTTCAAATTTGACATTTTTTTTTAAATCTACATTTTGCGTCATACTACTTATTGTGGCTTATTTTCAAATTTCTATCTCTAACGGTTAAAGAAATCGAGTAGCTCGAATCTCCATATTTTTGTGATACACCCAAAGTAAACTTAGCATATATTTATAGTATTTTCTATAATAAACACTTTAATTTGAAAATTTCAACTCTCCTAACTCCCCTTCTCGTTAATAGAAAAAGTCATCAGGGGTCCGCTCATTTTAACGTCGAATTTTCTATCCTTTATTGATACTGTATCACCACTTTTAAAGCGTGGCGCGGTCAAAAAATCAACTGCATTCATCCCCACATATCAAACATCACTGATGCCCCGCCAATATGCACCAGTAGAAGATGTCCATTGTAAAACTGGCGCCTTGTTTCAGGGATTACTCAGTAGCACCAGTACTTCACGAAGCCACACCAATCGTGGAGAGAACCAGCACTGTGGTCGCCGTAGTCCGCGCCGACGCTGGCATAACCGACATGTCAATGCTCAAAGGCAAAAAGGCTTCCTTCCCGAGCTACGACGGTGTCGCTTGGCACTCCGTTGTTAGATATTTCATGAGAAAAGATAACCTGACTTGCGGCGACATGGGACAGTACTTCGCAGAAGTATGCGCTCCTGGTATCGAGAGCCATAATGTTAGCAGGAATGTTATAAAGAAGCTGACCAAGAGTTGTTACACTGATGATGGGGTTATCATGGCTGGAGAATTGCCAGCGTTGAGAGCAGTTATCGAGGGAAAGAGTGATGTAGCGTTTATAAGTATGAACACTTACAATATGTATACAGGTTTGTGTTTTTTAATCCATTTTATTCTAAGCCATCTTAATATATTTTAAGTCCTTAATCCTCAGAAAAGGCAAGGCACGAAGTGTGCTATGGAAGTCACCATTTATTTTGTGGTCTCCATGGTGCTGTTCATGTCTATAGGCGGTGGTGTTCCACTTCCATCAAGTGGACCGTCAGTCTGCTTATATTTTTTTTATACCACGAAGGTGGCAAACTTATATACAACCATCTGATAGTAAACGGTTACTGCAGCCTATGGCCGCCTGTAACACTAGGCGTGTCACGTGGGCGTTGCCGACTCTGAAGAAACCTTAATGTGCCTTTTTGGGTAATAAACCCATTGTAGTACTCATCCCCATTTTTGTAGCATAAAAAAAAAACTTGAATTATCCACTTTTTTGTGATAGTATTACAAAAAATTGGATGTACATGATGATCTTGTCACAATTTTTCCCCGTTTCAATTCTTCGGAGCAAAGCCTCAAAAAGTTTATAAACGACACAATTGTGAGGTGACAAAATTTAAAATTAAACCGAATAGAGAGCCTCATCTTTTTTTAATGTCGGTTGATAAGCATAGACAATTTTTTTTTAAAATTGCAGCTCAACAAATTACAGAAGACTGGGCGAGTAGCCAAAAGAAATTAGTACCAGTTTGCCCCGAGGAAAATAAGAAATACTGCTTCATAAGCTGGTCGAACATTGGCCATATTTTAGCATCAAAGAATTTAACAACGATGAGACGCCAGGAAATCATAAATGTTTTCACGAAATTGGATCAGTTGTTTGGCAAACACTATCCGTTCCACAACGCCATGTTCTCTATGTATGGTCCATTCAACTTTAAATTAAATATTTTGTTCCATAATGACACGAAAATGTTAGCCACGGACGACATGTTGAACACGCATCCGTACGATAACATCCCTTTAAATTTGGAACGCAGCCTTCGAAATTCAAACATTGACAGCTGTCGAAGTTCTGACTTCGTGGGAAGTTTTGGCGCCAATATGAAACCAAGTATTTTACTTATACTTTCTCTAGTCGTTTATGTTATAAGAACTTAATGTAATTTTAGCGCAATTAAAGATTTTTGTATATGATTTATTATAATTATATTGTTCAATACCAATTTGCATTTTTTTTATTTTTCTGTTTTCTTTTTTTACATAGTGATTACCCGATGCCCACCCGGGGGGAAAAGAGATTGTTAGTAATGGAGACTAAGAATCCTATTGCTAGTAATATAACTACAAACTATCATGGTTAATTCCTGTTGAATTCATCATGATGGGCTACTAACTGGCCTATTTTCATTCTCATCTATCACCCTTCACTGGTGCTCCGCCAGCGTATCCCGTTAGCGCAGGGTTACCATACCATTTTTATCCACCAAAAAAAAACCCTATCCCCACCCAAGTTATTTCTGCTAAACGAGTAGATCAGTTATTTTCTGTCCATTAGATTATTTTTATGAGAATAAATAAATTATTATAATAAATTATTTATTGTCATAAAATATATAGATTAGGTAGAAATGACACTCCTACATTTTTCTTGGTGAAATTTGGATAATATTGAGAATTCATGTAACAAATAGTTTTACGAGCAAGGAGTAAGCTATTGCGTTGCATTTTGCGAGCAATGCGGACCAAGTATCTGTTCCCTCTAGGGTTAATATTATGGGATACCTTGTCAAAATTGAATTATTAAGCTAATTTGGCTTCCCCCAGGTAGGATTTGTTAACGATGTTGTCTTTAGTTCCCATTGCCAGTAATTAGGCATGGGAATATGGAAACCGATCGGATATATATATATATATATTAGATTTCTCTGGACATTGATGGTGGAAGAAAGGTTCGTATATCATCCATTTCGATATCGCCCATATAGATTTTATTTTCGAATATGTTAAAAGAGTGTAATTCGATATTATTTTTTGGATAACAGATTTTTAACATATTCGTCACTAGCGATTCGACCCGGCTTCGCACGAGTAGACAGCATTTTAAAAAATCAATATATAATGTAATAAAAAAGTTTCAGCCAATTTCATCTGATCAGTTTTTTTTATATGTCATTCTTTATATTGATATAACTTTTTTTATTTATGAACCAATTGATACAAAACAATCATTAAATGTTAAGTGGCGCAAACTACAAATTATTAGTGAAACCCGCATTCAAATCTTTTGATTCTTTTTTATACCACTGAGGTGGCATTCAAGCATACGGCCCACTTGATGGTAAATGTTTATCGTAGCTTATGAACGCCTGCAATACCAGGGGTATTACGCGCGTGTTGCCGACCCTGAAGAAATTTCTTTACTCCCCTTTTGAAAAACCCCATGCTGTAGTCTCTTGGGAAAACCTCGACAGGGAGCGTGTTCTATAACCTGAGTGTTCGTGGGAGACAACATCTCTAAAACCGCGCTGTACGCGACCATTTAGGCTGTAGGATATGAGGGTGAACTCCCTGTCGATGGCGAGCTGCACGATGGTAGAAACTGGCCGTGGCCGATTGTTAGTAATGGAGACTGAGAATCCCATTGCTAGCAATATACCCAACCAGGTCGACCTCCTCGTGGTTCTCCCTGGAAACTATCATGGTTAATTCCTGATGAATTCATCATGCTGGGGTAACTGGCCTGTTTTCATTCTCATCTATCACCCTTTCACTAGTGCTCCGCCAGCGTATTTAGTCTGTGAGCGTATCCTGTTAGCGCAGGCGGGGTTACCATACCATTTTCACCCATAAAAAAAAAATTATGCTCCTTAGCGGAAAAATAGAACAATAATCATAAACAAAAATATTTTTACTGTCGACTCAGTGCAAATAACTTTACATGCTTTAAACATGTCTTTTTAATCTGTGCTGTGTGCTAGTGTTGCCCATTATACTACTACACTAAGAACCAAGAATAACAAGTCTTTACTAATCGTCACTAGACTTCACTCTGATAACTGTGTGCAGCGTTGCCAGATTTGGTATATTTTTGCAATTCTGGTTAAATAATTTTCTGTGTACGAAATTTTGGAGAAATGATACCTATAATTTTAGAAGTATTTGGAAAAAAATAAATGGCAATTTACCAGATTTTATTCCTATTTTAAATCGTATATTAAAAAAGTGATGTGAAAGGGCATTTTATTCTTTATATTTAGTCACTTGTGTAGTTACATGACAAAACGAATGATATTTATTAATTTTGAGAAAAAAAAATTGACATTTGGGTAAAAATAAGAAATTCCAGGTAGCAACCCTGACTCTTTGGCAATTATTATTAGTTTTGTATGTTTCGCGCTGTTTTCTTTGATTTTGATGAAACTTTTCTAATACGCATTACAATTCATAATTTTTATTATGACTACGGAAAACTTAAGCTCATTTTTGAAAGCATTAGATGTTGTTAAACAGGACCATACTTGCGGTCTTTGCTCAGAACTTTGCAAGAATCCTGTCACGTTGAGTAAATGTTTTCATTTAATATGTGCAGATCATTTCAAAGATTTAAAATATTGTCCCGTTTGTAAAATATCCCTAGACGGATGCTCTACCTTTTCTGATGATCGTTTGAATAAAAGTGTAGAGGCGGTCGCCGAGTTGGGCAAAATTTTTGATAAGTTCAAACCCGAAGATTTGAGACTAACTAGAAGCGCAAGTGTCGAGGAAAAGCCTAAGTCCAAATCGAAACCGTACAAAGCACCCAGTTCTAGCTCAAAAAAGGTAGGTAAAAATGTTCTATCTGATAAAACCAACCAGTTAAAACCAGACTTGGAGTCGTCGTTAGTATCCTCTATTAGTATTAAGACAGCTGAGAAAAGAAATAATAAAGGGGAGACTATGCTGCACATCGCGTGCCGTTTAGGCAAGCTCGATAAAGTTACAGAATTGCTAAATCAAGGCGCTAACACAAATACTAAAGATAACGCAGGCTGGACACCCTTACACGAGGCTGTTCAAAATGGCAGATTGGATTTAGTAAGTCTGTTGTTACAGTACAATACGTTGATAAATGTCCCAGGTCAGGGTAATGAGACTCCATTGCATGAAGCGGTGAGATTCAATCACATAGATATAGCTAGAGAGCTGGTGAGGAATGGAGCCGATATAAACATGAGGAACTGCAAAGGTGAGACCCCATTGCAGTTAGCGGTTGGTGAGATGAAGGAAACATTGCTATCAGCCTCCGAGGATATTGTACACACTCAAACAGTGAACGTAACTCACATGTCTGCATTATACTCGGAATTGGATTCCGAGGACATACGGATCTACTGTGTGTCAGAGTATCGCACTGTTCATAACAAACTCAAGTTGCTAGTGAAGCATCACAGTAATTTACATATCGAAGCAAAGTTTACTAAGAAAGTAACACATTTGCTGGTAGACACCGAAGATGATGGGGTCTGTCCATCAAGTTTAGACATTCTTCAAGGGATAGTCATGAACATATGGATATTATCATCGCAGTGGATCACAAAGTCCACTGACAGTAAATTAGAGCCTTTCGGTAATTATGAAATAACAGGAATAGGTTCTAAATCCTACAATGGTCCTAAGAATTCCAGATACAATAAGTACAAGCAATTGCCTGGGCTTTTCAATGGTTGTCATATATATTTTCACAATTTTAACACCAAATATGAAATATCGAAGTCTATAGTTGTAAATAAAGCTATACTTACTAAGTTGGTAACAGACGCTGGTGGAATCGTGCTCAGGAGGGTGCCGAATCCAGAATCGATACCGGAATCAGAGAAATTGGTACCGTATCATGCGAAGAGGGATGGAAAATTGACTGACTGCTCGCATTATATAATATTCAAGGACGTTTACGAACCTATGTATAATATGAAACATTTGAAGGCGTTGCCAGTGGGCTGGCTGATTGAATGTTTGGAAAAATATGAGTTGTGTGAGCCCATCGATTATAATTATTTATAATTTATTATTAACGATTGGTGAAATATGATTAATAATTTATAAAGTCATTCCAATATTTAAGCAATATTATAAATTGACCAAAACATATCCACAATTTTACTGTTATAATACAATACGAGAATATATTTGAATTCTGAGAACTTTTCAATTTTAAAACAAAATTTTTTTTTTATTTTGGTAGAATACCAGTGCTGTCAATATATGCTGTTTAAGCACCAGTGAAAGAGGATAAATGAGAATGAAGTTTTTTTTAATGAATGATAATGAAATAGTAAGCCCGCCTGCACTATCAATATACACTGATGGGGCACCAGTGAAGGATGATAGGTCAATTGACCCATCATTTTGAATTAAAAAATAAAACAATCACTATGGTTTCCAGGGGGAAACGCGAGGAGGTCGGCCTGATAGATGAGGAGCTTAATCCCATTACTAACAATCCTTTTCCTCATAGAACGAAGGTTGATGAATGCTACTAGCATTAAGTCCGTCTTTTGTACCATATCTCACTTGGTCAATATAGTTAATTAATAAATGAAGCTAGGTGAGTTGGCCTATCGTGACCAATTCAGCAAGAACTAAATATGATGGTTTCAAGAGGTGACCATGCGGAGGTCGATCTGATAGGATGTATCGGTAATAAAGAAGACTTGATTCCCCATTACTATCTCCCACAAAGTGATCTGATTAGACTTTTACGAAATTGAGAATTATTCATTATGGAGACCATAAAGAATGTAATAGGGAATTTAATTAATTAATTTATTCTGATAGGGGTGTCTTTGCATTATAAATAACCTCTGCTTTAGTCTGTAGTGATAGGCGAGAAAAAAAAATATTCAAAGCCTATTTTCCCGCCAATATATATTTGTTTTTTAATATTTTTTTTTCTATCAGTAAACTTCGAGTGACTACTGTGATTTACGAGCATAGATTAAGGACCTATTAAGAATGTAATATGATGGCGCCATCTGTGCTGAACTTGGCATAAGCTTCTCTATTATTAGTGTCTAGGCATTTACTAATCAAATCCATTATGATTTTTAACAATTGTATTTTTATTTGAGATTATTTTTATCATTATTTAATAATTAAATGACTATTATTAGACATTATAACAAGCCATACAATTGTGATAGTACCTAAGTGTATGCAATGCTAAGTGCATGTAGAATGAAATTGAATTATTTACATGTACATAATATTAAGAATCTACCAATTACATAGGATCGGTTTTTGCTTCACGACAGAAACACGGATAGGATAGAAGTACCCAAGCAGGATGACCTTTGTACAAAGTCTCGATTCTACATTATTGTCTGAATAATTTTAATTCGTTAAAAAACACATGTTGCTTGTTTACTAATTGTTCCAAATGTAAACAAATATGGGTACTTTTTATTCTTCCATGGAATGTGTTTAAAATAAATATTTATACTATACGTTTTTATAAAAAGATGTTTTATTTAATACCTATTTTTGAGACCAGTGTCTATTTATAAGTGAAAGTTACTGTTACAATACGTACATTACGACATTTTCAAATGACTTCAAAAAAGGAGGTTCTCAATTTGTTTTGTTAAGTTTGTTGCGAGCTCTTCTCAGCAATAATTATAAATTGACAACAACTTTCCGAACGCTGCAGTAGATAAAAAAAAAATCACCAATCAAAAGACCTTGTAAGCAAGTTTATTGGAATAAAGACGATTTAAATTGGAGTTTATTCAAGTTTGTTATCTCATAACTCCGTCATAAACCGATTTGGATTATTCTTTTTTTTTATATAAAAAATTACAGAATATTATAATAATTTTCTATACTTTTTTTATATCCTTTATCCGCCGGTGTATACCGATAGCGCAGGCGGGGTTACCATGCCATTATCACCCATTAACCCCCCCCCCCCCCCTGCGTTATCAGTATACACTGGCGGGGCACCAGTAAGGGATGATAGGTAAGGATGAAAGCAGGTCAGTTAGCCCATTATGACGTATTCCACTAGAATTAAACACGATGGTTTCCAGGGAGAACCACGTGGAGGTCTGATGTCTAATTCCTGATGAATTCATCATGATGGGCTAACTGGCCTGTTTTCATTCTCATCTATCACCCTTCATTGGAGCTCCGCCAGCATATCCCGTTAGCGCAGGCGGGGTTACCATTCTATTTTCACCCATCAAAAAAAAAAAAAAATCTAGTCAATATATTTCGGGTATGCAGACTAGGTAGCGAGTGAACACTGGTTGGAAATAAAAATACTTTCTTAAGAGAATAAAATCATATATTTACTATAGTAAGATCACATTATTTCGCTTAATTTAACAATACAGATTAATACTTACATCACAAAAAGTACATAGTCCAACTATTTACTAAACAGCGTTGAATGGAAACCTTTTTAATTCTCTGAAGGGAGTATTCTACTGAACTAGGTGTTATTTACTGTAGTTCATATCACTGGTTATTTGAATAACATTATTTCGTTTAATTCCGCTACCATTAGTATGCGTGCGACTGGCAACACTCGAAGATTAACACATTTTTATTACTTGGAAATTTTACAACCTTCTATAACACCTATCAATCGGGGGGAAAGGGATTGTTAGTATAGGGGTCAAATAGGCCTATTACTAGCAATATACCCTGTCAGGTCGACCTCCTCGTGGTTCCCCCTGGAAACCATCGTGACTAATTCTAGTTTAATTCGTCAGGATGGGCTAATTGACCTACTTTTATCTTCATCTGTCATCCCTCACTGGTGCCCCGCCAGTGTCTACCAATAGCGCAGACGGGGTTGCGCCTGCGCTAACGGTATACGCTGGCGGGGCACCAGTGAGGGATAATAAGTGACAGAATCAAATAGCAGGTCAGTTAGCCCATCGTGATGTATCCACCCGAAATTCAGCATGATGGTTTCCAGGGGGGACCATGTGGAGGTCGACCCGACGAGGTGCATTGCTAGCAATGGGACTAGTAGTCTGCACCACTAACAATCCCTTCCCCCACCTCTCACGGGGCACCGTTCCTGAGGACAGTGATGTTTTTTTAATGGATAAAGATGGAGTAAGGACTTTCCTGCATTACGAGTATACACTGGCAACTAAGGGAACTTCATGGACGAGGGATGGGCAGCAGTGTCCGTCTTAAAACATCACCAAAATCCAACTGCCAAACGTGGCAACTACTGGCAACTTACTCCCCCTTAAGAGGGAGGCTTCTAGCAGTGGACAATTCACGTCTGAAATAATAATTTAATGGGTGAAGATAAAATGGTGCCCCCGTCTATACTAACGGTATACAATGACGGGGCACCAGTGGAGGATGTAGTCAGGTAAGATGGCCCATGCATGGTGAATTCAATATTTTTCAGGGGAAGACCGCGAGGAGGTCGACCCGCCGTGGCTTATTACCAGCGATAAGGACTTAACTGCATTACTGACAATCCTTCCCTTCCCTCCTTAATATATTATAAACGTGAAAGTATTTATTGCCTTTAGAGCTAGACTAGCTAATTCGCCACCGTTTTGGCCTATTTTAATAAAATTTGCCCCCCTGGGCAATTGCCGGGCTGATCCCACACGACTTGTCTCCCTATATTGGGCCTTAGTTATTATGTATTAAGCGCGACAATATTTTTTTTTAAAGAACAAACTCATGGCATTCGATTATATAGATAGAGTATCGAGCCACAAAAACGTGTCAACTTCGTCAGCTAATTGTCAAATTAGCTGACTCGTCTTTTTATCAGTGTTCTATATACTTACGCACACAATGTATCTTGACGTATCAATATTTAATGATTTAATAAATAAACAGAGTTTTTACGCATTAAAAATATGCAGAAATTAAAAGAAAAAATAAATATAGAAGTTATAAAGGAATCACTCGTAACTATTTATCACGCAAAATTGTATTAAAATGTTGACCCGTTTCTCTCGAAGCATTTGTATGAAGACACTCTATCTATATAATGTAAGCTTATGGCATAGTAAGTACTTATATATATTATTGGTTTACAATTCAATACTTGTGAAGCGCAGTTGCCGTTTATTAATTGAGCTGTACCTAAAATGATAAAGTTTTTGTTATTTTACAAGTGTCAATGGGCGCGCGCTCGCTCGCTCCACAAATGTCAAGTGTCGAAGCTTCGAGGCATATATCTGAAAAAAAAATTAAAATTTATTAATCACCAGAGGGAGACACTGTACAAAATTCGTCGGCATGAGTACTTTTATCCTGGCTGCGCTATCACAAAATCAAACTAATGTTGATTGATGTTTAATAAAAAAAATAATCTGTAATTAGTTACACTAATGTTGATCTATAATAAATTTTAATATGAACCTGAAACTGATTAATGTTGATCTATGTGTAATTAAAAAATGAACCTGCAACTAATTAATGTTGATCTATGTGTTATTAAAAAGTGAACCTAGAACTAATTAGTTTTGACCTATAATTAATTTAAAAAATGAACCTGCAACTAATTAATGTTGGTCTATGTGTTATTAAAAAGTGAACCTAGAACTAATTAGTTTTGATCTATAATTAATTTAAAAAAATAACCTGCAACTAATTAATATTGATCTATAATTAATTTTAATATGAACCTGCAACTAATTTTTGTTGATCTATGTGTAATTAAAAAAATGAACCTGCAACCGATTACTTTAATATTGATCCATATTTAAGTTTACAGAGTACAAGAGTCCCCCACTGACCGCACGCTGACGTCGTGTATCCTGAAGACGGCGTAGTGGTCGTTGCGGAACACCAGGTAGAAGTGGTCGACCGGCTCGCTGAGCAGCGTGTGGCACAGCCGCGGCTGCCCGCGCTTCGACGGCCACTCCACGTCCCAGATGTCTTGGAACGAGCAGCCTTTGCTGGAAAGCGATCCATTTATTTATTTATTTAAAGGAACACCAACAGCATATTTTGTTTTTTTTTTTATACAACTTAGAATGGCAAACAAGCTGATAGCCCACTTGATGGAAAGTGGTAACCGTTGCCTATAGACATGAGCAGTGTCATGGACATAACAGAGTATACTGTTACGCCCATGATACCCCCCATGCGTTGCCACTCCTGAGGACTTAGGTGTTATTCCTCTGTACCCAGTAAATTCACGCCATATCGCACCCTTCAAACAAAAGTCTCCTTCTGGTATATAACTCTGGTAAATATTGCATTATAATACATATAACAAACATTAAATATAATACAATATTAATGCACATGCCTATTATAGGTATTCACAGCAACCAGAGGGAGACTTTGTACAAAAGTCGATTGCTTGGGTACCTCCGTCCCATTCGTGTTTCTACCGTGAAGCAGTTGTGTTTGCATGGCTGTGTTTCGGTTTGAAGGGTGGGATATGTCGTGAATTTACAGGGCACAGAGGAATAACACCCAAATCCTCAGGAATGGCAACGCATGGGGGAGTGAAAGGCATCATGGGCGAAAGTATACTCTGTTATGTCCGTGGTACTGCTCATGTGTATAGGCGACGGTTACCACTTTCCATAAGGTGGGCCGTCAGCTTGTTTACCATTCTAAGTTGTATTAAAAAAATTAACATAATTACACAGTACGTGGAAATGAAGTAACAATTATAATGAATTAAATATTGTTTGTAAGACACTAGCCATTTCTTGTGGTTTCGCTCGCGTGGAATAATCATCATCATCTCAGCCATTATCCGTCCACTGCTGGACATAGGCCTCCCCCATAGACTGCCATTAGGAATGGACCCGAGCCACCTGCATCTGCACTGACTACCTGCAATGCATTTGAGGTCGTCCCTCCATGTAGCAGTGGGGTCGTCCTACACTGCGTTTGCCCATACGGGGTCACACTCAAGAACCTTTACACTACAGTTTATGTAGAAAGTATGCAAGCAGGTTGTATCTGAATTTGGTAGGGTTATACGGCCGTATAACATTTTCTATACACTAGTCTGCTATGAATTGAGAAAAATAGCAACCGATGGTGTATCCTTCGTCCTCTTTTTACTAATTATATTTGCATTAGACGAAGAAGGCAACCATATGATTTACAGTTTTTATTTTATCATTCCTTCTATGTAATTCCATGTTCTTAGGTATAAAGTATTAAACTGCCTCCCCCCCCCATTTATAAAAACTAAATCCTTCCACGAAACTATTTTGACCATTACACTGTTTTGTCACTTTCTTTCAACTTGAGAATTTAATACAAAAGTAAGAGACAACAATACAATAGCTAAAGTAGGTTACGCACCTGCTCCTCCCATAGCAGTACTTGTGTTCTATAATGAGGTACGTCGCCCGCAGCTTGTTCAGCTCTTGGTAGAGCTCCATGGGGGTGAACCGCCCATAGGTTTTATATACTGCATATGCTCTCTCTCTGAAATATAATAGAAATAAAATTCATTTTAAAGAGAGTATTGTGAGTGAGGCCGCGTGGTCCCGGCATAGAATGGACCACCCTTTCCTTTCCCGTTGGGGTCGTAAGAAGCCAGTAAGATAATTAACCCTTCTTTGCATAATTGTGAAAATTTCCATCATTGAATGCCCAAAAATTATATAAAAGACCCAGTTTTTTTTTATACACCTTAGAATGGCAAACAAGCTGACGGCCCACCTGATGGAAAGTGGTAACCGTCGCCTATAGACATGAGCAGTATCATGGACATAACAGAGTATACTGTTTCGCCCATGATATCCCCCATGCGTTGCCATTCCTAAGGACTCAGGTGTTATTCCTCTGTACCCTGTAAATTCACGCCATATCCCATCCTTCAAACCGAAACATAGCCATGCAAACACAACTGCTTCACGGTAGAAACACGAATGGGACAGAGGTATCCAAGCAATCGATTTTTGTACAAAGTTAATCGTGTCTGGATACCTTTTTAATGTCCATTGCAGAAAAAAAAACAGCTGTCAAATTTATCTTTTTAACCATTTTTCCTTTAATTTTGAACATGAATTATATCACCTTGATTTATATCACCAATAAACAAAAATCACAAAAAAGGGTTACATTTTTGAGTAATGGACAGCAGCGTCCCTCTAAAAGCATCAAAGCCTAACTGCGGTTGCCAATCTGCCTGCCAAAAGTGGCAACTATTTCTACGTAGTGAAACCTCCCAATAGGGCGAGGATAAACTCCATTGCTAACAATCCCTTACCCCCCCCCCCCCCCATAAGGCAGGTTTTACCAGTAGTAACCATGCTTGGCAGGCGAGTATGCAACCGCAGTTAGGCTTCGGTAACGTTTTAAGAGGGACGCTGCTGCCCATCCCTGGACTGTTAAGTTCTCTTAGTCGCATCTTACGACACCCACGGGAATGCAATAAATTATTACAATAAGATCGAAAAAGGGCTCTATCTTGCACGTTGTCAGTGTTGCCAACAAATTAATAATTGAAAAATTGTTGGCTAGTGTTGCCAACACACAACAGACGGCTGATATAATGACAGATTTATACTCCTTATTGTTTCCTCCAAAAGATTACAATAGTAAACTTATTATAAATATAAACAATTACAAGAAATAATCACAGTGAGAAAACAATGGGCGACCTTATCGCTAAGAGCGATCTCTTGCAGGCAACCTTTGGATGGAGAGGAGTAGTTATAAACAGACATGTGCGTTACCTGGCCTCATAATGCTCATAGTGCGGATGGGCCACTATGGGCCGGCGGCAGGCCAGCATGACCGTGGCCAGCACGGGCATCGTACCCGCGAACGCCGCGCCGCTGCCAGTCTCCCGTTTGATCCATTCCAACAGCTCCTCTTGTGGTATGTCGCTGAATTCACCTGGAAGTCACAGTTGGTTTTTTTTACCGACTTCAAAAAGGACGTTATCTATTCGATTGTATTTTTTTATGTTTGTTACTGTTAATGGATAGGGTCTAACTGCCCCATCGCTAGCAATTTACCCTATTAGGTCGACCTCCACGCGGTTCCCCTTGGTAATCATCGTGACTGATTTATCGTTGAATTCGTCACGATGGGCTAATTGACCTGCCTTTTCATCCTCACCAATCATCTCTCACTGGTGCCCTGCGTATACCGATAGCGCAGGCGGGGTTACCAAACCATAATCATATATATCCCTATATATATATATATATATATATATATATATATATATATATATATATATATATATATATATATATATATATATATATATATATATATATATATATATATATATATATATATATATATATATATATATATATATATATATATATATATATAGGCAATATATAAATACTGTAACTGCAATAATAACCAGGACCTCTTTAATCCGAACTTAAAAATTTGCCCCCCCCCCCCTCCACCCCGTTCAGATTAAAGTACACAGAATTTATAGGGCATTTTTTATGAAACAAAATAGTTTGCTGAAATTTAAAACATACATGTGTATATTCATTTATAAATGTTACATCTATTAAACTTTTTTAAAGAATTCCAATATTTTAATTTGTCGCGAAGTATTTAATGACAAATAACGGCGAGTGAAACCGCGGGCGAGGGTTAAAGAGACCCTGGTATTTCTTTTTTAATGGGTGATGATGGAATGGTAATCCCTCCTGCGCTAACAGTATACACTGGCGGGGTACCAGTGAAGAATAATTGGTGAGGATGAAGCAGGTCAGTTAGCCCATCGTGACAAATTCCACTAGAATTAACCACGATGGTTTCCAGGGAGAACCGCGTGGAGGTCAACCTGATAGGGTATATTGCTGACAATGGATCAGTTAGATCCCATTACTAACAATCCCTTTCCCCGTGGCCCTGGTATTTTACCCACTACCAGAATTAAAGGTACTCACCAATATGCGACATCTCCTGTGAGGTGTTGTCTATGAGGTCCTGCGCGAGGGGCGAGACGGCCACCACCCACAGCAATGGCAGGTATTTCATGTACTTCTTTGGTAGTCTGAAGAAATAATATATATATATATATATATATATATATATATATATATATATATATATATATATATATATATATGTTATTTTTTTTTATACAACTTAGAATGGCAAACAAGCTGACGGCCCACCTGATGGAAAGTGGTAACCGTCGCCTATAGACATGAGCAGTACCGTGGACATAACAGAGTATACTGTTTCGCCCATGATACCCCTATTCCTGAGGACTCAGGTGTTATTCCTCTGTACCCTGTAAATTCACGCCATATCCCACCCTTCAACCCTAAACACAGCCATGCAAATACAACTGCTTCACGGTAGAAACACGAATGGGACAGAGGTACCCAAGCAATCGACTTTTGTACAAAGTCTCCCTCTTTATTGCACCATAAACAAAAATATACAATGACAAGTGAATAATTCAAGTGAAATACAGTAACGTAAATACAGATTGAAATATACACATAAAGGTACAAAAGGCGGTCTTATCGCTAGGGCAATCTCTTACAGACAACCTTTGGTTACAGGAGAACAGATAGAAGTGGGTAGGTGGCGCTAGAGTGAATTAATAATTTTTAATATATATTTTTTTATACCACGAAACTGGCAAACACGCATACGGCCCGTCTGATGGTAAACGATTACCGTAGCCTATGAACGCCTACAATACTAGGAGCATTACGCGCGCGTTGCAGTTAGGCTTTGGTGATGTCTAAAGAGGGATACTGCTGCCCCTCTCTGGACTAAGTTTCCTTAGTCGAGGTATTAGAAATGTGGACATGGAGGAGAATGGAAAGAATAAGCTGGACAGAAAAACTAACGAATGAGAAAGTCCTGAAAAGAGTGAACGAGAAAAGAACATTAATAAAAACAATAGAGAATAGAAGAGGCAAAATGCTGGGCCACCTTATACGACACGAAGATTTTTTAATTCGTGTAGAACCATGTTTCGGTTCCATAAGTCATCACTGATATATATATATATATATATATATATATATATATATATATATATATATATATATATATATATATATATATATAAATAAAAATATATACTTACACATAATACTTCGTGCTCATCAGTAAAGAGGACAGAACACACAACTGTGTCGTGAATAGCAACTTTAGCCGCATCACTAGCGCCGCCATAACACCGTACACGGCCATTTGGGATATATTGTAAAAAATTGCCGCATCTATATTTAAATGTTTCAAAAAGAACACAACATTGTCTATGCCCGCATCTGACTGATCGTCTACGGTGCCCACTTTTTTGTCTGTGCCTTCTTTTTTTATTATCTCCGCGTTGTTCTCGATACCGCTGTCATCTGTGTCCTCTTGGCTGTCCTTTTCTGTCTTCACGCGATTATCTTCCATCTCTCTCTTGCGCGAGGCGCTTAAAGCGTTACACAGCCAGTAATTGCAGACGTTCAATATATTTATTAACGCGAACGGTATTAAAAAGGAATGTAACATATTCTTTATCGAACTCCAAGGTAGAAAGTCGAACACCTCCGAACACGTGTATATTAATGTGTGAAATGTTTTGTAATCACTGAATTTTGAATATAGAATGTCCCATATATGGGAGTCCTCTTGTACTTCTAGGAAGTCACTTATCACCTTTTTCAAATAGAACGACGCGCATACAACTATGGCTATACGAAGCACTACCAGCCACGCTTCGACGAGGAGGTCCAGGCGATTTTGAACCTTAACGCGCAGTGAACTGAAGAATAAACAGTACGCAGACACTACTAGGAAGAACGAGGCGAACAGGGACGATTTTAGCATGTCGTTCCCTTGGAGTAGCAGCACCGCCATGTGTAGGCCGCAGAAGTGCGAGTGCAGGAACACGCATAGTGATTTCACGTCTATGATCCTAAGTTGCTCCATCACGAAGAATATGGCGGTCTGAGTCAGGAATATGAATTGGGAAAATTGCCAGAACAGTAGGCATAGGCAGTTGAGGATGAAGATCGAGACCTGGAAAGGAACAGTGTTCGGTTAATTGGACCGTCATACTCGTGAACGATTGTTTTTTATTAAAAGCTAGTCTTTTTTTTCTCAGTTTCAGGTGTGTACGTGTGTGTATCTTCTTCTCTTTGTAAGTACATGTTTGTGTCTGTGTGAGTGTATTTCTTTCTCTCTTTGTGTGTGTTAAGAACGAACTACGGCCAATACAGTGTGAATCTGGCTTAAAAATATAAGGCAAATCTATTGAATAGAATGGGCTACCCCTTCCTTTCCTGTGGATGACAACTACTAGCAACCATTCCTCCCTTATTAGTTCAGCAGTGGTCATTTAACAGTTTTTTTTAATAGGTTTTTTTTATACAACTTAGAATGGCAAACAAGCTGACGGCCCACCTGATGGAAAGTGGCAAACGTCGCCTATAGACATGAGCAGTACCGTGGACATAACAGAGTATACTGTTTCGCCCATGATACCCCCCATGCGTAGCCATTCCTGAGGACTCAGGTGTTATTTCTCTGTACCCAGTAAATTCACGCCATATCCCACCCTTCAAACCGAAACACAGCCATGCAAACACAACTGCTTCACGGTTGACACACGAATGGGACAGAGGTACCCAAGCAATCGACTTTTGTACAAAGTCTCCCTCTGGAGATAATGGTATGATAACCCCGTCTACGTTATTGGTATACACTGGCAGGACACCAGTGATGATAATGGAATGGTAACCCCGCTTGCGCTGGCGGGATACCAGTGATAGATGACTGATGAGGATGAAAGCAAATCAGTTAGCCCATCCTGACGAATTAAACTAGAATTAGCCACGATGGTTTCCAGGGGAAACCGCGTAGAGGTCGACCTGACAGGGTATATTGCTAGTAATGGGGCTATTTGACTCCATTACTAACAATCCCTTTCCCCCTGGCATGTCACAGTTTTTTTTTTATATTGATGGGTGAAAATGGAATAGTAACCTCGCCTGCGCTTACGGGATACGCTGGCGGGGCACCAGTAAAAGGTAATAGATGAGAATGAAAACAGGCCAGTTAGCCCATCATGATGAATTAACCATGATAGTTTCCAGGGGGAACCGCGAGGTGGTCGACCTGGTTGCTAGCAATATACCCAATATTGTTAGCAATGGGATTCTCAGTCTCCATTACTAACAATCCCCTTCCCCCTGGCATTTAACAGTTGACATGATGATGACGATATGAACCTGGAGCTGGAAGGTGGTCCGCGGGCGGCGGTCGCGCAGCTGCAGGCTGACGAGCCAGGCCTGCAGCAGCAGCAGCGGCGCGGCCATGTTCTCGCGCTCGTTGGGCGCCCACTGCACGCGCGTACACTCGCCGTGGTTCGCGAAGTACTGCGCCACCGCCACGCCGCCGCCGAGGATGCTCTCGCTGGAATGGCATAAGATCATGTAAATACTTCTATGAACTTGAACATCATCATCATCTTCCTACCCTTATCCCAATCATTTGGGGTCGGCGTAATATGATTTTATCTATATTACAAAAAGATTTGGTTTCTAGTTTTACGACCGGCCACCTGCCTGACGTCAACCCTCTTTGGGATTTGGGTATTGTAATTACTGTAATTTTTTAAATCAATATTATTTTATATAGTTGTTATAATTATAAAATGACGTATCATAAGTGTATGTAACAGATGTATATGAATAAAGATGTTTTGATTGATTGATCAGTTTAGATCAGACGCCGTCATACTCGTGAACGGGTCATTTTATGGTAGGCTATGTAATGGATTACATTGTATGTGTTTTTATTTATTTATTTATTCATTAGTACATATATGTGTGTATATGGCGGACTTAATGCTAAAAGCATTCTCTCCCAGTCAACCGTAGGCAAGTGTCAGAATACTCGAATGCGGTACTAGTAATTATTGATATACATACATACTAAAATTACATATATAAACGAATAGATATATATGAATAACAAATATACTTACACATATATGATATATATTATATAATACACGAAATTGAGAATAATATAAAGCTCTTTGACATTTTTTTTTTTACATTGAATTTTTTACATTGAATTTTATAAATAATTTAATTAATATATAGGATGATAATTAATATGTTGTAATGGTGACCATGAGTTAGTTTGTGACTGTTGATTGACATGTTTTATTTTATTTTCAATTTTATTGACAATTTTAATGTATGACTGTAAAATAATTAATGTTTTGTAATTAATCGTATTGTATGCCCGATGTATGGGTAGGCTGTTTTCCTTTGAGACGTTAATAACATCTTACGAAAAATTGTAACATACAGCTCACAATAAATTTATTCTATTCTATTCTATTCTACTTACTGCTTGGATAAAGATAAAAAGTGAGCGTGAACGCTTTTTTTGAAAGACGGTTTAGTCGGTAGTCTCTTAATGGCATCAGGAAGCGCGTTCCAGAGTCGTGAAGAGTGTAGGAGAAAAGAGTGTTTTATTAGATGATAATGGTTTGACATCCTCGTCCACGCTAACGGTATATGCTGGCGAGACACCAGTGAGGGATGATAGGAGAGAATGAAAAGGTCAGTTAGTCCATAGAGATGAATGTACCTGGAATCCAGAACGATGGTTTCCAGGGGAGACCACTTGGAAGCCGACCTGATAGGTGATATTGCTAGCAATGGGACTGGTTTTTTTTTTTGATGGGTGAAAATGGTATGGTAACGCCGCCTGCGCTAACGGGATACGCTGGCGGAGCACCAGTGAAGGGTGATAGATGAGAATGAAAACAGGCCAGTTAGCCCATCATGATGAATTCATCAGGAATTAACCATGATAGTTTCCAGGGGGAACCGCGAGGAGGTCGACCTGGTTGGGTATATTGCTAGCAATGGAATTCTCAGAACAATGGGACTGGTTCCCCTCCTCCTCCCCCATCATCACATTACCTAGGGGCACTACAGCAGAAGTCGTTGACCTTTAATCGTTGTCAGGGGTCGGGTCATCAAAAATTTGCTGTAAGATGCCAGTTTCTAAAGGAAATATAAACAGTTTCTAAAAACTGACCTGAGCGCCGTAGCATGTAGGAACAGTCCAGCCACAGTGAGGCCGGCCAACCACCAGATGGCCTCTAAATAGAATATGATAGGCTGGCCTATGCCGACACAGCTCTCCACCGGCGCGAGGCCTTCCCCTCTGTCCACCATGTGACACTGCCTGTGCGCGGTAGTGTTCAGCAGAGGTTCGAAATACCGGTAGATACTACCAATTAGTACCTGAAATTTAATTATTAAAGAAAGGCATTTTTAGTATAATAAATAGGGATTTACCAGCTCCATTACTAGCATGCTGCTGGTGGTCGTGGTTTTATTTCGTCTCTCTTTGGGTCCAGTTTCTTTTTTTTTATACTATTTAGAATGGCAAACAAGCTGACAGCGTACGTAATGGAAAGTGGTAACCGTCGCCAATAGACATGAGCAGTACCATGGACATAACAGAGTATACTGTTTCGCCTATGATATCCCCCATGCGTTGCATTCCTGAAGACTCAGGTCTTATTCCTCTGTACCCTGTAAATTCACGTCATATCCCACCCTTCAAACCGAAACACAGCCATGCAAAAACAGGTGGAGTTAGCATTTCATTATCATCCCACAAAAAAAAAGTGGGGGAGAGGTCGTTCTACACTGCATTTGCATGTAGGGGGTCACCACTCAAGAAGCTTTCTTTCCTATTGGTTGTCGATTCTTCAAGCTATGTGACCAGCCCATCGCCACATCAGCATTGGATAGATAATGGCCAAGATGATGTTGATAATGAAATTATATTAGTACATTATTATTCTATTTTTCAAAAATGAGTGGGATTCTTTGTCTGTGGTTTATAAGTCACGAAATGCGCGTAGCCATGATTGAGCATAGTCTGACATCATACTTCAAAAATTTTCTCATAAAGACCTCTGAATGTCATAGTTAATTTTGACATTTGTATTTAATTTTCCATATATTTTGTATTGATGCTGTTAAATTACCAGAGGGATGTCTATGTACAAAAGTTGTTTAATTGGGCACCTCTGTCCCATTCGTGTTTCTACCATGAGGCAGTTGTGTTCCAGTTTGAAGGGTGGGATATAGCAGTGAATTTACAGGGTACAGAGGAATAACACCTGAATCCTCAGGAATGACAATGCATAAGTGAAACAATATACTCAGTTAGGTCCATGGTACTGCTTACATCTATAGGGAACAGTTACAGGTGGCCATCAGCTTGTTTGCCATTCTAAGTTTTATAAAAAAAAATTGTTAAAAAACTGTTAAATGCTCAACATTTAATAAATAAATAAAAATAATGTCACAATTTATGGACTATCCAGTGTCTAGAGCCACCATCAGCAGTCAGCAGGGCCCACATCTTATTGATAAGGTCTATCTATCTATCCATTTAAGAGCTGCGCTCTTGTCAGTGGAGCTCTTGATAAGGTCTAAGTCTACTAAAATGTATTCATTTATTAGCCAGTAAGTTAGTTACTATCATGAGGACAGCAACTATGTAAAGTACAATAAATAATTAAAGAAGGTAATATTTTTTTTTTTATAATATCAGCTCCCACAGTACCATAATTCATGTTACAGACTGTTTTCGAGCAAAACTTGAAATTAATGTTTAAGAAATATATTTTCTTTTTATTTTATAACACTTTTTAGAAAGATAATTGTGAGAGGTATAAAATAAACAATTGTAAATTATGGATTAATTTTCCCAATACAAAAATGCCAACTGTAGCTTACTAGGGGGAAGAAGGGATTGTTAGTAATGGAGATTAGCAATAGCATTGCTAGTAATATACCCTATTCCGTTGATCCCTACATGGTTTCTCCTAGAATCCACTGTGATTGATTTATTATTTAATTCCTCATAATGGGCAAACTGTCCTACTTCATCTCATCTATCATCCCTGACTAATACCCTGCCAATGTATACAGATAGCGCAGGTGGAGTTACCATTCCATTACAACAAATTAAAAACCCTTCAAATCGAAACAAACACATTCAAACATGTTGATGTTAGTAATAAAAAACAAAATTAATTGATTTGTCCTCATTTTCTAAGTATCTTAAAATACTTTTGATTAAATTTAAATAAATGTTATTTCTATTTCTTACAAAAATTGAAATAAAGCATCAAGTGCGGTCATACAATATTTATTTGATTATTGGCTTTCATTTTTGCCCCAGCCATTGTGACAGTAAATGGGTCAAATACAGGTTACCTTTCTATTATCATCCATTGAAAAAAAAATGTAACTTACCTCAGGGTGTATGTTGAATCTGTTAAAGGCATTCACATCTTTTGGATATTCCACGAGTCTGTCGTACATCAACTTAGAGATACCAGCTACAAACGGACGCTCCTCCACTATAGTTTTGTAATAGGAGTAGTAGAATCCCATCTCCGTGCGAAAAGACATCTCCCTCTCCATTTCGGAGAGGTAAGAGAAGTTGCGGTCATTTTCAAAGAGGTAGGATACATAACGGTAGTGTGTGTAGCCGAGGCCTGTAGCTGTAAGGAACATTCATCATATCATATCAGCTTTTGACTGTCAACTGCTGAACATCAACCTCTCCCTATTGCAGGTTTTTACCAGTAGTTGCCCCGCTTGGCATGCAAGTTTACAACTGCAGTTATGTTTGAGTGACATTTTAAGAGGGCCGCAGCTGCCCATCCCTCAATTTAAATTCCCTCAGTCGCCTCTTACGACACTCACGGAAACTGAAGGGGTAGCCATTCTATATCAGGACCACATGGAAAAAAAATGGCAAATAGTTCTTTAAGTTATTCTATATTTAGTCAGAACAAATAATTTTTTTTTATACAACTTAGAATGGCAAATAAGCTGACGGCTCACCTGATGGAAAGTGGTAACCAACGCCTATAGACATAAGCCGTACCATGAATATAACAGAGTATACTGTTTCACCCATGATACCCCCCATGCGTTGCCATTCCTGAGGACTCAGGTGTTATTCCTCTGTATCCTGTAAATTCACGTCATATCCCACCCTTCAAACCGAAACACAGCCATGCAAACACAACTGCTTCACGGTTGAAACACGAATAGGACAGAGGTACCCAAGTAATCGACTTTTGTAAGATTCCCTCTGGTAATTAATATGTATAGATCACATTCTTTTGCCTAGAAAACAATCTTACTATGTTTTTTTATCCTAACAACAGTGTATAATGTATAATAATTATCAGTTAATTGTAAATAATAGCAATATAGCATAGGTTGGATACTTGCTTAAATATTTTAAATTTACAACACAATTTAAATCAACTAAAAGGTTTAATGCATAAGTTAATACCAGAGGTTAGGTTTACTGGTACAAACAATTTCTTAATCTAATGAATATTTATTTCTAAGTGGTATTTCAAAAGAAAATTAAGGATTACCTAGGACAACAATTAGAGCGAATTTCAACATTAATTTAACTGAATAATTCCTTTTTACTGGCTCGCTTTTTGTGTCATCATTGTTTTCCTCCATTTTGATCGATTATTTATTATTACATTTCTTATTTTCAATGTATAATTCAATAAAATTGAAATAGAAACAATAAAGATATTTTTATATTATGACAAATGACAGCCCAATAAGAAATTGAAGGACAGTTGACATTAATGATGTTATCACTAGCAAAAAAAAACGTAAGCACTATTCTTAATCTAAGTACTGAAAGTACTTTTTAATCTATGTTTTCCCGTAGATAACACTTTTTAAAGGATGATAATAATAAAATAATTTTTATTTAAGTAAAAACTATTGTTGCTGGTGCAAAAACGAGTTAAATAAATAAATAAACTAAATTATAAGCTTATTTTAATTGTCTTTTTTATGATTTTCCCGTCCTGTTCGAAATGCAATTTCAGCTTAGAAGAATGGCCAAGAAACGCAATTGTTGCTTTTTCCAAATAAAAGTTTACACAAAAAAAAATCATATTTAGACTATTACATATTTTGTATTGATAAAAAGAAAAAACAAACTACAAAGCTACAATCAATCAGAATTTTCTTAAAAAGACCAATCTCTAGAAGCACCCGTTCACGAGTATGATTGATGAGCCAGCCATCGTTATGTTCAACCATATAATAGGGAGCTGAACGATCCGGCCCACCCGACCATAATGGAATAGTAACCCTGCCTGCGCTATCGGTATAATTTGGCAAGGCACCAGTAACGGATGGTAGATGAGGATAAAATCTGATTATATAAGCCACCATGAAAAATTCCACAAAAATTAACCAAGATATTTTCCTAAAGGAATCATGCGGAGGTCGACCTGACGAGCCATATTGTTAGCGATGATGATAAAATTAAAAAAAAAAAGTTAAAATGAATTTGTCTTTTTTTTTACAACACGAAAAAATATGCGTCTCACCTGATGATAAGTGTTCAGAACGCACCTCTTTAGAACATATTTTCAAATTTTATAATGTTATTCTTTTCCATATTTGACAATGTCATGATTTGATTATTAAATTTTTTCTCTACCACAAGCGACCTTACACAACGTCTTATTATTTCGTGCAAATATACAGTATTTTCTTAAGAGTGTGTCTTTCGTTTAATGTAAGTGACTACCGCCGCCCATGAGTATCTGCAGCACGAGAAACACTGCAGGTACGCTACCGTCCAATAGATGTCAGGTTTTAATAGAAGTATTTAATATAATTAATTTGAGACTCTTATTTATGTTTGTTACTTTTATGAACTGATTTGGAAAATTCCTTCTTTATCACCATCATCATATCAGGCTTTAACTGTCCACTGCTGGACATACGCCTCCCCTTGGGGGGTTTTGCCAGTAGTTGTCACGCTTGGCAGGTGGATTGGCGACCGCAGTCAAGCTTTAGAGATGTTTTTTTTTTGATGGACGATAATGGAATGGTAACCCCGCCTGCGCTATTGGTACACGCTGGCGGGGCACCAGTGAGAGATGATTGGTGAGGATGAAAAGGCAGGTCAGTTAGCCCATCGCGACAAATTCAACGATAAATTAGTCACGATGGTTTCCAGGGGGAACAGCATGGAAGTCGACCTGATAAGGTATATTGGTAGCGATGGGGACTAACCTCCCCATTACTGTATGTGTGTGACACTGCTGCTCATCCCTCACCCTCTATTAGTCCCTTAGTCGGCTCTTATGACACTCACGGGATAGGAAGGGGTGGCCTATTCTGTGACAGGAGCATACAGCAACATTTTTTATTTATTTATTTAATTATTTATTGTACACACCAGTTATAAGAATAAGACAGAGGTAATCAAATGTACAAAGGCGAGCTGAACTCTAATAGAGTTCTCTTCCAGCAACAGCCAAAGTGGTAAGGAGCATCAACGTCAGCGGATACAGCAGCGTACAATATTGTGACAATTTTTATACAGATAAAATTATATTAATTGCATTATATTTTATCGTACAAATACACATATACATATACACAAATACATACCTACATCTATGCATATATATACAATATACGTACATACATATATATATAAATAAATATATGTTCATAGAGATAGAGGATGCTCTTTAAGTCTACTCTTAAAAATATTCAGGGATTGATTTTATCTGGAAGAGTATATTTACAGATTGATAGAATAGAAATTTTATCAAAATCGATTCAGTCGTTTAATTTTTAAACCAATATAACTGGATTTGTCACATTTAAAGTCGGCTTTTTTGTGCGACACAAACTTTAATTATTAAATCTACCGGTCATGTAAAGTCGCGGACAAAAGCTAGTGGTCTTTACACTAAATACATATTTTACATATTATTATACCATTTAGTTCATAACTACTTCATGTCAGAGCAAATATCAGAAGATAGGGTTCATTCATCAATGTAATTTAAGACTTATTTTTATAAAGTTAAGGTATATTATTGCTTAATAATAATAATTAATAATGTCGCAATTTGCATAAATTTTGTTTTTGCTCCGAAGTAGGCATCTATAAGTAAATAATAAATCAGTCTTGACTTAGTCATTGAGATCGTGATGTAAAATTTTTGGTTTTTCTAGTTTTCAACTACTATTTTATAATAGCATCTATTTTTTTTAAATTCAATTTTCGATTTGAAGATATCTTTTTTTAAGTGATCGTCGAATATATTTGAAAATAGAATTTTAGAATGTTTCTGTGTACCATCCTGTGTTTAGTCTGTAGTGAGTACCTATTTTTTTTTAATTACTGCAAGAGGCTATGAGCAAAATAGACGTATCTATTATTAGTTGCTTTTATTTTTAACTGACTTAAAAAAGAAGGAGATTCTCAATTTGTTTGTATTTTTTTATGCTTGTTACCTCATAACTCCGTCAGTTGTAAACAGTTAACTGTTATAAACCAATTTCGAAAATTCTTTTTTTTTTTGTAAAGATATATTTACAGATTGGTCCATAGAAAATTTTCAAAATTCAAAATACTGGGATTTCGCTACAAATGAAAATGTAGATCTTTTTTTTTTGTAAAACACAATTTAATAATTTTTAATTCCTTTGACAACTGTAACACGTTATGGGCAAAATATAGATGTATCTCTAATTTTTTTTTCTAATTTTTACTATTCGAATAACAATAAAAAAATTAGTTTTTAACGTTACCTCAAATGTAATTTACTGTCGTGCGTGTTGTGTGTATAGAAATTTCTTGGTGACAGCCACATAATTGAAAAAAGAATTATAAAGACATTCTAACGTCATGTGAAATTGTGTATTTTGTTTATTTTTATTTTATTTCTATAAAAAAAAACCATTAATAGAACAGTAAGGGTTGTAATAAATTGATTCTATGGTTTCATTGAATCAGTGTTGATGACTTTATTTGCCATGGCGATGTAGTGTGTCTGGCATGTTTGCAGAGAACAGGGTTAATGATTTTTTTGCTATTTTACATAATTATAAGGCAAAATTTCATGACAGATTAATGACAACAAGTAATCATATTATAAAGACTGTATTCCTCACTGCATACTTGACGACAAAAGATTTTATAATGAAATAATTTAAATTTGTATTTTGTAATTGATGTGTATTTTAAAAATAATAATAATAATTTGTATAAATATTAATGTAACTGTAAACTATGGGTATATACCTGAAAATAAAGAGATTTATTTATTATAATTATATTGAGTGATTAATTAATGAAATTTACAATTGACAAACGACACTATCACATGGACTTTACAGTATGTACACCGTGCTTTCACTGACACTCCATGTGGTCCCCGTAACTCCACGTGTGGGATCCCATAGAATGTCTACACAATACAGTCCCAGTGAGGAATGATAAGTGATAATTAAAGATTATGTTCCACAAGAAAGGAACTGACTTCAATTGCGTAAAAACCAGTTTTTGATTTCTAAACTAGCGATGGGTAATATTTACCAGAGGGAGACTATACAAAAGTCGATTGTTTGAGTACCTCTATCTCATTAGTGTCTCTACCGTGAAGCAGTTGTTTGCATGGCTGTGTTTCGGTTTGAAGGATGGGATATGGCGTGAATTTACAGGCTACAGAGGAATAACACCTGAGTCCTCAGGAATGGCAACGCATAGGGGGGTATCATAGGTGAAACAGTACACTGTTATGTCCACGGTACTGCTCATGTCTATAGGCGACGGTTACCACTTTCCATCAGGTGGGCCGTGAGCTTGTTTGCCATTCTAAGTTGTATAAAAAAGTTGTATAAAAAAAATTTGGAATATCAATATATTTTAGTTACATATATATACATAGTTGCGTTTTGAATGCGTCATAATCATTAAGTCATTCCGTCGCGTCTGTTTATTTTAAATTTCAATTGTAAAGCAAACATTTCTTAAAACTAACCTACTTCCAATCATCGAACACTGCTTAGGGAAAACCCCAAACCACAGAGTAAATAATAAATACAAACATTGCCATGAATATATGATATTTTTTTTAATGGGTGATAATGGTATGGTAACCCCGTCTGCGCTATCGGTACACAATGGCGGGGCATCAGTGATAGATGACTGATGAAAGCAGTTCAGTTAGCCCATCCTGACGTATTCAACTAGAATTAGCAACGATGGTTTCCAGGAGGAACAACATGGATGTCGACCTGACAGGGTATATTGCTAATAATGAGGCTATTTGACTCCATTACTAACAATCCTTTTGCCCCCAATATTTTTGATATGACGTCAAAATACATAATTTACCGTGTGGTCCCAGCGTAGAATGGGCCACCCCTTCCTTCTCGTGGGTGTCGTAAGAGGCGACAAAGGGAACTTAATGTAAGAGGGATAGGCAGCAGTGTCCTTAAAATATCACCAAACTGCGGTTGTCAATCCGTTTGCTAAACGTGGCAATTACTAACAAAACCTCTCTGATGGAAGAGGCCTATGTTCAGCAGTGGACAGTCAACAGCTAATATGATGATGCGTAATGAACTTTTTTCCGCCATCAATGTCACGAGGAAGCCAATATATATATATATATATATATATATATATATATATATATATATATATATATATATATATATATATATATATATATATATATATATATATACAACTGAGAATGGCATTACTGTTTCGCCCATGATACCTCCCATATATATATATATTCAGAGTGATACCGAAATTGCCTAAGAAATTATATTGTCTAATATTTTATTTTTGGAAATGTTTTTTAATGGCTCTGGAAACTGGTTCTTTTGTGCTTTGTTACGTATTATATATTTTGTTGCTATTCTTATTTTTTTATAGCTTTTTTTTTATTTCAGTAATGCAGTCCGTTATCTGTGGCGATGCATGCGAAAGATACAAAAGAGCTACATGTCGGTTTGTATTAATTTTATAATAAATTGTCTAATATATTTATTATATTTCTATAGGGAAAACTGAGATATAATAGTGGTCCTTAAAAACTTAGTGTAATGGAATGGCAGTAAGATATGTGAGGATGAAAGCGGGCTAGTTTACCTATCATAGCAAATTTGACAAGAATTAACCACAATGGTTTCCGGGGGAAACCGCGTGGAGGTCGAACTGACAACGTTTATTGTTAGCATTGAAACTGTTAAAGTCAATTATTCCTCCAATGTAGGCTATTAATATTATATTATCTGTGGTAGTAATGTTATTAAATAAATCTTGTAATGGTCACTATTTTCCATCTGGGCTCTTAACTTGTTTACCATTCTTAGTATTATAAAAAAAAATATACTTATTAATTATTTATCATGGTACAGAAAAGACCAGTGGCAATGTCGCGACGGCACGTGCATCGGCTTCGACGGCAAGTGTGACGGTGTCGTCGACTGTCCGGACGGCAGCGACGAGACGCACCCGCTCTGTAGAAGCAGCCGGTTAGTACTGCTCGACACATGTTTAATGTAACTAATGACGGCGTCATGTCGTCGTACACTGCGACGGCAAGTGTGACGGCGTCGTCCACTGTCCGGACGGCAGCGACGAGACGCACCCGCTCTGTAGAAGCAGCCGGTTAGTACTGCTCGACACATGTTTAATGTAACTAATGACGGCGTCATGTCGTCGTACACTGCGACGGCAAGTGTGACGGCGTCGTCGACTGTCCGGACGGCAGCGACGAGACTATTCCTTATGTATCACCAGAGACTAGTGCGTCTGAGTATATTTATTTATATATTTTCATGTTCAGATGTCAGAGCAACTGGTTCCGGTGCACGTACGGCGCATGCGTGGACGGGACTGCGCCGTGCAATGGCGTGCAAGACTGCGCGGACAACTCGGACGAGCTGCATCCGCTCTGCAGGAACGAAAGCCGACCAATCAAGTAAATATACTTGTAAATACAACATACATAGTGGCATGTAATCCTAAAATAAACCAGTATTGTACTGTGAGTACTTTTTCTTCAAGTTCCACTCCTATAGGTGTTTTTTATGGATCATAAAAGAATGGTAACCCCACCTGCGCTATCGGTATTCGCTGGCGGGGTACCAGTGAAGGATGATAGGTGAGAATAAAAAGGCAGGTCAATTAGTTCATCGTAAAGAATTCCACGATAGTTTAAAAAAAAGTCGATTGCTTGGGTACCTCGGTCCCATTCATGTTTCAACCGTTGAGCAGTTGTGTTTGCATGGCTGTGTTTCGATTTGAAGGGTGGAATATGGCGTGAATTTACTGGGTACAGAGGAATAACACCTGAGTTCTCAGGAATGGCAACGCATGGGGGGTATCATGGGCGAAACAGTAAACTCTGTTATGTCCATGGTACTGCTCATGTCTATAGGCGACGGTTACCACTTTCCATCAGGTGGGCCGTCAGCTTGTTTGCCATTCTAAGTTGTATAAAAAAAAGATAGATCTGATAGGGTATATTACTGGCTGCAATGGGTTAGTTGGACCCCATTACCAAAAATCTTTTTCTCCCTTCTATCGGATGTTGGACAACATAAGAGCAATACTAATTCTGGAAGCTGCCGTTCCGAAGAACGAAGTGGTGTTACAGCCAAATCACTCCCCGAGGTTCTTCAATCAGAAATGACGTCTCCTCCCAACACTTCTTTTACCAGCATTCTTACCTTGGATGATTAGTTGGAGTATTCTGTACTTTTCATTCCTTATGACGTAACTAAAGTACAACTAGTATTATATTATCTGTGGTACAACTATGGGTACTAGAAAATTGATAAATATGGGAGTAAAGTTAAAGGGTACGGAGACATAATACTTCAATCCTTGAGAGTCAACGTTATTATGATCATCTCTAAGTATTTTGAGATGTTCACGGTACTGGTCATGTCTATAGATCATGGTTGAATGTGAATGTGAAAGTGAGAAACTCTATTTTCCGCGCTTAGCCTCTCATTTGGGCCGTTGTGCGTATGAGTCGTGGCTAGTACAGCCAACCTAGCTCCGCCCAGAAGCGCAGAAGCTTCCTGGGATCTTCACAGGCCTCACGGAGCGACCTCACCGCTCCGAGGATTTCTAAACGTTGATGGGCCACAGCCTCACCTTCCAGGATTACGTGAGCAGCCGTTTCTTCGGCGTCGAAACAGCCTCGACATAGAGGGCTGTCTGTGGCTCCTATTGTGTATAAATGTTTGTTTAATGGACAATGGCCATTTATTGTTCCTATCATTATTTTGAGTTTTTTTCTATCTAGATGTAATAAACGTTTATAGATGATGGTTGCTATATATTTTCTTTTTTTTTTCCTTTTATTTTATTCTTCAGGCTCAGCAACGTGCATGTGATAGCCCTAGTGTTGCAGACGTCCATAAGCTACACTAATCGTCCACTATCAGACGGACTATATGCTTGTTTACCACCTTCATGGCGTAAAAGAAAATTACAAGTTGTAACATATATAAAAAAATATATCTGGACGAGTGGCGGTCCTCCACCGTGCGTTTTTCAAGGCACTTTCTCCCACGCACAACCACTCTTTGGAATCAACTTCCAGCAGCAGTATTTCCGAACCGATACGACAACATAACCTTCAAGAAAAGAGCATATTCCTTTTTAAAAGGCCGGCAGCGCACCTGCAATGCCGTAGGTGTTGTGGGTGACCATGGCCGGCGGTAGTCACTTACCATCAGGTGAGCCGCATGCTCGTTTGCCCCCTGTGTTGTAAAAAAAAATTATATTCCAAATTTTAAAGTATCATGAGTATTTATCTACGTAGTTGTTGAAATATAAGAGGAAGAGAAATGGTTATATTTTGGAAGGTTCCTTTATACCAATACCAATACAATACCTTGAAGCATTGTTTTTTTTTAAAGATGAAGGGGAAATAGTAACTTCGCCTACACTATTTGCATGCAATAGCGGACAACCAGTGAGAGATGATAGATTAGGATGAAGTCTGTAGTTCGGTATACGCTGGCGGGGCACCAGTAAGAGATGATAGGTGACGATGAAAGCAGATCAGTTAGCCCATCGTGATGAATTGCACTAGAATTAACTACGATGGTTTCCAGGGGAACCACGTGGTGGTCGACCTGATAGGGTATATTGTTAGCAATGGAGCAGTTAAAGCCCATTACTAACAATCCCTTTCCCCTGATGAGGAATTATCTACGATGGTTCCCAGAAGGAACCGTGTGGAAGTAAATTTGACCGCTAGACCTCAATTCTAACAATGCTCTTCCTCCTAAAATATAAATTGGCAGTTTCGTAGTATGCACCAACGGAGTCAACATTCCCGCTGAGTACCAATGTGACGGCATTTGGCATTGTCCGGACGGTTCAGACGAGATGGTGAGATCGTGCGCTGCCCAGACCTGCCCCCCGTACCTGTTCCAGTGTGCATATGGTGCCTGCGTCGACCAGGGAGCTGACTGTAACGGGGTACGGATTTTCTAACTTCAACCCTGATTAACCCCTATCAAGAGACTTCCGTCATAAAAATGTTATGCTTTCTTTGATACTTTATCCGAGCTGTAAGTACTATATATTTTCATCTTCTTTTATAATATAGTATATCTTATATATGTGTCTTTTTTATATTTATTTATGTTTTTTGATGCAACAAAGAATAGCAAACAAGTTGACGGCCCATCTGATGGAAAGTGGTAACCGTCGCCTATAGACATGAGCAGTACTATGGACATAACGGAGTATACTGTTTCGCCCATGATACCACCCATGCGTTGCCATTCCTGAGCACTCAGGTGTTATTACTCTGTACCCTGTAAATTAACGCCATATCACACCCTTCAAACAGAAACACAGCCATTTTTAAAGACTAAAGTACGCCCGTTGTGCTTTGTTATTTCACTGTCATATTTTTAAATTTTTGCCATTTACACTCGTAATAAAACCGAAAAACAGCTAGGCAGGCAGTGAGCAGAATGAATAGATGGAAATGTGAGAACAGAGGGCAGTTAATTCGTAGTACTTGATAAATTTTCCCATTCGAGGTCGTTGTTCCGAGAATGACGAGATCGTTCTACGTTGCGTGTGCTTCTACTGGCTCACGTCCCGAACACTTCTCTGCATTAGTGTATTGTGACCATAAATAAGGGTAAATTAAAATTTCAGATACAAGAATGCGCGGACGATTCGGACGAATCTGACGAACTGTGCCGTAGAATTTCGGTGACTTCTGATTTGAGCAACAGAAATTATGACAAGTCAGTAAATATTTGGATTATGAGTGTTTTTTTTTTTAATGGATGATAATGCAATGGTAACCCCGCCTGCGCTAACGATATACATTGGAGGGGCACCAGTGAGGGATGATAGGTAGATAATGAAAAAGCAGGTCAGTTGGCCCATCGTGATGAATACATCTGGAATTTTAGCACGATGCTTTCCAGGGGGAACAGCGTGGAGGTCGATCTGATTGGGTATATGCTAGCAATGGGATTGGTAGCTCGCGTTACTAACGAATAAGTATTGTCGTGTGCTCTCAGTATTTAATAGGCCACCCCTTCCTTTCCCGTGGATGTCGTAAGAGGCGACTAAGGGAATTTAATGGGTGAGCGATACAGAACAGCGTCCTTCTTAAAATAACATCAAAGCGTAATTGCCGCCTGCCAAACGTGCCAAAGACTGGCAAAATCCCCCAATAGGGAGAGGCAGTGAACAGATAACGGCTGATATGAATGATGACGATGAAATATGGAATCATCTATTGGGTATGAGCTTGGAGGTTGCCAATAGTTCTGAGGAATTGTTCGGATTGATACCTGCTGCTGATTTTCACCACCGTACAACCCGCCACAAACTAAAGTTTCATCCCAATCATCTGGACGAGTGGCGGTCTTCCACCGTGTGCTTTTCAAGGCACTTTCTTCCACGCACAACCATTCTTTGGAATCAACTTCCAGCAGCAGTATTTCCGAACCGATACGACAACATAACCTTCAAGAAAAGAATATATTCCTTTTTAAAAGGCCGGCAGCACACCTGCAATGCCGCTGGGCGGCGGTAGTCACTTACGTGTTAGGTGAGCCGCATGTTCGTTTGCCCCCTGTGTTGTAAAAAAAAAAAGCAGGCGGGTTGGCAACCTCAGTTAAGCTTGCGATAATGTTTTTTATACGGACATTGCTGTCCATTTCGACCTTTAAGTTCCTTTAGTCATTTCTTACGACACCCATGGGAATGGAAGGGTTAGTCCATGCTATGTCGGGACCACACTATTCAATATTTATAGTACATTAAATAATCAATTTAAATGTAATACACTTTAATATATTTCATACATATTCATAGTAATGTTCAGAGGATATCTCTAAGTCACAACACAACACAACACAATACACACACACACACACACAGTGATTTATTAAAAACGTGAACATTTTCTCCAGGGTCACTCCTCAAGCAGGTGCGTGCGTCTTACCCCCGTACCCTGAAAACGGACGGTACACAGTCACAAACGCGCCAAACCAGTCGCCAGGCCAATCTTCCGACTTGTATCTCCTGAACGTTACCTGCGAGAAGGGGTACAGAGTATTTGGCGAGAGTAATGTATACTGCTTCCAAGGGTTCTGGAGTGTTGATAATCTACCAAGTTGTGTTCGTGAGTATGAACGATTGAAGTTTTATTTTGTAGACAAACAATATTTCTCTGTGCAGTGTTCTTGCATAACAATTAGCCACACGAATTGTTACAGCCAATTTTCTCAAAGGTTGAAGAATTGATCAAAATAACGCCCACAGACACCTTTTATCATTGCATCGTTTGCCATCGACAGGGAATTCGTCCTCACTCGCTAGAACTTAAATGGTTGCGTACAGTGCGATTTCAGAAGAGTTTTCTTTTTTCTTTTATGTAGGTTAAAATGGTAAATAAGCTAACGACCTACCTGATGGAAAGTGGTAACCGTCACCTATAGACATGAGCAATACTATAACAGAGTATGTTGTTTCACCCATGATATCCCCATGCGTTGCCATTCCTAAGGACTCGGGTGTTATTCCTCTGTACCCTGTAAATTCATTGCCATATCCCACTCTTCAAACAAAAACACTGCCATGCAAACACAACTGCTTTACAGTAAAAACACGAATGGGAAAGAGGTATCTAATCAAATGACCTCCAGAGGTCTTTAAAAAGGGTGTGTATTAAGGTTTCTTCTGGGTCGGCAATGAGCACGTGACATTTCCAGTGTGGCAAACGTCCACAGACTACAATGACCGTTAACCATCAATTGGACAGATTCCAAAAATCTGTAATTTTGGAAGCTAGGCTCCTGATCCTGTGGTGGATACCATACAATTCTGGGATGGGCATGCTCCGTCTAGCCCCGTCTTAAATATGCCTATGTGTTTCGATACTGGGATTATACTATAGATAGAAGTGTCTAAGAGATGTTTCTTCCCACAAACGCTCAGGTTATGGAATCAGCTCCCTTTCGAGGATTTTCCAAAAAGACTACAGCATGGAATTATTCAAAAAAGGAATGAAGAGATTTCTTCAGAGTCGGCAACGTGCGAGTAATGCTTCTGGTATTGGAGGCGTCTATAGGCTACGGTAACTGCTTACCATCAGGTGGTACACTTGTTTGCCACTTCAGTCGTATAAAAAAAAAAGAAATATCCAAGACTGAGTCTACAAAAAGTCACGCAAAACTCGTGTTAGTACCTAGAAGAAGTTCATTCACAGTTTGACGACGTAAATACCGCTACAGTTGTATTTCTCTCCCGCAACTTTTAGTTTTAATGGATGATAATGGAACCCCGCCCGTGCTAACGGCATATACTGGCGGTGCACTGGTGAGAGATGATCGGTGATAATGAAAGGCAGTTCAGTTAGCACACCTGCAAATCAGCACGATGGTTTCCAGGGAAATCACGTAGAGATCGACCTGCCAGGCCATATTGCTAGCAATGGTACTGGTAGTCAGCATTACTAATAATCCCTTCCCCCACAACTTGTAGGGTACTGCCGTCTGCCACCGGAGCAAAGTGTGGAGTACTGGTGCGCGGTGGCGGATGGCGTCGTGGAAGGTCGCCGGGCCTGCGCCGAACACGAGCCTCACGGCACGGTGGTGAGGGTTATATATGTATAACATAGTGGTAGGTAACATATAACGATATCTGTATATTGTGGTTTTAATATCTAATATATATTATTGGCCAATAACGGATATACTCGTATTAAATATCGATTATCCAATAGATGATATTTTTTTTAATGGATAATAATGGAATGGCAACCCCACCTGTGCTAACGGTATACGCTAGCGAGACACCAGTGAGGGATGATGGATGAGGCTGAAAAAGCAGGTCAGTTAGCCCATCGTGATGAATACATTTGGTATTCAGCACGATGGTTTTCAGGGGGAACCGCGTGGAGGTCGACCTGGTAGGGTATATTACTAGCAATGGGACTGGTAGTCCCCATTACTAGCAATCCCTTCCCCCCAATATATGATATTGGAATGAAGAACCCGATCAAAATGAATATAGATATTTGACCAGTGTGTGCAATATAAATATGGGGAGGGGGGGGGGGGGAGAAAAGGGATTGTTAGTAATGGAGACTGAGAATCCCACTGCTAGCAATATACCCAACCAGGTCGACCTCCTCGCGGTTCCCGCTGGAAACTATCATGGTTAATTCCTAATGAATTCATCATGATGGGCTAACTGGCCTGTTTTCATTCTCATCTATCACCCTTCACTGGTGCTCCGCCAGCGTATCCCGTTAGCGCAGGCAGGGTTAACATACCATTTTCACCCATAAAAAAATAATAATATGGGTGACTTATTTTCTGTCATCAGTGTCCAGAGGAACCCAATATATAGATATCGAAGCGGTACTCAAGCTTAATGTAACTGATGCCCTGAGCATGCAATCATAGATTAGTGATAGAAAGAAAGCATGATGTTAAGAGAGGGACTGGCTGAAAACCAGCGCTGTGCAGCTGTACACATTGCACTGGGACACTCGCAGCATCAGCTGAGTCAGTTCCTTTTGCCTAATATGAGACACTGTAATATTTTTGTATTTTCTTTTGCAATTGTGTTTTTCTGGCAATAAATATTTTCTATTCTATTCTACGAAAATATTTAAAATTTGTTTTATTTATAACTTCTGGCAAACCTTTTCGAGCCTCTACTGTCTATGTGAACTTCTCTTTTTTGTCTATCTCGCTCTAATATGTAGTTGTTACTTCTTTTTTTACATTATCAATATACGTATTTTGATTTAGGTGAGGACGCAGTGTAAACCCGGTTACTACGGACGACCACCCACCATGACGTGTGTGGACGGAGCTTGGGATTTCCACGCTCGATGTTCACAAGGTGTGATTCAAGATTTTTTTATACTACTTAGAATAGCAAACAAGCTGACGGCCCACCTGATAGAAAACGGTAACCGTCGCTTATAGACATGAGCAGTACCATGGACATAACAGAGTATACTGTTTCGCCCATGATACCCCCATACGTTGCCATTCCTGCAGACTCAGTTTTTCCTCTGTGCCCTGTAAATTCACTGTCATATCCCACCCTTCAAACCGAAACACAACCATGTAAACACAATTGCTTCATGATTGAAATATGAATGGGATAGAAGTGCTCTAGCAAACGACTTTTGTACAAAGTCTCTCTCTGGTTTTATAGCACAAAGGTGGCAAACAAGTATACAGTCCGTCTGATAATCGATCACTGTAGCCTATGAATACCTGCAACACTAGAGGTGACACGTGAACGTTGTCGACCTTGAAGAAACCTTAATATATATGAAGAACCCCATACCATAGTCTCTAGTGAAAACCTCGTCAGGGAGCTCATTCCATAACCTGAGCATTCGCGGGAGAAAATTCATTTGAAACTGCACTGTATGCGAAGTTTTTCAAGTGCTTAAAGATAAATTCCCTGTCCATCGATGATGATGCGATGATTAAAGATGGCTGTAGGTATCATTTTATCATCAGATGATCACATTATTACTATGACAACCTCCGTGGGCACGTTGGTTTGCTTATCGAGCTCCCTGGTTAAATTCTCAGTCGGCTCAATTTAGAAACCTATGAGGGTGAAATCAAACCCGTTGGCAAAAATTAACAGCGATAGTTTTTAGGAAACCGCATGGAGCTCGATCTGGTAAGGAATATTGTTAGCAATGGATACTAATATCATCATTACTATCAATCTATCGTGATCTAAGAATTTAACGTCTGAGCATCTTTCCTAATTCCCAGGATGTAGGATAAATATTCCTATAAATATAAACCTGCCACTCTAGAGTGACACACATTTTTTTTTCTTACCTATATAGGTCTATATAGGTCGCTTATCCCATCAGCTGTTAACTATCCACTGCTGAACAATGGTCTCCCCATAAGTGGCGCTTTGCCAGTTGTTGCCACGCTTGGTAGGCGGGTTGGAAACCGCAGTTTGGCTTTGGTGACGTTTTAAGAAGAACACTTCTGTTCGTCGCTCGACTATTAAGTTTCCTTGGTTGTCTCTTACGACACCGACAGGAGAGAAGGGGTGGCCCATTCCAAGTCGGGACCACACATTTCGTCCAGAAATTGCCCGGTTTGCAATATAGGATGTCTTGTGTTATGAGGAACCAGCCAACGTTCTGGTACAACTTAGAAACGTTCGTTTCCCAAATTAACCCGATCAGGAATCAAATCCTGGATTTTATTTATGCAAAGCAACGTCCTCATAATAGCACAACGGAGTCATCAAAGGGACTTTATAGGTAATGGGTGGTTATGATTTTGATATTTGTAGAATGCGGTCACGTAACGCCAGACGGCGAGGAGTTGATCATAGGCGGACGACGAGCTGAACGGGGCGAGTTGCCGTGGCATTGTGGTATTTACCGTAAGACGACTACCCCGTACATGCAGATCTGCGGTAGTTCTCTGGTCAGACCCAACGTCGTCATATCAGGTATTTATCGTGGCATAACAATAGGGAGAAGAAGCGCGCAAAATCTTGGGTTGATCTCCCACCCAGAGGCATGGCATGAAATGAAACTACAACATTTGGCTTTTCAGCCGACTTCAAAAAAAGGAGGTTCCCAATTTAGGTGGATTTTTTTAAAGAACAAGATCAATATATATCGTTTAACAAGTTTTTGACACAACCCATTTTTATGTTCCTTACCTCATAACTCCGTCAATTCTAAGCCGATTTGGAAAAATCTTTTTTTATCTAAAAGGATATACTTACAGATTGTTTCCATTGAAATTTTATCGAAATAGCTATAGTATTTTAGTTTTTAAATTAAAATAACCGGTTTTGTCACAATTGAAATATTTTTTTTTTATGGGATCTTTATTTACATTTATTACTAAATATAAATTAAATTCCCAGAGAGTTTTTTTTAAAGGGTGATAATGAAATGGTAACCCCGCCTGCGCTATCGATATACGCTAGAGGGGCACCAATGAGGGATGATAGGTGAGGATCAAAGGTCAGTTAGCCCATCGTGACAAATTCCACTAGAATTATCCACGATGGTTTCCAGGGGCAACCGCGTGGAGATTATGCTAAATAGTATTGCCAGCATTACTAACAATCCCTTTCCTCAAAGAGGGTTGACATCAGGCAGGCGGCCAGTCGTAAAACTTAAAGCCAAATCTTTTTGTAATATGGATAAAAACATATTACGCCGTCTCCAAATAATAATTGGAATAAGGGCAGGAAGATGATGATGACTTCTAAATTGACTAAAAAAAATCTAGGCTGAACAGTGGGGTTACTCTTGAAATAAGCTCCAATAGATCGATATTGGAATTGAGACGGTTTGCACTATCGAATTGTACTAGCGACATAACAGTTCCATACTGTTAGACTGATAGATGCATATTAGTGCAACTTTTTTTTTTTTTTTATACCACTGAGGTGGCAAACAAGCATACGGCCCACCTGATGGTAAGCGGTTACCGTAGCCTATGAACGCCTGCAATACCAGAGGTATTACGCGCGCGTTGCCGACCCTGAAGAAACCTCTTTACCCCCCTTTTGAAGAACCCCATGCTGTAGTCTCTCGGGAAAGACTTGCTAATGCATTGATGTCGGTATTAAATTTAAAAGTAGACTTGCGGATTTAAATGAAATTTGGTACACAAAACCGTCACTGGATTCCAGCGGCGCATTGCTTTTGGAGCGAGGACGTGGGTCTTCTGCCGGCGAGGGACTTCAGCGTGGCGGCCGGCAAACTGTACCGGCCCTGGCACGACCCAATGGATACGGACGTGCAGAAATCTGACGTGAGCTTTAATAGAATTTGACAGCATTTATAAATATAGCTCGACAAATTTGGGGCGTCGCATTTATCTGGAAATTTTCAAAAACAACAAGAAATTTAAATTTTCAACCGACTTCAAAAAGAAGAAGGTTCTCGGTTCTGTCGTTTTTCTTATATTTGTTTCCTCATAACTCCATCAATTCATCAAATCGATATGGAAATTTCTTTTTCTCGTACATCCTTGGAAATGTAATGCTCACATTTCCAAGGATTTATGAGATCAATTTCCAATTTTGACAATCTTCTTCGAGATAAATCAAAATTGCCGTACTGGCCAAATATATGCGGGCAGCGGCCGGCAAAAGTTGGTTTGGCAAGTCGTTTGCTTGGGCACCTCTGACTGGACAGAGGTCAGAGGTGCCCAAGAAAACAACTTTCGTTTTTTTTATACAATTTAGAATGGCAAACATACGCCATATCCCACCCTTCAAATCGAAACACAGCCATGCAAACACAACTGCTTCACGCTAGAAACACGAATGGGACAGAGGTGGCCAAGCAAACGACCTTTGTACAAAGTCTCTCTCTGATAAATGCTTATGGCATTAGTAAGATTTATTTGATTGTTACAGAAGGCAGAAACTATTTATCTCTCTGTCTGTTTGTTCGTTTACAGGTAAGCTCTATCCACAAGCCGTCGCGTTTCACGGGATCCTTGTCGAACTTCCAAGAGGACATAGCGATAGTAAAGCTCACCACCTCGTTCACATACAAACCCCATATAGCGCCGGTGTGCTTAGACTTTGACGAGGGGTTTGACAAGTACCAGCTTGACGGGAAACGGTTGGGGAAGGTAAGGCCCAGTCTGTATCAAAGATAGATAGATAAATACTCTTTATTGTTTCCTCCAAAAGATTACAATAGTAAACTTATTTTAAATATAAACGATTACAAGAAATGATCACAATGAGAAAACAATGGGCGACAATACATACATACAGGGGGAAAGGGATTGTTAGCAATGGAGTTTGATAGTCCCATTGCTAGCAATATGCCCTATTAGGTCGACCTCCACGTGGTTCTCCCTGAAAACCGTCGTGAACAATTCTTGTTGAATTCGTCACGATGGGCTAACTGGCCTGCTTCATCTTTACCTATCATCATTCACTGGTGCCCCGCCGGTGTATACCGATAGCACGGGTGGGGTTACTATTTCATTTATCATCCATAAAAAATACATACATACATACATATTTATTTACTAGCCATCCGGCCCGGCTTCCTATGGACAGATAGGATTTTAGAAAGTAAAATTTTCTATCCGGGAAAGAATTTTTAAAATCGCTTATACAACTTGTCGGTTATTTTATAGCATTTTATATGTGATTTTTTAGATTGATATAACTTTTTTATTTATAAACTTATTGTAATAAAACAAACACAAAATGTTAAATGAAGTAAACCACAACGCATTAGTGAAAACCGCGTTCAAATCGGTTAAACCGTTTCTGAGAATAGCGTGCACAAACGTACAGACAACAAACAAAAATTCTAAAAATCATTGTTACAGGTTCTATTGCGTTCATAAAGCCCCCCCCCCCCCCTCCTATATTTTATCATATATATTTTCCATGTACAGACAACGATCAATTACGATTTTATATCTGTCACGCCTGTCTCCCATTAGGGTAAACAGAAACAATGGAACGCCCAATGCTTCGATTCAAACAGACCTCTTTCGCTTCGTCCACATTCATCAATCTTTTCATACGCGCTCGCCGGTTACGGGTGCTTTTAATTTGGCCCTTCCTCATCTCGTCGCATCAATTTACGTCCATCCAGGTCAGCCCCTACCGACATCTCTGAAGGTAAGGGATTGTTAGTGTGGCGTCTAACAGACCCACTGCAGGGAGATTGTTAGTACTGCCAAACTATCAATACCACTGCTAGCAATGTACTCTGTCAGGTCGACCTCCACGTGATTCCCCCTGGAAATCATCGTGCTTAATTCCAGGTGTATTCATCACGATGGGCTAATCGACCTGCCTTTTCATCCTCCCCTATCATCCCTCACTGGTGGCGAGGTTACCATTCCATTATTATCCATTTAAAACTGACATCTCCATTCATTCGTGATAGTCACTCTCTTTAGTAATTCTTTTTTTATCCATCCTCTCTTAATGACCCAATCATTCTTTTTCAAATGTACCTAAACAAATGAATAATTGACCCGACCACGAGGCAGCCTGCTGATGTTCATTAGCACAAGTCAAAAGTCAAAATTGATTGAACGTTTACAAGTTCCAAAGACATGAAGATTCTATGTGAATAGACTAGCTATACCCCACGGCTTCGCCCGCGTGGATCAGTACTTTTTTTTATAACACAGGAGGTCAATAAGTATGCGGTTCACCTGACGGTAAGCGACTACAGCCGCCCATGATCACCCACAACACCAGTATACGAGGGCGGATTGAAAAGTTCGCGGCCCGAATATAAAAACTAAACCAGAAGATTTTAAAATTATTTTTATTTTTCGACGTAATCACCACTTTTTTCAATGCACCTCTTCCATCTAGTTTCTAAAACCTACCATTACCATTTTAAAAAAATGCCTCACCTTGGCCCACAAAATAGGCATTAACGGTACCTTCAATCTCTTCTTTTGATAAAAATTTCTGTCCTTCTAAATGTTTTTTAAGATTAAGGAAGAGGTGGAAATCAGGTGGTGCCCAATCAGGCGAATAAGCGAGGTGTAAAAGAAATTCGAATCCACAATTATGGATTTCAGCCATCATTTCGCAGGACGTGGGCAGGTGTGCGTTGTCTTGATAAAACAAAATTTTTGTGGTCAACATTCTTGGGCGTTTTTTCCTAATTTCATCACAAAATCGACGTAAAAGCATGCAGTAATAAGTAGAGTTTATGGTGGTAATCGACCATAATGACTCTTCGAATCCCAGAATAATAATACTATCACCTTGTTTACAGACAATATCACTTTAGCTTTCTTCGAAGGCGGCGAATCTGGTCTCCTACATTTTATTGTTTTCACACATAACGAACCCAAGTTTCATCAGTGATAACAAATCTCTCTAAAAAGTTTTGTGAATCGTCTCGTATAAAGTAAGCTATGTTCTAAGTTAAGGTATAACATCCATACAGCATCCAGGCAGCAATTATTCGTCATACTGACGTCGTATTTCAGTCTCCGATCCTAAAATGATTTTAAACTGACGTCTCATTTGAGTCGCAGACGTCACCTAGCTAACTGAGACCTTTGTTACTCTTCCACACAGAAACTTTTTTTTTATACAACTTTGAATGGCCAACAAGCCGACGGCCCGCCTGATGGAAAGTGGTAACCGTCGCCTATAGACATGAGCAGTACCATGGACGTAACAGAGTATACTGTTTCGCCTGTGATACCCGCCATGCGTTGCCATTCCTGAGGACTCAGGTGTTATTCCTCTGTACCCAGTAAATTCACGCCATATCCCACCCTTCAAACCGAAACACAGCCATGTAAACACAACTGCTTCACGGTTGAAACACGAATGGGAAAGAGGTACCCAAGCAATCGACTTTTGTACAAAGTCTCCCTCTGGTGAACTATTGAACGGTTTTGATAAAATTTAGTAAACGAGTAGGTTATACTCCAACTTAGTACATAGGACACGTTATGTATTGTTTCACGTGGGAAAAGCCGAGGGAATACCTAGCAAATAAATATAGATAACGGGTAAAAACAATAACTAGTTCTGTCACAAGGTGGCAGGCTGGGGGCTGACAAGTATCAACGGCGAGGCGTCCCCCAAGCTGAAGGTGGTGGAATTGCCCTCAGTGGACTACAACAAGTGCTACCAGCAGGTACCTTACAACTTCCGCGCGTACCTCACCAGTGACAAAATATGCGCCGGATATAAGGATAATGGTACGTACTAGGGATGGGTAGTATACCATATATTAATATATACATCATTATCATTTTCCTCCCCTTATCCCAATTATTATATGGGGTCGACGTAATATGGTTTTATCCATATTACAAAAAGATTTGGCTTATAGTTTTACGACCGGCCGCCTGCCTGACGTCAACCCTCTTTGGGAATGCATTTGTTAGTGGTTTTCACTACCTACGATATGGAGGAAAGGATAAAGGGAGGAAATATAGGAAATGTCTGAAGGAAATTGGAGAGGAATAAGGGATTTATGTGGAAACGGAAAGAGGGAGACACTGCAGTTGCGGAAAGAACTAGGACACTGCAGCGGTTCGGGAGGCCGAAGTCGCATGTTCTTATTTTTTTATTCTTATATTGTAACTAATATATATAGATAGATATACATATATATTAGTTACAATATTTTTGTACTAGTTCAATAACGAAAATGTTGAAAGTCTGATACCCAAAAAATAATATTGGATAACAGATTTTTAATATATTCGAAAGTAGATATTCGACTGATGTGAGTGATATCGAAATAGGTGATGATTTATTTTCCACCGTGAATGTCCAGAGGAATCCAATATGTAGGTATCGGATCGGTATCGATATATATAAATAAGCATAAAGTGGAAATCGTTAGCAGTCCTCTGTAGGGAGCGTTCTACCAGCCAATCTGAACATTCAGTTTGTTTGCCATTCTAAGTTGTATAAAAAAAATCTCAACAAAGGAACATGTGCCAAAAAATTACAACAAATTTTAAGCCTTTCATACAAACATGGTGGTCCACTGTATAGTTCCAGCATAGAATAATTTCCCAATAAATAAACGCCATCCACCATCTTGTTATAGCGGCCATTTTGAAAATATTACAATATCGAGTATTGCGTATTGTATTGTTAACAGAACTGAAGCTGTACTGTAATATTTCAGCCTAATCAGATGTCAAGTAGTGATTCATAAATAAAGCAACTGACGTACATTGCAAATTAAATAGAGATTTGTAAAAAATTGCTTAAAGGTACGGCAGTCTGCAAGGGCGACAGCGGAGGTGGCCTAGCATTTCCCGAATTCGAACGGACCACCGTCCGATTCTACCTTCGAGGCGTGGTCTCCACCGCGCCAAACGACGAGAACCTATGCAATGGGAACACAATTACTGCACTCACTCACGTCCTGAAGCATGCTTCGTTTATAAGGAAATATTTATAGAATACAAAAATGGTGTCTTTGTATACTAATACTGCCTTTTTTTACTTAATCTCAAATGGCAATAAGCTAACGTCCCATCCAATTGAACGTTTAAAATCAGTATAAATAAAAGTCGGTTTGATTACACCATTGATAACTCCAAAATGGCTGGACAGGTTGTGGACAAGTCCAAAATGGCAGGATTTTGGTAGTATTTGCCCCGAATAGCAGAAAAACTTTTTTTTTAAATGGGTGAAAATGGCATGGTAACCCCGCCTGTGCAATCGGTATACGCTGGTATATCGATTGCGCAGGCGGGGTATCAGTGAGTGGTAACAGATGAGGATTTAAAGACAGGTCACACTAGTGAAGGATGATAGGTGAAGACGAAATTTAGTTTACATTAGCAAGTACTAGTGGAAGATAAAAAATGAAGATGAAAGCAGGTCAGCCCATCGTGATGAAATCACCAACAATTAACTATGCGTCAATTTCAACCAGAGGGAGACTGTAGTCGTTTGCTTGGGCACCTCTGTCCCATTCATGTTTATGGGATATAACAGTGAATTTACAGGGTACAGAGGAATAACACCTGAGTCCTCAGGAATGGTAACGTATAAGGAGTATCATGGAAGTATCATGGGCGAAACAGTATACTCTGTTATGTCCATGGTACTGCTTATGTCTATAGGCGATGGCTACCACTTTCCATCAAGTGGGCTGTGAGCTTGTTTGCCATTCTAAGTTGCATAAAAAAATAAAAATAAAATTAGCATTCAAACCGCTAGCAGAACACGTATGGAAAAGAGGTACTTATTCATTCAGAAGGCTTTGGATATTGTGTATAACAATTTTTCCTAGTTGACTATATGTTATAATTGAACTCGACAGAAGAAAGTAAATTAAAAATAACGTAAAGAAATAATTTAATAAATCGATACACTGTGTTATATAACTTATCACAAAGTTGTCATTTATGACCATTTTACGGTCGCGACCTTAAAAGTGACGTCCTTTCAAAGTCACAAACGTCACCTACCATCAAACTCATTGTTTAAAGTGTACATTATTGTCATTATCTATAATTAACGTACTATTATTGATTTTTAAAGTTATATCACCATTTTCAGGTTTAACATCAGCTTCACCGATTCTCCAATTACCTTCATCAATACCATAATCATCATCTACCTCATTCTGCTCGGTCACACTTGAAGAATACTGGATGTTACTTATATGGACTTCAATTTTATCCTTAACTAATATGGTAATGTTGGTGCCATTCTGAGGAGCTGGTGAGCATCGCGCGTGGTGGTCCCAGGCTCCATCTGAACACGTGATGGTGGGTGGTTGTCCATAGTGACCATCCTTGCACTGCGTCCTCACCACGGTACCGTGCGGTTCGCGCTCGGCGCAGGCCCGGCGACCTTCCACAGCACCGTTCGCCACTACGCACCAGTACTCGATGGTTGGCTCCGGCGGCAGGCGGCAGTAGCCTTCAAGTTGCAAAAGAGAGATACAACTGTTATTACGTGAAACAGCAGGAAACTTTTTCTAGATATATAGATATATTTAAGCGAGGGCAGGTGGTTAGGGTCCACCCAAGAATTGTCTGGTCTGTCCACCCTATGATCCAAGCAAATCTTCACTAAAACACGTCTGAGAGTATTATATATATACTTACCCCGGAAAATAGTCTTTAATACGCTAGTGGTAAAGTATAATCTTTAATACTACAACTGGATGCTCTTGTTTATAAATATTATAGAAACATCTAGAAACAATATAGAAGATATAGGCACCCTTTAGGCATTAAGATTTTTTGTCTTGGAATGGCAAACAAACTGACGGTCTACTTGATGGAAAGTGCTAACCGTCCTATGAGTCGGTTATTGTCTACACGGGACTCCCATGTAGATGCACTATGTCGTACCCCTTATACGCTGCTATTCTTAAGTCATCGTCATCATATCGGCCCTTAACTCCCTTTGGAAAGTTTTGCCAGTAGTTGCCACGCTTGACAGATGGATTAGAAACCGCAGTTAGGCATTGGAGACGATTTGAGAGGAACGCTGCTGGTCATCCCTTGGCCTTCCTTAGATTTAGTTAAACATGAGTAAGTAACATTACCACTAATATAGGATTTCCTCAAACTTCTACGGGAACAGGATATGACGAGTTTTATAAGGTTTGTTACAATATTTTATCAATGTACTTACGGCGACAAGTTGGTAACTGTTCAGGAGTCCAATACCCCAGGTAGCAGTATACATTGCTATCTCCAAGCAATCCGTACCCTTCGTGGCAGGTTACATTTAGGAGGTACAAGTCTGAAGATTGTCCTGGGGAGCCGGTGGGAGCGTTCATAACTGTGTATCTTCCATTAGCTGGGTACGGGGGTAAGATGCAAACGCCTGGTTGAGAGATATTCCTGAAGAAAAAAAGAATAAAAATAAATATCTAAGATTAACGGGACAGTTAGAGACATTTGTCAACTGATGCCCTTGTGGTGAACGTAACACTCGACGTGGCCAGATTTCACCGAGCGTGTTAGAATCCAGTATGCGTAACGCGGATTCATAAAGAGACGCGACCTGTTATAACGATCCTTGGAGATTTAGCTGGTAATTTTACATTATGACACACAGTTTTTGGCATCGACCAGTTTCAAACCCACATTCTTTATAGTCTACAAATCGGGATAGTGTACTCCAATAAAATTTGTGACCTGGCCTATCGGACAACAATTTCACATACGTGCTCTTCTGGAGCTCAAAACAAGAGACAATTATTTTGAAATTAGGTATTCAAACATGAATTTAAAACATTAATTTTAACCTTTAGGCTAGGGTTCGATTTTGGATATCTGAACCGTAATGTAACGTTTTCCAATTAAGCTACCACGGTTCTTTCGTTTTGTTTGCTAAATGCTAACAATTTAATACTAACTTCTCCTTGTCTTCTTTGCTGCTGTTATCATCTGCATTGGTATCAGTATTGGCCACAATTCTGTTGCACAGTTCTTCGGATTCGTCTGAACCGTCCGCGCATTCCTGTACCTAAAAATTTTAAGTAAGTATGTACTTATCTTTATTTGTGGTCGACAAATAAATGCCGTGTGATACCGCCATAGAATAGGCTACCCCTCCCTTTCCCGTGGGTGTCGTAAGAGGCGACTAAGGGAAGGCGAGGGATGGGCAACAGTGTCCCTTTTAAAACATCTATAAAGCCTAATAATAGTTGCCAATCCGCCTGCGAAGTGTGGCAACGACTGGCAAAACCTCCCAAGTGGAAAGCGTATGTTCAGCAGTGGACAGCTAAAACCTGATATGATGATGATGATGAAATGATCGGGAAGGAAGATCTCGTAGAAGGAAACGCAATGTAGATTTTGCTACTAATAGGGGCTGATAAATGGATCGACGATTTCAAATGTGTTGTTGGAATATGAAAATTGGTTTATCAAGTCACTAGTCATCTGCATTCCACTTATTTTCTGCTAGAAAGCAGTTGTTTTTGCATGGCTGTGTTATATGGCAGTAAAATTGCAGGGTACAGAAACCATACAGTCCTAAGGATTGGCAACGCGCGTGGAGTACGAGAGCATTGTAGTGCATTCTATGGTGTTCACTATGTTCATGTTTATAGGTGGTGATTTGTGCTTTTCATTAAATGGATCATCAACCTATTTTTTTTAATGGGTGATAATGGAATGGTAACCCCGCCTGCGCTATCGGATAACGCTGACGAGGCATCAGTGAGGGATGATAGGTGACAATGAAAGCAGGTCAAGTTAGCCCATCATGATGAATTCCACTAGAATTAACCACGATGGTTTCCGGGGGGAATCAGGTGGAGGTCGACCTGATGGAGTATATGGCTGGCAATAGGTCAGTTAGACGCCATTACTAGCAATCTTTTTCCTCCCTATCAGCGAATTTGCCATTCCATGTTGTAAAATGAAGTTGCAAATACCATACCCCATTACAGTCGGCACCGCGGTCGGCGCAGGCACCATACGCACACTGGAACAGGTACGGGGGGCAGGTTTGGGCAGCGCATGATTGCACTGTCTCATCAGACCCGTCCGAGCAGTGGCGAACACCGTCGCATTGATCTCCAAGAGAGACGTGTTCCCCATTGAGGCATTTGAAGAAACTATCAAGTATGGATTTACAATTTATATATTTCAGTGAGTGAGTTAGTATGTAGAGTTAGATGGGTAAGTGGGTGAGGTCATTTAAGGCAAGATTGCTGGTAAAAGAAGTGCTGGGAGAAGACATCACTCCTGGCTGAAGAACTTGCGGGAGTGGTCTGCCTGCAGCACCACCTCGCTCTTCAAAGAGGCAGCTTCAAAAATTAGAATTGCTCTTATGTTGTCCAACCTCCGATAGGAGTGGAAATCAAAGAAGAAAAAGTACCCATAGTATAATGCTATGTTTATTTTAGAATTAAATGACACAGTGTATGTTGCATAGTGGTATTCACGAGTATATTTACTTGACTGGTCGGCTTTCGTTCCTGCAGAGCGGATGCAGCTCGTCCGAGTTGTCCGCGCAGTCTTGCACGCCATTGCACGGCGCAGTCCCGTCCACGCATGCGCCGTACGTGCACCGGAACCAGTTGCTCTGACATCTGAACATGAAAATATACAAATAACTATGCTCAGACGCACTAGTCTCTGGTGTTACATAAGGAATAGTCTCGTCGCTGCCGTCCGGACAGTCGACGACGCCGTCACACTTGCCGTCGCAGTGTACGACGACATGACGCCGTCATTAGTTACATTAAACATGTGTTGAGCAGTACTAACCGGCTGCTTCTACAGAGCGGGTGCGTCTCGTCGCCGCCGTCCGGACAGTCGACGACGCCGTCATACTTGCCGTCGCAGTGTACGACGACATGACGCCGTCATTAGTTACATTAAACATGTGTTAAGCAGTACTAACCGGCTGCTTCTACAGAGCGGGTGCGTCTCGTCGCTGCCGTCCGGACAGTCGACGACGCCGTCACACTTGCCGTCGAAGCCGATGCACGTGCCGTCGCGACATTGCCATTGATCATTTCTGGGTAAGTTTAATTATATTATTTATAAAATAAATTATTACTGTTATTATGTAATAAAGTAATATTTAAATAACTATTTTTAAGATAATGGAAAACATGATCTTAAAATGGATGCCTAAGTAACTATCGTTTATAGACATGAACAGCACCATGAATATCACTGGTCTAAGTTGTTTAACTTCTAAATTGTTTGTAGCTTATTTTTTTTTATATATCCCACCCTCAAACCGAAACACAGCCATGCAAACACAACTGCTTCACGGTTGAAACACTAATGGGACAGAGGTACTCAAGCAATCGACTTTTGTACAAAATCTCCCTTTGGCTTTTTTTCTAAATAGAGAAACCCACGTAGAGCTATACCACGAGAAGCACCCTATACAGAGCCACTATGAAGGAAAGACAAAGTCATCATGACTTCGGGCCATGGTAATGCGATAAATATCTTCACACTGGCCCTCCAATAGATTAATATTTACATGTGGATGGGGCGCCTTTGACTCCCAGAACCTCTCAATAGTTTCTCTGTCATTTCCTACACTCTAAACCGAAACACAGCCATGCAAGAATAATTGTTTAACAGCGGAAACAAGAGTGGAACAGAGGTCCAAAAGCAGACATTTGTACTATCTCCCTCTGTTAAGAAAACAAAATCTTAAAAAAAGAACACTCGGCCAAGATATCTGGGACGATGTCGTTTTAGGGCAATATCCCCATGTCCAGAAGTGGGAGAGTGTTTTTTTTTTTAAATGGATGATAATGGAATGGTAGCCCCACCTGTACTATCGGTATACACCGACGGGGCACCAGTGAAGAATGATAGGTGAGGATGAAGCAGGTCAGTTAGCCCATCGTGACGAATTCAACAAGAATTGTTCACGATGGTTTCCAGGGGGAACCACGTGGAGGTCGACCTATTAAGGTATATTGCTAGCAATGGGGCTGTCAAACTCCATTGCTGACAATCCTTTTCCCCCCGTGGGAGAGTGTTGCTTTGTAGTGATAGAAATGACGAAGTGTGAGACGAAGAGAAGAGATTGTTGGTGACAAGGAGTAACGGTCTCATGATTAGCAATATACTTTGTGAGTTTGACCTCTATGCGGGTCATCTTTGGTATTCATTGTTGTTGATTTTTGATGTAATCATCACCAACTGTTCTGATTTCATCCTCACCTATCATTGCTCACTGGTAATGTATACCAATAGCATAGGCGGGGATGCAATGACATTTTTACCCAATTTTGAAAAGAAGATAATGAAGATGCATTTGGGGTATAATTTCTACATACCGACATGTTGCCCTTTTATGTCTGTTTATTGCACTTTGTTCAAACTCCAGTAGATATCTGCGGATTATTAAAAATTATTAATATATAGCATAACTATTACAGCCATTAACTGTCCACTGTTGAACATAGGCCTCCCCCTATAGGGGGGTTTTGTTAGTAGTTGCCACGCTTGGCAGGTGGGTTGGTAATCGCAGTTACTTTGGTTTTAAGAGGGACCCTGTTCGACCATTAAGTTCCCTTAGTTGCCTCTTACGACACCCACGGGAATGGAAGGAGTGGTCCATTCTATGCTGGAACCACATGGCCAAAAAAAACAATACAACCGAATTGAGAAGGAAAATTGAAATTGGTCATTTTCAACAAGTAACATTTATAATTGCGGTGAACTTTAGGTTTCCAGTCTTCAGAGAAGTCAATTTTTTTTTATTTTATACAACTCAGAATGGCAATCAAGATGACGGCCCACCTGATGGAAAGTGGTAACCGTCGCCTATAGACATGAGCAGTATCATGGACATAACAGAGTATAATCGATTTAAAAGTCCTTGTAGACTATTTAAATAAAGATGATTTGAAATTCATTTAAGAAATTTAACGGTACACTAACCTGTCTAAGTGCGACTCCTCTGCAGCGACGTTCGTAACAGTCAACGGCATAGCTGAAAGGGATTAAATAAATTCGAGTTTTTTTTTTATGGGTGAAAATAGTATGGTAACGGTAACTCCGCCTGCGGTAACGGGATACGCTGGCGGAGCACCAGTGAAGGGTAATAGATGAGAATGAAAACAGGCCAGTTAGCCCATCATGATGAATTCATCAGGAATTAACCATGATAAGTTCCAAGGAGAACCACGAGGAAGTCGACCTGGTTGGGTATATTGCTAGCAATGGGATACTCAGTCTCCATTACTAACAATTCCTTTCCCCCCAATAAATTCGAGTTGAACTCATAGGCCGAGGGTTCCGTAGTTCTTAATGAATTAAGCCAATTACTATAGAATTTAGATAGGTACTTTTAATCCTGGTCAGTAAACATAATCGCGGTCACACCGACGAAATCACAGGTAAAAGCTAGTGTATAAACATTTTACGCTATACTAAGTTATTTATTATAAAGGGAAAAGATTGGAGTCTTTTGTATATTGTTTATTTTTTATGCAACTTAGAATGGCAAACAAGCTGACAGCCCACCTGATGGAAAGCGATAACCGTCGCCTATAGACCATGGACATAACAGAGTATACTGTTTCGTGGTTCTGATAGAAGGGAGACCAAATAACAGAACAGTACTCAAGTGAACTTCTAACTACTGATGTATGGTGTGACAAAATAGTTTGCGAGTTATTCAAAGGTCTAATTGTTCTAAAGATAAACCGCAAAGTTCTATTTGCTTTTGCATCTAAGTAATCATAATATTGTCTAAATGATAATTTTGAGTCGTGACTAATTACGAATTATGTAAGTAACTAATAGTACATTACTGCAGCGGCCAGTAACTGAGGCATTGATGGACCAACGTGCAAAGGTGGGCCGAGGCGTTGCCGAGGCACACATACATGAGTTCATTATGTTTCATTAAAATTGTGCATTTTAGCATTGAATAGATGACCCAAAGCGTTGTAGGCTTCACTTTCTTGGCGAGTTTGCCGAAATGAGCCAGAAAAACATTTTCGGATAAAGATTTCGATTTTCTTTCATTCTTCCATTGAACAAAATTTTCATAGATTTTCAAATATTTTTCTTTAGATTTTGGCGGCAACAAGTTTTCTACTACGGCTCTTACTGCCTCTTGAATTTCAGGTGGCGTTAAAATAATTTCATTACACTCATTGTCTTCACTTGAACACATTTTGTCAAATACAAAAGTATTTAAAACCAATGACGAAGTTGACGAACAATAGTTTTTTACGCGCCAAAGTATTATTTCTTTTTTCACTAAACAGCTTTCTATGTGCAAGCCAGTTCGAAATTTAAATTAAACCTTTGATAAGTTACCTCTTTGATCGCCATGTTGCGGAGTAGAAGATCGTTCCATTTTAAAATTACACGACAAATATGATTTTACATAGTAATTTATTTGGCCGCTTAACACGACAGACATGGATTTTCATACAACTTTTGCCAGCCGCTGCTCGACCAGTACCGCAAGTTCGATTTATCTTGAAGAAGGTTGTCAAAATAATGCTCAAATTTCCAAGCATGTTTGAGAAATAGTACTTTTCTCAAACAATGCGCGGAAATCAAAAACACCATTTTATTTTTTAAGTTCAATGATGAATAATGAACAATAATAATTTTTCACGCGCCATAATATTCCTATTTTTTTTTTCAATAAACAGCTTTCTATTTGCCAGCCAGTTCGAAATTTAAATAAAACCTTTTATTAGTTACCTCCTTGGTAGCCATGTTTCGAAGTAAAAGGTCATTCCATTTTTAAATTACAGGACAGATATGAGTTTACATAGTAATTTATCTGGCCGCAAAACACGACAGATATGGATTTTCATACAACTTTTGCCGGCCGCTGCCCGCATGTATCTGGCTAATACGGCAATTTTGATATATCTCGAAGAAGATTTTCAAAATAATGCTCACATTTCCAAGCATGTTTGAGAAAATATAGTTTAATTGCCAGAAATATCTGGCAAATAAACTTTTGATTGTTGTTATTATTACATTGTACGCCATCTTGAAAATTTAGATGTAGAAATATCCATTCATGAGTGTAATGTCATGTCATGACACATGTGTCAACTATTTACGTCACTTCTGGGAAATACCGATTGCAGTGTGGTTTTTCCAGATCTTTATTATTAATAGAAAGCGTTATAGTTCAATAGGTCGAGAGATGGACAGCAGTGTCCCTTTTTAAACATCACTTTAACTGCGGTTTCCCATCTACCAAGCATGGCAACTACTGCTTTAAGCGATAAGGTCGCCCATTGTTTTCTCACTGTGATTATTTCTTGTAATTTATAATAAGTTTACTATTGTAATCTTATGGAGGAAACAATAAAGAGTATCTATCTATGTATCTACTGGCAAAATTCCCCAATAGGGGGAGGCCTATAAACAGCAGTGGACAATTTTTTTTTAACGGATGACAATGAAATGGTAGACCCCGCCCGTGCTAACGGTATACACCGGCAGGGTACCAGTGAGAGGTGATAAGTGAGAATGAAAAGACAGGTCAGTTTGCCCATCGTAATGAACTTAGAATTTAGCACGATGGTTTCCAGAAGGGACCGCGTGGGGTCGACCCGAAAGCGTATATTCCTAAAAGAATATAGCAACCCCGCCTTATTATATCTTTAACGACTGATATTTCGTCACAGTATACTGAAAACGCAAACGAGGCTTTTTTTTTATACAACTTAGAATGGCAAACAAGCTGACGGCCCACCTGATGGAAAGTGGTAACCATCGCCTATAGACATGAGCAGTACCATGGACATAACAGAGTATACTGTTTCGCCCATGATACCCCCCATGCGTTGCCATTCCTGAGGACTCTGGTGTTATTCCTCTGTACCCTGTAAATTCACGCCATATCCCACCCTTCAAACCGAAACACAGCCATGCAAACACAACTGCTTCGCGGTAGAAACACGAATGGGACAGAGGTACCCAAGCAATCGACTTTTGTACAAAGTCTCCCTCTGGTAAAGGTGAGGCTACTATTTTATAATAAACACTACATTTAAAATCCCAATGGCTGTCAGTTTGAATCTGACTGATACAAAAGATTTACAAGTGTAAGTTTCATTAATAATAAGGAGGGTTTCGTGGTGCATTATGTAAAAAAAAATGCTATTCGTGTAAAAAAATACAATCAAATAATCCAAGAACCTTATTAATTTCACAATTTATTTATTTTAAACACTGATATTTTGATAAAACTTCAGAGTTCAGATTGTTTATTTATCAATGTAATTAATTTACTACTTGAAAAAAAAAAAGAGACGGATCGTGCAGAGGAAAACTTTATCAATAATTTTTTTTTACAATATTTATAAACAAGTCTTACGAATTCGATAATAACTGGCCGTATACACGTCACACGATTCAACTAAGAACATTCGAAAAACAAAATTTAAAAAGGTCTTACCACAGAGTAATAACGTCAACGTACGCAGATACATGTCTTAGTATTTACATTCACATAAAAACCTGTGTACACATAAATAACAATAAAAACTATATTAAAGCACAGTTGTTATATATTATAAATATATATAATTATATATCACGACATTGCTGTGTGCATGCCGTAAACAGACTGTAATTCAAAACATAATACAAAAGCAAACCGGACTTGATTATAGCGATTAAAACATAGATGTATGTATGTATATACTTAGATACAATTGAGTTATCCAAATGATATCTTAGATCAGTGTTTTTCAAAGTGTGCATCGTAGGGGGGAAAGGGATTGTTAGTAATGGAGACTGGGAATCCCATTGCTAGCAATATACCCAACCAGGTTGACCTCCTCGCGGTTCTCCCTGGAAACTGTCATGGTTAATTCCTGATGAATTCATCATGACGGGCTAACTGGCCCGTTTTCATTCTCATCTATCACCCTTCACTGGTGCTCCGCCAGCGTATCCCGTTAGCGCAGGCGAGGTTACCGTACCATTTTCAGCTATCAAAAAAAAAAGTGTGGGTCGTGACCCCCTGGACAAGCTTCTGCAAAGAGTCACTGAAGGTCGCAAAGCTGTAAAAAACAGTTTGGCAAAATAATCGATGTTTGTTTTAAATATTTTATTTTGTATTATTTGTTTATTGTATTTAATTATGAATATAAATAAAAATTTATGGATTTGATATTTATAATATGATAAAATACATACGTGTTAGGAATCGTGGAGATATTGGGATTACAAAAACAAAATTTACATGCTACGGAAGTCGTCATATGGTTCCGATATAGAATGATCCACGCCTTCCTTTCCAGTAAGTGTCGTAAGAGGCGACTAGGGAAGCTAAATAGTCGAGGGATGGGCAGCAACGTTCCTTTTGAAACATCACCAAATCCGGGGATTGGGAAAGGGATTGTTAGTAATGGGGTCTAATCTCCCCATTACTAGCAATACATCTTATTAAGTCAACCACCACGCGGTTCCCCTTGGAAGCTATCGTGGTTAATTTTAGTGAAATTCGTCATAATGAGTTAACGGACCTGCCTTTTCATCCTCACCTATCACCCATAACTGGTATCCCGCCAGCATAAACCGATAGCGCAGGCAAGGTTATCATCTTAAAAAATCACCAAAGCCTAACTGCGGTTGCCAAACAGACTGCCAAGTGTGGCAACTACTGGAAAACCCCCCTTAAGGAATATGCCTGCATGCATAGGCAATTCAGGTTATGTTCAGCAGTGGAAAGTTAATGATAACAGGCTGATATGACGATGATTAAAATATGAACAGGTTAGGTGGGAACCGTAAAGAGTAGGGTTCGCAAAATATGTTTACATACTAAAGAGATCTCGCCATGAAAAGATTTTTTTTACAACACAGGGGGCAAACGAGCATGCGGCTCACCTGATGGTAAGTGACTACCGTCGCCCATGATCACCCACAACACCAGCGGCATTGCAGGTGTGCTGCTGGGCCTTTTAAAAAGGAATATACTCTTTTCTTGAAGGTAATGTTGTCGTATCGGTTCGGAAATACTGCTGCTGGAAGTTGAATTAATAAGCAATGTCTTAGAATATTATTATTATTGAAAGACTGACTTTTTCAGACAGAAAAACCTGTAACACTGCGATCCTTCCATGATCTTTTGTGGTCGCCCCCCTTTTTTTTTAATCTTTTTTATTTAGAGGCTTTTATCGTATAAGAATATGTCGGCCTCATCGTGCCCTAATTTTATAAAATACAACTCACATACTTGATACATAAATAAATAATACATAATATATTAGTAGTCTATTTTGATAAAGGGAATTATCGATACAAAAATATAGTAATTAAAGATTTCGCCATTCCGGAGTGTGGCTCTGCGTATATATTTGAAAACAAACCAATCTCCCGTCTATTGAGACTATATTACTGTATCAATACTTGCCTTTGTGTTTTGTATTACGTACATTCGGATATCGTATGGTGAACATCATCCAATGTGTTACAAACATCACAATTCGGATTATTAACTTTTTTTTTTCATAAGAAAAGCGAATTTTGCATTTGGATAAGTCGCCCCTTTTTCAAGTTCGCTGCTAATTCCTATTAGTGATAGGAATTTTAAGATGTTCTTTGCAGCGATGTTTTTATCTCCTCAGGATACAGAGTGTGTTTTCCAAAAGAGATATATCGTGTATGTACGAGTGGGCTACAGCGACACATTCAGTGCTGCGGCGTTTCTTCCTCATTGTTACAAAATCTGCAAACACTTTTTGGGCATAAGCATAGTTGGGCCATATGCTTGTTTAGTTTGCAATGTCCAGAGCTCTTGTCACCTTAGATGATAATACCTACTGATTAATCATGACTTCAACCGACTTCTAAAAGGATGTATTCAATTCAGTTGTATTTTTCCTTATGTTTGTAACCTCATGAGTACGTCAGTTTTTTTTAGTGAATGATAAAGGAATGGTAACCCCGTCTGCGCTAACGATATACGCTGGCAGAGCACCAGTGATGGATGATAGGTGAGAATGAAAAGGCAGGTCAGTTAGCCCATCATAATGGATGCATTTGGCATTTAGCATGATGGTTTCTAGGGGGGGCCACAACTGACAGGGTATATAGCTAGCAATGGGACAGGCAGTCCTCATAACTAACAATCCCTTCCCCCCTAACTACGTCAGTTGTAAATTGATTTAGAAAATTCCGTTTATTTACAGATTCGTTCCGTAGAAATTTAATCAAAGTCCGTGCTGTAGTTTGGTTTTTAAATCAAAATAACTGGGTTTTCCAAAATTGAAGTATATATATATATACCTACGCAGAGCACCCAATAAGCATATTTTTAAAAGAAGTCTGTGTATATGTGTACGTTTGTATGTGTATATATGTGTATATACGTATGTATATATATGTATGTGTATATGTGTGTATATATTTCATATATATTAGTATGACTACTTAATTTATTATTAATATAAGTAGTATTTATGTGTTATATGTGTATTTCCTATGTATTATTATGTATAATTATTTCAGCGTGTTGCTATAATTATGTCACATATTTTTCACCACATCTGCCCTTCGTACGCTTTCTGTTTTTACAAGTACCTAATGGTTAGCTGGTAGAGAATACCATATGGCATTATGCTTACCACTTGTACAAAGTTTTATTGTGCAATAAAGAATATATAAATAAGTTTGTCTAGTTCCTTTGTTTAAAAATTGTCATAATATTGTACACCTCTCTACCCGCTGACATTGATGCTCCTCTCCACTTTGGGTGTTGCTGGAAGAGAACTCTATTAGAGTTCAGCTCGCCTTTGTACATTTGATTACCTCTGTCATACTTTAATGTACAATTGGTGTGTACAATAAAGTATTAAATAAATAAATGCAATAAAGAAATGGGGTCAGACCGCCGTGCCGCGCTATACTTTCAATCGATTGCATTCTCGACCCAATTTCGTTGGACATGATATGTTATTTCGTACCAATGTAGTTACATTGACGCCGATAGAAAATTTTAGTTTACCAGCGGGACATTTTTTGTGACGCTGTTCATGTCTGTATGTAGGTAAGGATTACCACTTTTCATTGGTCAGTTTATGTTTTTTTTTTTGATGGGTGAAAATGGTATGGTAACCTCGCCTGCACTGACGGGATACGCTGGCGGAGCACCAGTGAAGGGTGATAGATGAGAATGAAAACAGGCCAGTTAGCCCATCGTGATGAATTCATCAGGAATTAACCATGATAGTTTCCAGGGGGAACCGCAAGGAGGTCGACCTGGTTGGGTATATTGCTAGCAATGGGATTCTGTCTCCATTACTAACAATCCTTTTCCCCCCGGTCAGTTTGTGTTTGTGCTTATATTACTTGCATACACCCACTCTAACTTGGCTAACTCGCTTTGGAGGGGAGAAAGGAATTGTTAGTAATGGGGCCTAACTACCTTATTGCTAGCAATATTACCCTATCAGGTCGACCTCCAAGTGGTTCCCCCTGGAAACCATCGTGGCTAATTCTAGTGGAATTCATCACGATGGGCTAACTGACCTGCTTTCATCCTCACCTGTCATCCCTCACTGGTGCCCCGCCGGTGTATACTGACAGCGCGGGTGGGGTCACTATTCCATTATCATCCATTAAAAAAAAAAACTCGCTTTGGAATCAAAATTTTTGTTTGTATAAATAAAATCCGTTATTGGCTGTATTCATAAGAGACTTAGCATGTAAGTTGTTTTTTGAGAGCTGTGGATTTTTGTATAAAATAAAAGAAAAAAAAAATACCACTGAGGTGGCAAGCATACGGCCTGCCTGATGGTAAACAGTTACCGAAACCTATGAACGCTTGCAATACCAAAGGCATTACTTGTGCGTTTTCGACTCTGAAGTGACCTCTTTATCCCTTTTTTGAAGAACCCACAGCTGTGTGGAAAACCTTGTTTATCTAGGTTTAATAAAAATGGTTTTCCCCATTCCCCGGCCGAGTACATTTATCAGTAGGTATACTAATGATAAGCGTTGTGGTCTAAAATGGCCACTTTTGTGATTTGCAATAGCATTCATCTCTGTGTGACTTCGAATTAAGAACAAATCTTATTCCAATAGAATTTAGCAACTGATCCGATCATAAGACAGTCCGCTGACCCGGTGATGTCCAATCACCTTTTAACATAAGCTTCTCCCTAGGGCGGGTTTTGCTAACAGTTGCCACGCGTTGCAACAGTTTTACCAGAGGGAGACTTTGTACAAAAGTCGATTGTTTGGGTACCTCTGCCCCATTCGTTTCAACCGTGAAGCAGTTGTATTTGCATGGCTGTGTTTCGGTTTGAAGGGTGGGATATGACGTGAATTTACAGGGTACAGAGGTATAACACCTGAGTCCTCAGGAATGGCAATGCATGGGAGGTATAATGGACGAAACAGTATACTCTGTTATGTCCATGGTACTGCTCATGTCTATAGGCGACGGTTACCACTTCCCATCAAGTGGGCCGTCAGCTTGTTTGTCATTCTAAGTTGTTTAATATATATATATATATATATATATATAATATTTAATTTGTTATTAATTTAATTAACCGGCTTCGAAAAAAGAATAGGTTCTATGTTCGATTGTGTAGTTTTTTAGAGAGTATTTCTGTATTATTTCTGATAGTTTCAACAAATCCTGATTTCCATGGTCGGATCAATTATTAATTTGTCTACTTTTTACATTCGGCTCGTTAATTATTCATTTAATTACAGTTCAATTTAGATTATATACATAGAGCATAGAGTCTTAAAAACGGGTCAACTTTTTGTCTGCTGTCAAATTAGCTAACTCGTTTTTTTTTTATCAGTGTTCTATATACTTACGCACACAATGTATCTTGACGTGTGTATATTTAATAAAAAAAAATGTGTATTTACGCATTAAAAAAAATGCAGAATTTAAAAGACAAAATAAATATAGAAGTTATAAAGGAATCACCCATGACTATTTAATACGCAAAATTGTATGAAAAAGTTGACCCGTTTTTTTTAAGCATTTGTCACATTGCTAGCAATATAACCTATTTTTTTATAGGTGATAATGGAATGGTAATCCCACCCGCGCTATCTGTATACACCGGCGGGGCACCAGTGAAGGATGATAGGTGAGGATGAAGTAGGTCAGTTAGCCCATCGTGACGAATTCAACGACAATTGTTCATGATGGTTTCCAGGGGGAACCACGCGGAGGTTGACCTGATAAAGCTATTATATTGCTAGCAATGGGGCTGTCAAACTCTATTGCTAACAATCCCTTCCCCACCAATATACCCTATTAGGTCGACCTCCACGCAGTTCCCCCTGAAAACTATAGTGATTGAGTTCTGGAGGTACAGTGATTGTTGAATTCGTCACGGTGGGCTAACTGGCCTGTTTTCATTCTCATCTATCACCCTTCACTGGTGCTCCGCCAGCGTATCCCGTCAGCGCGGGCGGGGTTACCACACAATAATCACCCATCAAAAAAAAAACATTGATATTAATAATAAAAAACAAAATTGATTGATTTGTCCTCATTTTCCAAGTAGCTTAAAATACTTGTGACCAAATTTAAATAAATGTTATTTCTATTTCTTACAAAAATTGAAATAAAGCATCGAGTACCGTCATACAATATTCACTTGATTATTGGCTTTCATTTCTCCCCCAGCTATTGTGACGGTAAATGGGTCAAATACAGGTTAATAATGGGTAATTTGAAACGCACAGGACTGTGGGGGACATTAGGGAGTTTTGATAGAGTCGTGTTTGATGGCTGTATGGATTTACCGTATTTGATATTTTGTAATCTATGCTTATTAATTACAGACAATAGACAATGTAGACGAGGCAGATATAATCTATGGAATGACAGGGTAAAACAAATGGTGGCGTGATAATACTACTATAATATACCAGAGGGAGACTTTGTACAAAAGTCGATTGCTTGGGTACCTCTGTCCCATTCGTGTTTCAACCGTGAAGCAGTTGTGTTTGCATGGCTGTGTTTAGGTTTGAAGGGTGGGATATGGCGTGAATTTACAGGGTAAAGAGGAATCTGCTTGGATCCTTCCTGAAAGGAAGGACTGCTTCACGGTATAAACACGAATGGGACAGAGGTGCCCGAGCAAACGATCTTAATTCAAAATGAGAATGACCAAAATAAAACATCTTTATAAATTGTCACATTTATTAGTAGGATTGTAGTTACAGAATTATTTACATTGTGGGACAATTGGGACATCCATTTAAAACTGTGCAATTACTGTCCCATCATCATTGCTGCTGTATTCTAACACCAAACTTGAGCACAAGACCTGAGCTGTCCCGTGGGGACACCTGGGACATCATGGGCATATTTATATATTTTGAATAAGAAATATCCAAATATCTTTATAAACTTTCACATTTATTAGTCAAGAGTGGGACAAATGGGACACTTCATCTAATTATTAAGCGTTATTTGCAATTACTTTCGTTTGTCGATTCATTCATCCTACCACGACGCAATACCAACTTGAGCACATCATTAGATCTGTCCCACGGGGACACCTAGGACACATATCATAAACGTTATTATGACCATATTTAATTATTTTGTATAACAAATAACCAAGCATCTTTATGAACTTTCACATTTTTAGTAGTATTATAATTTGTGGGACAACTGGGACATGCATTGAACGCTACAGAATTACTGTCATTGTTATCATCTTTACGGTTTGTCAATCCAACCGATCCTACAACATTCTGATACCAAAATGAGCACATAATTTGATCTATTCCATGGGGCCACCTGGGACACATGTTACAAACATTCTCGTGAGCATATTTAATAATTTTGAGTATTAAATATTTAAATATTCATTGAAGCATTCTGGGACAGTTGGGACATTTGTTAACGCTGTAGAATTGCAATCACTCTTATCATCTGAGGTTTCCCTGGAGACACCCGGGACACATAGTGCAAATATTTTGTGACCTTATTTATTTAATTTTATTTCCAAATATTTTTATAAAGTTTCTTATTTATTAATATTTTTCTAATAAATTACATTCTGGGACAATCGGGACATTTATTAACGTTGTGGATTCGATGTGAACTTCGTCACTACTACGGTTTGTCGACCCAGCCGATTCTGCCGCGTCCCAGTACCAACATGAGCACATCATCTGAGCTGTCCCCCGGGGACACCCGGGACACGTGCCACGAACGTTTCCTCGGTTTAGGTGTTGGTGCTGAAAAGATAAAGTACAATTTAGAATAAAAGAAAAATTAATGAAATAAATTTATTCATTCCCGTTTGTTGGCAAAATACCCTGTTTTTTTTTTCAATTGTTGATAATAGAATGGTAACCCCGCCTGCGCTATCGACCTACATACATCTTCGCCTATCATCCCTCACTGGTGCCCCGCCAGTGTATACCAATAATCCAGGTGGGGTCACCATTCCATTATCATTTGTTAAAAAAAACCTTTATTCACCTTCACGAACACAGAAACGTTTTAATTTAGGCATACAGCACGTCTGATGGTAAACGGTTACAGTAGCCTATGGATACCTGCAACACTAGGGGTGTCATGTGCACATTGCCAAACCTGAAGAAAGCTTAGTATATCCTTTTTGAAAAACCTCATACTATATCTTCTTGGAAATCATTCAAAATCGACTTCGATACGGCCTCATAACCTTCTAGAAATGAGCATATTCCTTTTTAAAAGGCCGGCAGCACACCTGCAATGCCGTTGGTGTTGTGGGTGATCATGGGTGACGGTAGTCACTTACCATCGGGTGAACCGCATGCACGTTTTTTTTTTTTTTTTCTGAATGTGTTTGCTGTTGGCCGTGTGTGGCCTTTACAGCTTCACCGGACGCGAATGCAGGGGCGAGTGCTGATGGCACTCCAAGCCCGCGAGAGGGGAGCGACAGAGGTGTCGACTCTTTCTTATGGACTGCGGTGTGTGTGTGCGCCTAAGGGCGCCAGAGTGGCTCGGCCTCGGCTTAGGCCACCGCACTTCGACCCCCGTCGAGGGACGGCGAAGGGTCGGTACGTCTGGGTGGGTGAGATTGCGACGCGGTTGTTATGCGCTCGGGCGCAAACCTGATCGCGCGCGGACCGTGTGTCGCGAGGGTTCTTCGCCCCCGCCGGCGGGGGCGGTGTGTGCGATGTGTGGGTGTGTTTGTAGGGGCTCTTGTCGAGGGTTCCGCGGTAGGTAGGGAGGGAGACGCGTTTGCCGTCGTAGTTGGATCATCGGGGTCCAAGAGTGCGTGCCTCGGGCGACGACGTTTTGGAGCGACGTTCTCTATGGGGGGTTTGTATTTGACCGCTCTTACTATGAGCGGATTTGAATGGGACTCGGCTGAGGCGAAGTAGCGTCGAGACGCCTGCTTCATAAATTGCCTTATAGTGGGTATTTTGAGGTCGCGGTGTAGATCCACGTTGCGCACGTACCACGGGGCGCCCGTGGCCCGTCGCAGAAATTTATTTTGCACCACCTGAAGGGGGTGAAGTAATGAAGGAAGGGCGTGGGCGAAGACGACACTAGCGTACGTCATCACCGGTCTTATACATGCTTTATAGAGCGTCAGCTTTGCGTTAAGCGACAATTGGCTGCGCTTGTTAATAAAGGGATGGAGGCGTCCCAGTATAAAATTGGCCAGGCCTCGGACGCGCTTAAGATGAGATGCGAAACTCAACTTGGAATCTAGTGTCACGCCTAGGTATTTGGCTTCGTTCGTCCAGGGGACGGGCGTGCCAAACAGCTGAATAGAGGCGGGAAGGGATGGTTTTCTTTTGGCCGTGAAAAGCACGGCGGCGCTTTTATCTGGGTTGACTTCGATGCGCCATTTTCTGAACCAGTAGGCCAGCTCGTCCACCGCCCGTTGAAGCCTGTTGGCTGCACAGGCGGCCGACGTGCTGTCCACATATAGGGCTGTATCATCAGCAAAGAGGGCGATTTGCACTCGGGGCTGACGCGGGATGTCGTTGGTGTACAACGAGAAGAGGGTGGGGGAGAGGACAGCGCCTTGAGGGACGCCGGCTCTAATCGGTCGTGCGCTGGAACGCACTCCATTGACGCGATAGCGATATGACCTATTGGACAAGAAGGCTCGTATGATGTGCACGAGCCTGTCTGGCACTCCCATCTTGTGCAGTTTGAAAATCAAGCCGCTGTGCCAGACTTTGTCAAAGGCCTTCGCTACGTCGAGAAACAGGGCACATGTGACCCCGTTGGATTTCAGGTGTCGGGCGTTGAGGACGTGTTCTACTACACGATGTACTTGATGAACAGCTGAGTGCTTGGCTCTAAAGCCGAACTGCTCATCGATCAGGATGCCTTTGGACTGTAGCCAGTCTTTCAGGCGTGCGAGTATTAGCTTCTCATACAGCTTCCCCAGCGAGCTGAGGAGACTGATGGGGCGAAAACTGGTGGGAAGGGACTTATCTTTCCCAGGTTTGGGAAAGCCTACGACATCGGCTTCTTTCCAAGCATCTGGAAAGATGGCATTGGTAATTGCCGCATTGAAGATCGCTACTAGAAGTAGCAGAATGGTTTCTGGCAGACTCTTAAGGAGTCTGTTAGAGATACCGTCGGCACCGGGTGCCTTTCGGTTGGGGGTTCCTTTGATGAGTGTTCGCACCTCATCCAGTGTAACGGGGGGGAGTGACTCTACTGGAGGGATCGACAGGATTCGCTCCACCTCGGATTCTACCTTCTCTAGATGATCATCGGGCACCGGAAGGGTACTCGGCATGCATTGGGCCTCTAGGCTGTCTGCTAGGCATTCAGCCTTTTCTTCATCAAATAAGGCCGGACTGTTGTTTGTTCGGACTAAGGGCGGAAGGTCGGAGTAACACTGGTCTGTTTTGAGGGTTTTGGCTACTCGCCAGTACGCGGTATGGCAGGGGGTGAGTTCTTTGGTGAACTTATCCCATCTGTCTCGCCGAAGTTCCGCTATGCGACTCTTTACTTCGCGCTGTAAATCTCGCAGGCGGGTTCGGTTCTCTTCTGAGGGATAGCGGTCATACGCTCGTGTGGCTGCATTCTTAGTGCGCAGCAGAGCCCTTACATCATCAGGCAGGTTCCATCTACGGTCGCCCGTATCCGGAACCTCCCTGGAGCAGTCCTTGACTGCCGACTGCAGGTGCTCTGTTAGCGCGTCAATGGCTGTAGTCGTCTCCTCGATAGATTCGACTACGTCCGGGATGCGGTCCAGTACCGGAGAGTTAGTCGACTCGAGGACTTTCTCGAGCCGGCTCCAGTCCGTGACCGTTTTAAATTGAGGCGCCCCGTCTGCAGGTGGGCCTAGCGAGAATGTGACGGGGCGGTGGTCGGAGATGAGTTCGGCATGGACCTCCATAGAACTCAGCCTTAAGGCTACGTTCTTTAGTAGGGCCATGTCGAGGATGGAGGGCTGATGAGCAGTGTTTGCCGGATAGTGCGTGAAGTGCACTGGGGGAAGGATGTCGAAACCCATGGAGAGCGAAAGGCGTTCCAGGGTGAGCGCATGCACGTTTGCTGTCTGTATTATAAAAAGAACTTACCGCCGTTTGCACGGCGCGGTGATCGCTATCTGTGCGAGAGGGACGCACTGCGACGTCGGCGCACGAGAGAGCAGGACGACAATATAATGTGCAGCACCGCCAGGGAAGCGTAGATCGCAGTTTGGTACCGGTGTAACCACGCTGTTATCGTTTGCCGACAATCCTGGGCAATAAATTATTTGTTACAATCGCCGTGTGCTCCCGGCAGAGAATGGGCCAGCCCTTCTTTTCCCGCGGGTGTCGTAAGAGGAGACTAAGGTAACTTAATGGTCGAGAAATGGGCAGTAACGTCTTAAAACATCACCAAAGTCGAATTGCGGTTGCCAATCCGCCTGCCAAGTATCAGTCCTATTGCTTCATCACGATGAGCTAGCTGACCTGCCTTTTCATCCTCGCCTATCATCCCTCACTGGTGCCTCGCCAGTGTACACCATAAGCGTAACCGGGGTTACCATTCTATTATCATCCACTAAAAAAACTTGCATTCACCCTCACCTATCATCCTTCATTGCGATTCCTGAGGACTAAAGTGTTATGCCTCTGTATCCTGTAGTGTCACTGCTATATCCCACCCTTCAAGCCGAAACACAGCCGTGTAAATACAACTGCTTCACGGTAGAAACACAATGGGGTAGAGGTACCCAAGCAAACGACTCTTGTATCAAGTCTCCCTCTGGTAGCATTCCTTTTCAATCATATCTACTTATTCTTATGGCAAACCTCTGAATATTTCATATATATATATATATTATATTTGTACAACTTAGAATGGCAAACAAGCTCACGGCCCACCTGATGGAAAGTGGTAACCGTCGCCTATAGACATGAACAGTTATGTTATTGTGTATGTATATAAATAATAATGAGTAATATTTACATTATTATATGTTTTACATCTCCATATTTATAAATGATAGAGTTTTCATCGTGCCTCCGAACAAACTGTTTATAATTACTCCTCTCCATCCAAAGGTTGCCTGCAAGAGATCGCTCTTAGCGATAAGGTCGCCCATTGTTTTCTTACTGTGATCATTTCTTGTAATTGTTTATATTCATAATAAGTTTACTATTGTAATCTTTTGGAGGAAACAACAAAGAGTATCTATCTATCTATTTCATTAATAGAGTTTTACTTCGAGTTTACCTGCTTGCACGTAGAGGATTGAGATATAAACCCATCTCAAGAGATCAGGTTCGAGTCCTGACAGTTAATAACCTTTTTCCAGTTCAGCATCTTACCTTCTCATACAGCTGGCTGGAGGTACAGTTGTCAGGGTACCCAGCCGGGCCACAGCAGGACCATGGCGGCTTCCTTTCTGCCTTCACTCTAATAATTGTATAAATGCAATAAAACAATCTTGAAGGATAGAAGGATGGACAACAGCACTAAAACCTTAAGGGTTTTGCCTTTTGATGAACTTTAGTTTTTAATAGTAACTTAACTCGGCTTTGCACGGGCTGATAGAATTTTCGACAATAATATATAGCTTATGTTCATATCATTTAAAGAGAAATAATTCTTTCATACATTATTTTTGGGTAACTTGAACCGTTACGCAGCGCACGCAACGGAAGCTCTCAAATATGAATAATTTTCCCCGTTTTTGCAACATTTTTCACTGATACTTCGCTCCTATTGGTCGCAGCGTGATGTTTTATAGCCTATAGCCTTCCTCGATAAATGGACTATCCAATAGAAAAAGAATTTTTCAATTCGAACCAATAGTTCTTGAGATTAGCGCGTTTAAACAAACGAACAAACTGACGGGCCACTTCATTAGAAATGGTAAAGGTCGTCTATAGTAATAAACAATACTATAGAGATCACTAGTATATACATAACTCCCATATTTTTCATGCATTATTATTCCTGAGCTCTGTGATTTCGGCATAGAATTGGCCTTTCCTTTCCCGTTGTTGTCGCAAGAAGCGAATAGTCGACGGATAGGCAGCAGTGTCCCTCTTAATGCATCACTGAAGTCTAACTGCAGTCATCAATCCAAATATCAAGCCTGGCAACTACTGGCAAAACATCCCAATGACTAAAAGATCAATCAGCAGCGACAGTTAATGTCTAAAATGATGATGATGATGGGATGCCTCTGTATCCTGTAATTTCACTACTATATCCCGCTCTTCAAACGGAAAACTACAAGAAACCACAGCACACAGAGTTCTGTCTGCTATGAATTGAGAAAAATAGCAACTGATGGTGTATGTTTCGTCCTCTTTTTACTAATTATGTTTGCATTAGACGAAAAGTGGCGACCATATGATTTACAGTTTTTATTTTATCATTCCTTGTTCTTAGCTCCTGAGCAATTTAGAATGTGAACACTTACGTGACGTCACTATCACAGCAGGCGAAAACCAATCGGAGAGCGTGCGTCCATTGTCCGTCTTGCTCTAGGAGACCTTTCTGGGGGCATAGAAGCAGAATTCCATATTTAAATAATAATTTTTAAATTACGAACGCTTAGAACGGGAAGATGAACGACTGACGTAATCTAAAAGTCGCTTTTATGGGAGATAGAAATGAGAATCGTCTGTGCGTATGAAAAAATGTCCATCAAATGGTGTTAAATTAAGGTCGTAAATATCGACTCCTTAAGTAGCAGGTAGGTAAACAACGAAAATAAAACTGCCGCCTTTTAACTGACTTCAAAAAGCAGTTTGTTTTTGAAGTTAGTTAAAAAGTTGTGGTTGTTGTTGAAGGGTCTCGCGATTGATCACGACTAGCCCTATTTACATTTGTCTTAAATCGGTGTAGATTATATTTGGATGGAAGAACATAAATAGGAAGAGAGTTCCACTCCTTGGTCGTGCGCATCATGCGAAGGAAGACACAAATCGCTTCGTGCGTATGTATGCGACGTAAGCGTGGAGGCTCCCGCTCCGTTTGTTCGTCTAATGCCGACAGAGTGGAGGAGAAATCAGGCCATGCAGTTTTTGAACATATTTTTTAAAAATTTTTCTCTTTAAAAATACACCATTAATAATAAAGATTCTTTTTTTCATTTACGAGTTTCCTCTTGTCGGTGCAACTAATCCATGCATCTTCCTCCAGCCAGTTCTATCCCAGGCCATATCCTTGACTTCCCCATACTATATGACACCTAGTGTTTCTTTTATCTGTCCCATGTTGTTATTCCTCGGTCTTTCCCCTCCTCTTTTGCCCTCTATTTTTCCTTCTACTATGCTCTTAAAAAAATCGTCATGTCGTATAAGGTGGCCCAGCATTTTGTCTCTTCTATTCTGTATTATTTTGATTAATGATAAATTAAATAAAGATTGTGTCCCATAAAAAACCGACTTCAATTGTGATGAAACCAAGTATTTCGATTGAAAAACTAAAGTACTAAACCAATTTTGATTATATTTCTATGAGACCAGTGCATAAATCTATCATTTAAGATAAAAAAAAAATCCAATTGTGGTTTATAAACGATGCAGTTATGAGGTATCAGACATAAAAAAAATAACTGAATGGTGAGTCCTCTTCTTTTTAAAATCGGTTGAAAACCATGGCGTCGTTTGTTACTTTAGATTTAATACTTGGTCATCACATTTTATCAAGCGAACTGCTTCGACATTAATTTATAGTAATATAAAAAATATATTTGTAATTTATTTGTTTATTTAAACAATTTTATTGACCAATTGAAAATATGATACAAAAGGCGGACTCAATGCTAGTAGCATTCTCTACCAGTCAACCTTTGGGGTGAACAGTGAATCACGGACGTAGTACTTCATTATTGGGATAGGTAAAAAAAAATGTATTATATTTAATGAATTAAGCTGCAAAATGAAAATTATTAATTGGTAGTGAACACCGTCCGGTGTTAAGTCCGCCAAATGTACATAGAATTTTACTGTGCATTAAAGTTAAATATAAATAAACATAAATAAATAAATAAATTTACCTCGGTCAAAGTAGATGAAAAATAGTAGAATAGGGCACACTCCAATAGCAGTAAGAGCAGCATTAAAGTTGAATACTGAAAAAAAAAATACATTTGACAAGGGACACTTTTCTTTAATCGAGAGAATCAGAGGGAGACTTTGTACAAAAGTCTATTGCTTGCGTACCTTTGTCGTATTCGTGTTTCTACTGTGAAGCAGTTGTGTTTGCATGGCTGTGTTTCGGTTTGAAGGGTGGAATATGGCGTGAATTTACTGGGTACAGAGGAATAACACCTGAGTCCAACGCAATGGCAACGCATGGGGGGTATCATGGGCGAAACAGTATATTATGTCCATGGTACTGCTCATGTCTATAGGCGACGGTTACCACTTTCCATCAGGCGGGCCGTCAGCATGTTTGCCATTCTAAGTTGTATAAAAACAATGGTATAGTAACCCCGCCTGCGTTAACGGTATAAAAAAAAAAATACTGGCGGGCCACCAGTGAGGGATGATAGGTGATCGTTAAGCAAGTCAGTTATTACCGGCATTTATCGATAATAATAAAAAAATCCACAAAACAAAAACCGACTTTAATTCTGGCAAACCCAATTAAATTAATTTAAAGATAAAAAAAGAATTTTTCAAATCGGTTCACATCTGACGGAGTTATGAGGTGACAAAGATAAAAACCAAAAAAAACCGTACCACTGAATTGAAACTTAAAGAACTAAATATTCTCACCGTAGCTTCTGAATACGCAAACATTTTGTATATATATATATATAGTTGAAGATTCCTGCGTATATATATATATATATATATATATATATATATATATATATATATATATATATATATATATATATATATACGCAGGAATCTTCAACTGTTTCTTAGAAACAGCGATCTCAATAATCTTAACACTAGATACAAATACAAACTCACTGTTCCGAAGCATCGTTTGGAAAAAGTTAATAGGTCTCTTATGGGAATGGGCATTAAATGTTATAATAAGGTACCGAAGAATATTTCGGATCTGCCTTTTGATAAATTTAAAACTGTTATTAAAAAACACTTATAGAACAAACACTCTAAACGATTACTTGAATTACAAGCGTGCATGGTGTTAGTCGACCATGCACGAGCTTTTAACGACCATGTAATTTTAGACATAGTACATTTAAATAAATACACATAACGTTAACAGAGATTTAAAAGAGTAACTGTTCAGTTTCTTGCGGGCTCTTCACAACAGATAACAACTTTCCGAACTCTGCAGTACATTAAAAAAAAAATGATGATTTAAAAGTGTTTGTAAACATATCTATTTGAATTTAAAAACCTCCTTCTATATGAAATTGGTTAAAAACTACTCACCATAAACAGTAAGAACTGTGAGCGACTCACGGCACCGTACAACCCCATGAGTGAGATACAGAATACGAAGCCGGCCACCGCGGCCGTTGCCACCCCCACCTGCACAGTCAGCGCTTCAGGCCCCAACAATGTCTGTAACAAACAGAAATAAAACAGTCTTTAATCAAATAGACTAGCTTTCAAACTATTTTTAATCGACATCATATAATTAAAGATTATGTTTCACAGAAAAACTGGCTTAAAATTGTACATTTAGTTTAGTAGCTTACACATATCGTGCATGTGTACGTGTGCGTGCATGCGTGCGTGTGTATGTGTGTGTGCATACGTGCGCGCGCGCGTACGTGCGTGCGTGCGTGCGTGCGTGCGTGGGGTGCGCGCGTGCGTGCGTGCGTGCGTACGTGCGTGCGTGCGTGCGTGCGTGCGTCCGTGCGTGCGTGCGTGCGTGCGTGCGTCTGTGTGCGTTACATCGCTAGTTTCGTCCTAATATTCATAATTATTCTTGAATCAATATTTATATATCCATCCCCATTCCATATTGTTACAAATCATGATAATTCTTCGTAACAGTTGTTTTTATGAGTGCACTATATAATTGTCACTGGCAATAGATTGGATATATATTGGATTCAAGAATTAGTAAGTATTGCAAGTTACCAGAGGGAGACTTTGTACAAAAGTCGTTTGCTTGAGCACCTCTGTCCGATTCGTGTTTCAACCGTGAAGCAGTTGTGTTCGCATGGCTGTGTTTCGGTTTGAAAGGTGGGATATTGCGTGAATTTACAGGGTACAGAGGAATAACACCTGAGTCCTCAGGAATGGCAACGCATGGGGGGTATCATGGGCGAAACAGTACACTCTGTTACGTCCATGCTACTGCTCATGTCTATAGGCGACGGTTACCACTTTCCATCAGGTGGGCCGTCAGCTTGTTTGCCATTCTAAGTTGTATAAAAAAAAAAAACTTAATTATAAGTATTATTGAATAATATTTTTTTTTAATCTATCGCCTAGTTCGGAATGCAATTTCAGCTGAGAAGAACAGGCAAGAAACACAGCTGTTGCTTTTGTCAAATAAGAGTTAAGCGTTCAAGAAAAAAAAATGACAGAATAAAATGACTATCACAAACTTCGTGTTGATAAAAGAAAGATAAAAAAAAGGTACAATCAATCATAATATTCTTGATAAAGATAAATTTATTTGCATAAACATGTGTGGGTTTTTTTATTATATTCTAGTTCTGACATGTTTTGCCAAGGTTAGCGTGTAAATTTTTTGTTTGGCGTACTGTAGCATTACAAAAAGAGCTATTGCAAATCATATAGTGTTGATATAATAAAATAAATGTCAAAAATTTAAGCACTAGTAGGCAAATGTCAAAAAATTTAAATAACATTCGAAAAGAGAGTTTTTTTTTATTGGATGAAAATGGAATAGTAACCCCGCCTGTGCTAACGGGATACGCTGGCGGGGCACCAGTGAAGGGTGATAGATGAGAATGAAAACAGGTCAGTTAGCCCATCATGATGAATTCATCAGGAATTAACCATGATAGTTTTCAGAGGGAACCGCGTGAAAGTCGACCTGGTTGGGTATATTGCTAGCAATGGGATTCTCAGTCTCCATTACTAACAATCCCTTTCCCCCTCGAAAAGAGAGTTAGGTGTATGTAATCAATACTTATAATAAATCTGTAGAGAGGTCAATTCTGTACATGAAATATATTACCAAAATAACTATCAGCGGGTGATTAGTGATCGATACTGATGACATAAAATGCAATCAGTAAAATTTTTGTCTGTCTGTCTGTATATTCGTTATAGAAACAAAAACTACTTGACGGATTTTAACCAAACTTGGTACAATTATTCTTCATACTCCTAGACAGGTTATAGTATATTTTTCATCGCGCTACGATCAATAAGAGCAGAGCAGTGAAGGGAAATGTGTCTGTTACATCAAAACCACTCAACCGTGAGGAAGGGCATAGGCTACTTATTTTAAAAAACGACTGAAACGCGGACGATGTGGCGGGGAACAGCTAGTTATAAATATAAGTATATTTTATTCAAAATTTTTAATTCATTAATATTGTAATAGCATTTGTCAATTAGTTTTTTTTTTAACAAATTTATGTTTTAACATTTGTATTGCTCTGGAATTTTATTGTAGACTTTTGGAGCCATACATGTAGATCTTGAATCCATCCCTACTAGTAACCGTTCACGAGTATGACGGATGAGCCAGTAGTAGCAGTTGTAGTGATAAAATATCTATAAATCCAATCTGTAAGTATATTTTTTCAGATAAAAACAGAATTCTCCAAATCGGTTTAGAACTGACGGAGTTATTAATATTCCTTTTTAAAAGGCCGGCAGCACACCTGTAATGCCGCTGGTGTTGTGGGTGATCATGGGCGGCGGTAGTCACTTACCATCAGGTGAGCCGCATGCTAGTTTGCCCCCTGTGTTGTAAAAAAAAAACATAAAAAAACAACCGAATCATCTTTTTAACTACCTACATCTTTCATTCTGAAACTTCATCTTTTTTAAGCGGCTTCAAAAAGAAGGTGAGAACCTTCTTTTTGAAATATATATATTATATTGTTCGTTTCAGAATTTGAATTTATTTTTTGTTTATGTTACCTAAGAACCCCATCATTTATACATCAATTTGGAAGATCCATCTTTCACCTAACAGGCTATACTTTCAGATTGGTCTCATAAAAACTTTGTCCAATTCAATTAAATTAAAAATAAAATACTTTTGTTTTAATGGGTGAAAATGGAATGGTAACCCCGCCCGCGCTATCGATATACACCAACGAGGCACCAGTGGAAGATGATAGGTGAGGATGAAGCAGGTCAGTTAGCCCATCGTGAATAATTCCACTAGAATTAACCACGATTGATTCCAGGGGGAACCGCGTGGAGGTCGACCCGATAAGGTGTATTGCTATCAATGGGTCAGTTAGTTAGTCCATTACTAGCAATCCGTTCACTCTCACACAATAGTTCTTTTTTTTTCTTTTTTTTTTGGTATGGTAACCCCGCTTGCGCTAACGGGATACGCCAACGAGGCACCAGTGGAAGATGATAGGTGAGAATGAATCCAGGTCAGTTAGCCCATCACGATGAATTCATCAGGAATTAACCATGATAGTTTCCAGGGGGAACCGCAAGGAGGTCGACCTGGTTGGGTATATTGCTAGCAATGGGATTCTTAATCTCCATTACTAACAATCCCTTTCCCCCCACATAATAGTATTAACCCATTACATAATTGAAAGTAATTCAACAACAAATAGGTATATTGCATACAATACAATCAATGCTGCATACAATAGCGGGGTGAACTACTGTCCCGGATCACACGGGTCACGCTTTGTCCGGGAACTGCGCCGTCACCGGTGACCCGGATAACTATAATAGCCGGTAATAGCTGATCATTGTCACTATTATGAGGTACGATGCGTTTTTGGGGTAATTGACTTTATCCACATTCTAAATATTATACCATATTTATTTGTTTACGTTATTCTTCGTAATTGCCACAATTATAAATTTAGGCTATCGATCTTTATCTAACCTACGAAAGGAGGGAAATACATTTTAGGCTCTTTTTAAAAGATTAAAATATTAATAAGCCAATGAATGAATGAGTACACTTTATTTGCATTATACAATATAGGGAATAAGCGAGACAATTAATAAATGTAACGATACAGTTGTATAAGTACAGTGAGCCAGTCTTATTGCTGAGAGCAATCTTTACAGGACAACCTTAGAATAAGTGCTACATAATAAAGACATAATTTGAGCAAACATCCTTTCTAAAACGTGACCGAATACCTAAATGTCAATATTAAATTATGATATATTATTATTTATAACATAATGTGTATTTTTAATAATGAAAACACTGTATTTCTTTATAATCACTTTATTAATTATTTCCTTACATGTTTCTAATATAATATAATTTGTTTCTTTATTCCCAGAGACTTAAATCTTTTACAACAAATATAGAGCTCCAATTAAAGACAATTACCCTTAAAGCTTGTTGAAAACTGTGATAATTGCGATGCAAATGCGGCTAAACTATCATATATTTATAAGGACGACGAGATAAGTAAAATACATATTACGTTTTCAACATCCATTTTACTAAATTTGAATTGAATCCACAGAATGCATTATATTTTTAATAATAAAAAAGTATAAGTGGCCAGTACGTGCAACAAGAAAAAGAGTTCATTCTTACATATTAAATTGAATATGCAACAAAGCTTACATCTATTTTTTTTTTCACAGAGACAAGACCATAGATGAAACACATAAAGGTTGAGTCTGTCCTTTTTTACTTCAATAATTTATTTATATTATATTGTAATAAGTGTGACAATTTAAATTTTATAATTTGTAGTCGTCATTATTGGCATATAGTTATCATTATATCGACATGTAGTATAACTAATTTATAATGTTATTTTTATTAAATTATAAAAATTCAAATGTTATTATCTTTGTTATTATTTATTTCATTAATTTAAAAATTATAATGTAAATATTGACTTGCCTGTTACGGGTGTGAACCCCTTCCAAACCATACTACAACATACCAATACATATTGCACAATAGCTGTTCCCACACACAAATTCCCAGAAAGAATGAAGACACACTTTACAAAGGAAATTGATAAAAGGGAATATCACAGGGCGGTGCAAAGCCAGTATGTTTTAAGTATGTTTTACGACCTCCACGTGATTTCCAGGGGGAACCACGTGGAGGTGGACCTAATAGGGCATATTGCTAGCAATGGGGCTGTCAAACTCCATTGCTAACAATCCCTTTCCCCCCAGCCCTTCCTTATTAGCACGCTAATAATCCGATTTTAAAAATTCTTTCACCTATAAATAGTATCTCATACATTGCTAGAGCGTAATGTGGCAGCGTAACTTATACCTATCTACCCGTGCGTAGTCGGGGCGGATCGTTTTTTTTTTTTGATGGGTGAAAATGGTATGGTAACCCCGCCTGCGCTAACGGGATACGCTGGCGGAGCACCAATGAAGGATGATAGATGAGAATGAAAACAGACCAGTTAGCCCATCATGATGAATTCATCAGGAATTAACCATGATAGTTTCCAGGGAGGACCGCGAGGAGGTCGACCTAGTTGGGTATATAGCTAGCAATGGGATTCTCAGTCACCATTACAATCACATTTAACAATCCCTTTCCCCCGAGTTGTTTGTTTATTAGACATACGTAACATCGTTTATCTATTTTTTTGTTCCAATTTAAGTCATTGACTGTTTTTTTAGAACAAAATGTATCGGCTTAGCTTGTTTGTATGCAAGTATTGTTGTTGGATATAAAAAAACATGTATATGTTTACTTTATATACTAATTGACGCAGAAAAAAACACGAGAAACAGCTTGTAAATAATATAAAATATTCTTGTGTAAAAATGTTTTATTGTTAGTGTAGTTATTTCAATATTTGTTTAATGTTTTAGCATTAAAGACTTGGGTCGTTTTTCCACGATTGCATTTTACTATATATATATATATATATATATATATATATATATATATATATATATATATATATATATATATATATATTTCGGCGGCGGCATTTTCCGGCGAACACCTGTAAGTAATTATAAGCGTGCGTGATATGACAGACACACGACCTGTTGAATTAAATATGCATAAATGGCGGTACAAAAATACTCTTGAGTTTTTTTTTTTTTCATATATTTTACCTGTTACTGTCACCTAGCTATTTTTTTATACAACTTAGAATGGCAAACAAGCTTTTTTTTTTTTTTTTTTTTTTTTTTTTTACAACACAGGGGGCAAACGAGCATGCGGCTCACCTGATGGTAAGTGACTACCGCCGCCCATGATCACCCACAACACCAGCGGCATTGCAGGTGTGCTGCCGGCCTTTTAAAAAGGAATATACTCTTTTCTTGAAGGTTATGTTGTCGTATCGGTTCGGAAATACTGCTGCAGGAAGTTGATTCCAAAGAATGGTTGTGCGTGGAAGAAAGTGCCTTGAAAAACGCACGGTGGAAGACCGCCACTCGTCCAGATGATTGGGATGAAACTTTAGTTTGTGGCGGGTTGTACGGTGGTGAAAATCAGCAGCAGGTATCAATCCGAACAATTCCTCAGAACACTCCCCATGATAAATTCGGTAGAAGATGCACAGAGATGCAACATCTCTGCGCAGTTTCAGTGGGTCGAGTCGGACAGTAAGGCGTTGACTATCGATAATTCGAGCCGCCCGACTTTGAATGCGGTCTAACGGAAGGAGTTGGTACTGTGGCGCTCCTGCCCACAGGTGAGAACAGTATTCCATATGCGGCCTGACTTGGGCTTTATATAATTTCAGGCGGTGTTCTGGCATGAAATATCGTCTCACCCTATTGAGTACTCCTAACTTTTTGGAAGCTATCTTAGCCTTCTCCTCCAGATGACCGCAAAACTGGACGTCGCAAGATATATCAACGCCCAGAATTCCTAGACTCGACTTTTTATCAAGGGAAGTGCCCTGAAAGTGAGGAGATACGACAAACGGCGTCTTTTTTGCGGTAAACGCGCAGACTTGTGTCTTTTTGGGGTTAAATTGGACAAGATTTTGTTCACCCCAGATCGAAACTTGATGGAGTGAAGTTTCGATTTCAGACACAAGTCTATTCCGGCACTCATCGGTATGTGCCCGCGAGATCTTTGCATGACCGGTATATAATGTATCTCCTGTACTGTCGTCTGCATAGCAATGAATATTACTTATCTGTTACATATCATTGATATGCAGAAGAAACAGAGTCGGAGATAGTACACAGCCTTGCGGGACACCAGCATTCAAAGGTTTTAAATCAGAGCATGCTCCGTCGACTACGACCTTAATGCTACGTTCCTTGAGAAAACTGGCGACCCAAATGCACAGTCTCGCAGGCAACCCAAATGAAGGTAGCTTTGAAAGCAGCGCTCTATGCCACACCCGATCAAAGGCCTTCGCGATATCCAGACTAACTGCTAAGGCCTCTCCCTTACTCTCGATTGCCACTGCCCATCGGTGTGTTAAGTAAGCTAAAAGATCACCAGCCGAACGTCCCTGTCGAAAGCCGTACTGGCGATCACAGATCAGCTGGTGCTCTTCTAGGTACCGGAGCAGTTGACGGTTAATGATGGATTCCATAACCTTCGAGAATAAGGAAGTGATAGCTATGGGCCTATAGTTAGCTGGATCTGAGCGATCTCCCTTTTTAGGGATCGGATGCACCAGAGCAGTCTTCCAAAACTTTGGGACTATGCCCGATGAGTAGCTAAGCCGAAAAAGACGCGTAAGAACCGGAGCCAACTCTGGTGCGCACGTCCTAAGCACAATTGGAGGAATACCATCAAGCTGACGGCCCACCTGATGGAAAGTGGTAACCGTCGCCTGTAGACATGAGCAGTACCATGGACATAACAGAGTATACTGTTTCGCCCATAGTGCTGTATCCCGCGGATTCGCCCATGAGCAAACCATGATGTAAAATACTTTATAACCGTTTTCAAAAAATCTATTACCAAATGTAGGAAGAATTTTTGAAGCCTGACATGTAGGTTTGGAGTTTAGCGCATTCCAATAAACTCCTCGTCGTCATCACATCAGCCTTTAACTGTCCACTGCTGAACATAGGAGGCCCTTAGGAGTTTTGTTTGTAGTTGCCACGCTTGGCAGGCGAGTTGGCAACCGCAGTTTAGGCTTTGGTGCTATTTTAAAAGGGGCTGCTGCCCATGCCTCGACCGTTTAGTTCCCTTAGTCGCCTCTTACGACACCCACGGGAAAGGAAAAGGTTTTTTTTTTTGATGGGTGAAAATGGTATGGTAACCCCGCCTGCGCTAACAGGATACGCTGGCGGAGCACCAGTGAAGGGTGACAGATGAGAATGAAAACAGGCCAGTTAGTCCATCATGACGAATTCATCAGGAATTAACCATGATAGTTTCCAGGGGGAACCGCGAGGAGGTCGACCTGGTTGGGTATATTGCCAGCAATGGGATTCTCAGTCTCCATTACTAACAATCCCTTTCCTCCCTTAAAGGAAAAGGTTGGCCTTCTATATGGTGATCACACGGCTCATAAAAAAAAATCGAATCCTCAATAACCTTCTGGATTTATTTACCTACTACATGAATCGACAGATATCACAACGAACAGAGATTAAGGATTGGCATTTTTTTCGAAAATGTTAAAATTGGCAGCTAGCAACAGATTTCAACACAGATTTTAACATATTTCTGGCCAACTTTTTCAATTTTTTATCCTCAATAAAAATCGAAAATTAACCGAATTAGTTCAGCTGTTCTCGAGATTTGCTTTTGCTACCCATATAAAAAAAATGGCATATATGATGGGAAAGCCCAAACTACTGAACCGATTTTATTAAAATGTCTATCAATTAATAGATCAAGACATATATCATCAATCATATGTCTATGTCTATCAATCGATCAATCTGTAAGTATCTCCTTTTAGATAGAAAAAAGAATTAAAAAAAAAAATTACAACTGACGAAGTTATAAGATAACAAATATATATAAAAAAAAATACAACCTCCTTTTTGATGTCGATTGAAAAGAAATAATAACCAAAAGAAGGCCTATTTAAAAATAGCGGTGAAAAATTTTTAAATAAAAACAAATACATTTAGCGATATATATACCATATATATATGAATTTAATATCGTGTTTGATTTTCAGTAGCAAATACCATGATAAAGGAGGTCACGAGTCGCGATCGTGACAGGCAGTGATATGCCCGTTCAGCATATACATATATATATATATATATATATATATATATATATATATATATATATATATATATATATATATATATATATATATATATATATATATATATATATATATACAGATATTGATGCTTATTAGTACCTACCTATATATTATACCTATAGATTTAACCAGTGCGTGTTGCCAGTGATGACTTACGGAACCGAAACATGGTCCTACATGATTGCCAGTATGCAAAAGCTTCGAGTTACTCAGCGGGCTATGGAGAGGTTATTTTTTTTTTATTGGATGATAGTGGAATGGTAACCCCACCCGCGCTATCGGTATACACCGGCGGGGCACCAGTGAAGGATGATAGGTGAGGATGAAGTAGGCCAGTTAGCCCATCGTAATGAATTCAACAAGAATTGTTCAAGTTGGTTTCCAGGGGGAACCACGTGGAGGTCGACCTAATAAGGCATATTGCTAGCAATGGGGCTGTCAAACTCCATTGCTAACAATCCCTTTCCCCCCTATGGTGAGGGCTATGCTCGGAGTCTCTGCGTGATAGAATCCGAAACGAGGATATACGCAAAAGAACTAAAGTAACCGACATAGCCTGAAGAATAAGCAAGCTGAAGTGGCAATGGGCTGGTCACATAGCTCGAAGAACCGACAACCGATGGGGAAGAAAGGTTCTTCGTACGGGTAAACGCAGTGTAAGACGACTCCCCCACTAGATGGAGTGACGACCTGAAATGTGTTGCAGGGAGTCAGTGGATGCAGGTGGCTCAGGACCGTTCTTTATAGCAGTCTATGGGGGAGGCCTATGTCCAGCAGTGGACGGATAATGGCTGAAATAATGATGATGACGATGGTACCTAGATAGTATATCTTATTATTAAAATGAAATTACAACTAGACGATATCTGTAAATGAGTAATATTTAAGCAAAACAGATATCAGTCTTTTTTTAATAGACGTTAATGGACTGGTAGCCTCGCCCCCGCTATAGGTATACAATGGCGGGGCACCAGTGAGGGATGATAGATGAGGATGAAGTAGGTCAGTGACGAATTTAGCAATAAATCAATCACGATGGTTTCCATGGGAAACTGCGCGGAGGTCGGACCTAATTGGGTATATTACTACCAACGGAGCTATTTAACCCCATTACTAACAATCCTTTTCCTCCCGGTAACTCAAGTTAGACTAACTTAAAAATTTATGTATGTTTTATATAGATAAACCAAATAAACAGTTTGTATTTCATTAGTTTTAACAACTTCTAGCGGTTACCTTTATGGCCGGCGTGCCTGCACTCTGCACAGCATTGGACAGGGTGCTCGGAGACGCTATCATCCATAGACTAAACGCGAACAGAGCAGAGCAGCATATCTGGAACAAATAACAATGATATAGAGATATCGAAAACGAATGTAATATAAATAGGACTCTATTTTCCGCGCTTAGCCTCTCATTTGGGTCGTTGTGCGTATGAGCCGTTGTCCCATTCGTGTTTCTACCGTGAAGCAGTTGTGTTTGCATGACTGTGTTTCAGTAAGTACTTCATATTATTCTCAATATATATATATATATATATATATATATATATATATATAAACAAATGTATATATGTATATCAATAATTACTAGTAGCGCATTAAAGTATTCTGACACTTCCCTATAGTTGACTGGGAGAGAATGCTTCTAGCATTAAATCCGCCATGTACATATATATGTACTAATGAATAAATAAATAAATAATTTAAACGGTGATATCCACTCGTCCATGATATGGTGCGTTCTTGAAGAAATTATAAACGGAAGGTCAAGTTGAAGAAGCCATTTGGCGTCAAGGTTCACGCTGAATACATTATTTGGACACCATTGTCGAGGACAGTGTTTATTACTGTCGGCCCTAGGCAAGGACAAGGACAAATTACAAACTGATATCAAATCTAGGCGTGGGTGGGTCGGTATTATTTATAAAACCAGATTGCTTGGGTACCTCTGTACCATTCGTGTTTCAACCGTAAAGCAGTTGTGTTTGCATGGCTGTGTTTCGGTTTGACGGGCAGTGAATTTACAGAGTGCAGAGGAATAACACCTGAGTCTTCAGGAATGGCAACGCATGGGGGGTATTATGTGCGAAACAGTATACTCTGTTATGTCCATGGTACTGCTCATGTCTATAGGTGACGGTTACCCCTTTCCATCAGGTGGGTGTCAGCTTGTTTGCCATTCTAAGTTGTATAAAAAAAACTTAGCCACCACCGCTTTAAACCTATAATTTCTATTTTTAAATTTGGCATGAATTCGTAACCTTTACGGATTTCAGGCACCACTGTCCCGATCGTGCTATAAGACAGTGAATTTACGGGGTACAGAGGACTTAAGTCATTTGTACAAAAGTCGTTTGCTTGGCCACCTCTGTCCCATTCGTATTTCTACAATGAAGCAGTTGTTTGCATGGCTGTGTTTCGGTTTGAAGGGTGGGATATGGCAGTGAATTTACAGGGTACAGAGGAATAACACCTGAGTTCTCAGAAATGACAACGTATGGGGGGTATCATGGGCGAAACAGTATACTCTGTTATGTCAATTGTTTGCCATTCTAAGTTGTATAAAAAATAACGATATGTCCTTTTACATTATTTTGTTTATTTATTGTAACTAGTTATTTATATCTCTAGAGATATTTAAATAGTTTTATTAACCAAAATAAGGTGCAAATGGCGGACTGAATGCTAGCAGCATTCTCTACCAGTCCACCTTCGGGGTGAACAGTGAATCACGGACGTAGTACTTCATTATTGGGATAGGTAAAGAGAATGACAACTAATAATGTATACAAAATAAATATTTTGTTTTATAACAGAGGGGTGAAACGAGCATGCGGCTCACCTGATGGAAAGTAACATGAATCAGCAACATACATAACATAAAATGATAATTAGAATATACATACATAAATATAATTTCATAAACAGTATTTATATATTTTTATGTATTTGTGTATGCGTTTATATGCATGTATATATGTTTATATGCATATATATATATATATATATATATATATATATATATATATATATATATATATATATATATATATATATATATATATATATATATATATAATTATTATATGTATCACATCTCCCATATTTAGAAGTAACAAAAGTTTATTCGTGCCTCCCACCAAATTGTTTATAATTACTCCTCTCCATCCAAAGGTTGCCTGCAAGAGATCGCTCTTAGCGATAAGGTCGCCCATTGTTTTCTCATTGTGATTATTTCTTGTAATTGTTTATATTTATAATAAGTTTACTATTGTAATTTTTTGGAGGAAACCATAAAGAGTATCTATCTATAAAGGAAGGATACATAAGTAAATTTTAAATACATACCAAAGTAACACCGTTTATAATTATTAGCACTGAAGCGGCAATTTTAGACGTGCTGGTCGTTTTCACTTCCATTTTTAAATCTGGAACAAACAAAATTGTGATTTAAAAAAAATAATTGTGAATCATCCAGCTAATCAATCAGAGAAGTAAAACTGGCTTTTTTTCTATGATTGACAAAGGGGGGGGGGGGGTGTTATTAGTACAGGAGGGAGGCTCCATTGCGAGCAATATACAGAGAATGTCAGCTCGACGTCCACATGGTCTCTTCTGGAAATCATCGTGGTTAATTCTTAATAAATTCGCCACGTTGGGTCAATGGACGTGACTACATCTTCATCATATCTTCGTCACTGGTGCCCCACTGGAATTTACCGATTATGATTGTATACATATTAATAATAGAACATTTTTTTTTTGTGGCGCAAAAAAACGCTTGAAGCAAAGCAAAATCTTTTTTTATGCAACTTAAAATGACAAACAAGCTGACGGGCCACTCGATGAAAAGTGGTAACCGTCGCCTATAGACATAACAGTAACATGGACATAACAGCGTATACTGTGTCGCCCACGATATTCCTTATGCATTGCCATTCCTGATGACTTAGGTATTATGCCTCTGTACCATGTAATTTTAGTACCTTATTCCAATCTTCAAACCGAAATTCAGCCATGCATAAATAACTACTTCACGGTAGAAACACGAATGGGACAAAGGTGGGGGGAAAGGGGTTGTTAGTAATGGAGACTGAGAATGCTATTGCTAGCAATATACCCAACCAGGTCGACCTCCTCGCGGTTCTCCCTAGAAACTATCATGGTTAATTCCTGATGAATTCATCATGATGGGCTAACTGGCCTATTTTCATTCTCATCTATCACCCTTCACTGGTGCTCCGCCAGCGTATCCTGTTAGCGCAGGCGGGGTTACCATACCATTTTCACCTATCAAAAAAAAAGTGGGACAAAAGTACCCAAACAAATGACTTTTGTTTAAAGTCTCCGTCTAACACTCTATCTACTCGTAAACACACGTTATTGAGTTCTATATAATGTGTCAACGAATCATCAGGTACATGATGATTGAAATTTCCAAAAAGCAGATTTTTGGAAGTAAAATATATTTGTACTATCGTATTAAGTATATTGACAGTAAAATTGTACGACAGTTAATTTTAAGCGCGTTTAGCGCTTTATTCCCATTGATTCAACCTACAATTTCCATTTTTAAACATCTCAATTCGTTGTTTACATCGAACAATTTTAATATTTTTTTTTGTGAAATTGTTATTTATCTATGGTTCTTAATGATGCTATATGTCAAACTGTGAAGCGTTTGACACGTTGTGACCCAAATACCTGGGAAAGTAGCAAGGTCATCGATCATTAGGGTCACAAATATTTGTGATAATGACGCCTAAATGGCTGTGTGTTTTGTATCTACTTAATCAATTCTTTATCTATGTTGACTCACGTTGTTTACACTGAAAACTATAAACAATATTTGAACTTTGTAAAAAAAATCGAATTCGAATATTAATTTTCAAATTTTATGTTCGAAAATGAATTTACTAATAAATTTGCTTTTATATTCTCATTTCGGGTGTATTTTTTTTTTATCTTTATTACCTCATAACTCCGTCAATTGTAAGGCGATTTGGAAAATTCTTTATCTAAAAAAAACTTACAAATTGGACTATTCCCATAGTTAGCATAATTTTTATCAAATTCTGTGTAACCGTCAACTGCTCCGGTACCTAGAAGAGCACCGGCTGATCTGTGATCGCCAGTACGGCTCTCGACAGGGACGTTCGGCCGGTGATCTTTTAGCTTACTTAACACACCGATGGGCAGTGGCAATCGAGAGTAAGGGAGAGGCCTTAGCAGTTAGTCTGGATATCGCGAAGGCCTTTGATCGGGTGTGGCATAGAGCGCTGCTTTCAAAGCTACCTTCATTTGGGTTGCCTGCGAGACTGTGCATTTGGGTCGCCAGTTTTCTCAAGGAACGTAGCATTAAGGTCGTAGTCGACGGAGCATGCTCTGATTTAAAACCTTTGAATGCTGGTGTCCCGCAAGGCTGTGTACTATCTCCGACTCTGTTTCTTCTGCATATCAATGATATGTTACAGATAAGTAATATTCATTGCTATGCAGACGACAGTACAGGAGATACATTATATACCGGTCATGCAAAGATCTCGCGGGCACATACCGATGAGTGCCGGAATAGACTTGTGTCTGAAATCGAAACTTCACTCCATCAAGTTTCGATCTGGGGTGAACAAAATCTTGTCCAATTTAACCCCAAAAAGACACAAGTCTGCGCGTTTACCGCAAAAAAGACGCCGTTTGTCGTATCTCCTCACTTTCAGGGCACTTCCCTTGATAAAAAGTCGAGTCTAGGAATTCTGGGCGTTGATATATCTTGCGACGTCCAGTTTTGCGGTCATCTGGAGGAGAAGGCTAAGATAGCTTCCAAAAAGTTAGGAGTGCTCAATAGGGTGAGACGATATTTCATGCCAGAACACCGCCTGAAATTATATAAAGCCCAAGTCAGGCCGCATATGGAATACTGTTCTCACCTGTGGGCAGGAGCGCCACAGTACCAACTCCTTCCGTTAGACCGCATTCAGAGTCGGGCGACTCGAATTATCGATAGTCAACGCCTTACTGTCCGACTTGATCCACTGAAACTGCGCAGAGATGTTGCATCTCTGTGCATCTTCTACCGAATTTATCATGGGGAGTGTTCTGAGGAATTGTTCGGATTGATACCTGCTGCTGATTTTCACCACCGTACAACCCGCCACAAACTAAAGTTTCATCCCAATCATCTGGACGAGTGGCGGTCTTCCACCGTGCGTTTTTCAAGGCACTTTCTTCCACGCACAACCATTCTTTGGAATCAACTTCCAGCAGCAGTATTTCCGAACCGATACGACAACATAACCTTCAAGAAAAGAGTATATTCCTTTTTAAAAGGCCGGCAGCACACCTGCAATGCCGCTGGTGTTGTGGGTGATCATGGGCGGCGGTAGTCACTTACCATCAGGTGAGCCGCATGCTCGTTTGCCCCCTGTGTTGTAAAAAAAAAAAAAAAAAAAGACAGATAGATACTCTTTATTGTTTCTTCCGTAAGATCACAATAGTAAACGATTGGGGGGAAAGGGATTGTTAGTAATGGAGACTGAGAATCCCATTGCTAGCAATATACCCAACCAGGTCGACCTCCTCGAGGTTCCCCCTGGAAACTATCACGGTTAATTCTTAATGAATTCATCATGATGGGCTAACTGGCCTGTTTTCATTCTCATCTATCACCCTTCACTGGTGCCCCGCCAGCGTATCCCGTTAGCGCAGGCGGGGTTACCATACCATTTTCACCCATAAAAAAAAATAGTAAACAATTTATTATAAATACAAATGATGTAGTTACTTTCTAAATCAAAACAACTGTTTTTACCACACTTTAAGTTGTTTTTTTTAACATAATCTTATTTGACATAAATTAAGTACCTGCTCTTTCTACGTATTATAAAAAAAAATATTAGCAAATAAACTGACGGCCCAACTGATGGAAAGTGGGTGTTGCCATCCCTGAGGTATAAATAGGCCACTTCTTCCTTTCTCGTGTGTGTCGCGTAAGAGGCAACTAAGGAAGCTGGGAGGGGGAGAAGAGATTGCTAGTAATGGAGATAAGCAATCTCATGGTTAGCAATAAACCCTATCAGGTCGACCTACTCGTGGTTCCCCCTGCAAACCATCGTGATTGATTTATTTTTGAATTTGTCACGATGGGCTAACTGACCTGCTTCATTCTCATCTATCATCCGAAGTATGATAGATGAGAATGAAGCAGGTCAGTTAGCCCATCGTAAGCGGGGTTACTATTCCATTATCGTCCAATAAAAAAAACTAAGAGAGCTTAATTATTATAGGGGCCATAAAATAAATTTTGTATTTTTTTTTTATACTAACATAGTTTAAGTCAATTGTTACTAACAAGAATGGATCTTTCTAATCTATAAATAAAGAATTATTATTATTATTTTAAATTATTATTATTATTATTATTATTAATGATTGAGGGACGATCAGTAGCGCTCCTTTTAAAATATTAATAAAGATTAACTGGGATCCCCAACCCGCCTGACAGAACCCTTCAAGGTCTTCAGCAGTGGACAGTTAACAGCCGAGATCATGATCTATGATGATCATCAAGATATTTTGCTTACATGCCTTTTTTTTGTTTAACGTCTGGGGAATGCTTTTTGCAGACCCTTTACCAGAGGGAGACTTTGTACAAAAGTCGTTTGCTTGGACACCTCTGTCCCATTCGTGTTTCAACCGTGAAGCAGTTGTGTTTGCATGGCTGTGTTTCGGTTTGAAAGGTGGGATATTGCGTGAATTTACTGGGTACAGAGAAATAACACATGAGTCCTCAGGAATGGCAACACATGGGAGGTATCATGGGCGAAACAGTATACTCTGTTATGTCCATGGTACTGCTCATGTATCTAGGCGACGGTTACCACTTTCCATCTGGTGGGCCGTCAGCTTGTTTGCCATTCTAAGTTGTAAAAAAAAAGGCCCATACACCTTGTGGGAGGTGAATGGGTACTGTGGGAATCCCTCCGTAAGGCGGGGGTATACCCACCAAAAACTAGACGATATACCTCGAGGTGCCATATGTCGGAGACATGGGTTCGCTTTCGCACCACATCTCCGACGGTTTGCTTACATGCCCTGCTATACTCCATCTTTTAACTTTTATACCAAAAACACTACTTATCTTTAGCAATCGGCTAAAACTAATCCAACTTTTATATTTACAAACATTATTCGAGTCTGGGTCAGAGCTCGCTTGATATAAATTATCTATCCAGTGGGCAATCAAAAGTTGGTAACAGCCATGCCCACAAGCGGAAATTTGTACAAGTTTAACAACAGCCCCTTATCAGAACCGAGGGTGATTGTGCCATCAAACAATTTACATTTATTTAGGTTAATTTAATATAACTTACAACACTTTTTTGTTTATGGGTGAAAATAGTATGGTAGCCCCGCCTGCGCTAACGGGATA